ATATTTTTACGACCATTATTAAAACATTTTTTTTCACTTACAATTAAGACGGTCGTTCGAGAAAATTTCGTTAGTTAACAATTATTTAACTTGTTGAAAAATTAACTTTAAGTAAAATTTCCAACGGGAATAAATTAATTATAGTGTTCAGAACACACCATAATTTTTTCAAATTTAAAAAAAATATTCAATACCTTAAATAAATTAATTAATGTGCCGTAGTCGCTTTTGACGCCACGCGCGAATCCTAAAAATGTCACGCACAGACCTATTTTCAGCGTTAAATTAAAGTTATAAATAATGGAGATAGAGTTCCGGGAGCTGAGAGTTTTTTATTGGAAATTTCCTCCTCTTTCAGAATCTTTATTTGAAATTTCTTAAATATTAATAGTTTATTAAATATTGGTAAAAAACTAAATTCCATTTTTTTTCATCTTTAATGGTCTATAACTTTTGCAATTTTTTATGTGCTAATACACGCTTTTAGCACATTTTTCTAGGCGTCATTCCGGTTCGAATGAGCTATCGCACATAATTTTAAGAGCAGTATCTCTATTTTGTTCCATTTTCAACTTGTCGACTAGACTACAATGGATTATAACATAGAGAGGGATAAGAGTTTGAAATACTACTAAATGGAAAATTCGTACTTACGTTAGTTATAATAACTTATTCACATATCCGAGGGTTCACCGAACTTAGTGTTTTGAGACCCCATCTCATTATACTCACTAAATATTACATGACTCTAAACTCGTTAAGAGGATGCGTTTAATATTTAAAAAGGTTTGGCACAACTTGTTTTGATACTTGCGAGTAAAATGTATGATGTTTTCGCTTAAGTCAGTTGCATCAGATTCTCTGATGTTTTTTTAAATTAAATAAGTATTCTCATAAAACTGAATTTATCACTGTTTAACGGTGCTTTGGAACTCCTTATTTCATAAGACTAATTAAAAAACCTAATGAAAATGGAAAGGTTTTTTTAAATAAAAATATAATTGGTGTGAATTGTCCAATCATAAAAAAAAAAATTATGCCGTATCGACCATTATATACGTAGTAGAGGTTTTAGAACGAATTTGTTTATATATTTTCTATTTAACACACTATTCCTAATCTCGCTTTAAGAATCTAAGATTAGGATTTTTTAATTCGTCTAGGCTTATATAGTGTTTTTTGTTAATTAATTATTATAGTATGGTAATTTCCTTCCCAACTTATACAATTAAATACTAGGAAGTAGTAGCCGTAATTAAAAGTATTGTAAAGTAATAAGTTTAGATGGGAAATAAAATAACGGTTACGTAAGGTGAAGCTTAGTTGGTTACGCACTGATGCGCTTCTGAAGGTTTTAGCTTTTCGAGGAAGTTCAACGTAATATCCGTTTTACTAGAACCAAAGGCCAAACCAAAGGTAGGCATCTGACAGCAACCCCGGGTCCGTAGTCACGTAGAGTGCAGTGCCCCCAACTCTACCTGCCTTAGGCTAGGTGTAGAATGGACTTAGTTTCCGCATTTAGAAGCCCAATTGGTTCGTTGTGCGTTAAGGGCTAATTGAGCCAGTCTAGCCCCTTCCAGAGGCTCATAAGTGGCCACTTGTCTTCACGAAGCGATTTCTGCTCTTTGGAAGCCACAGCCACGCATTCCAAAACTACATAGGTGACTAATTCGTCTCCACAAGGGACTGTCGCGCCAAGGTCAAAGAGATGTTTATTAAGGACATAGTGGCCCGCAATTGTCCAAATCATCGACATTAAGCTTTTAGAGTTGAACAGTAACAGAGAGTCTAGAGAGATTTTTTTGGGACAGGAGGCAACAACTGCAACGCTTTACCGTCCTTTTTAATCATACCTATTCGAAAAAGCTTCTGAAGTTTGATCATCTGTAGGCGGCATGAGATTTGCGGAACTCACTTCATTCCCTTGTCGAGCTATATATGTTTTGTAAAATAGTCTTTTTCTATGAAATAGAAACATTTAAATATCTACTATTATATTCGATTAAAAATTTATCCGCACGCCTGGTGAATAAAAAAATGTTAATATTGGGTCATTGTTCTCAAGCCTTCAAGTTTCCTCTTCCTTGTTTTAGCCACAATACCTGGTCCATTTAAAACTAAAGCCGCTCGCTTTTGTTCTAATACTGTACTACTTCTTTCAATTTGTGCCACAGTTATAGTGTACACGCCATTTTATTGTTTATTTACATTTTTATTGTTAGCCCTAGTTTTGTGTTGATAACATTTATTTAAAATAAATTGTTTAGGTTTTTGGTGAATACTTTCTAACAATAAAGCGATAGTTGAGTATTGATTGTTTATTCAAACTTATTTATTAATTTGGAATAGAGAAAAATTTGATAAACTATGTGGAGCCGACTAGGGTCCTTAAAAAAAGAGCGTACTAATTCTTAAAAGGCTTGCAACGCACTCGCGAGCCCTCTGGCATTGAGAGTATCCATGGGCGGCGGCATCACTTAACATCGGGTGAGCCTCCTGCCCGTTTGCCTCCTATTACAAAAAAAAACATAAGACTAAGTGCCCATGGACACTCACATTGCCAGAAGGCCCGCAAGTGCGTTGCCGGCCTTTTAAGAATTGGTACGCTCTTTTTTTGAAGGACCCTAAATCGGAACCGGAAATAAAGTATTTACATGCGGCGGTTTAACTAAGTTAAGATAGTCCTTGCCCGTTTTTTGTTGACCTTTTCAAATCAATAAAACACGAATATAATAATTATAGTATTTTATTCAAATCTATTGAAATTCCAACGTTCTAATTTTAACGGTCCTATATTGCGGCTTACGGGTGCATTATATTAAAGAGGCTTCCGAAAATTTATACGCTTTTTTATCTGAAGAATTTTGTAAGCAGAGCGGCTTTCATTTCGCTGGAAAGCGCAATTTTCCCCATTCTATGGCCGCCCAGCGAAATCGTTAACGTATGCCGGCGCGCCCATTTCCTAATAGCTCTTTTGCGTGAGCTGAAAATGCAGACTAAAACATTATTTTATTGTTGTCTGTCAATAAATTTCTAATACAAATAATCGAAGTATGATTTATAAAGAATACTAGCTACCGCCGCGAACTTCGTTTTTCCTTAATGTGATTTTGTGCTTACCTTTTTAGTACATTAACCTACATGGAACATTTTGCTATATACATATTACATATATATATGTTTTTCTCTTTATAAACATCAGAGTTCATGTCATAAGTTTTTAATAAAAAAATTAAAATAGGGGTTAATCGTAGAGTGGAAATTAAGGGTTATATGTATTTTTGTATGTCATAAAAAAAAGTTTGTCTAAAAAAATCAATGTTTTGGGGTGGACCACCCTTATCACTTAGGGGCTTGAAAGATAGATGTTAGCCGATTCTCAGACTCACTGAACGTGCATAAAAAATTTCATAAGGATCGGTCGAGCCGTTTCCAAGGAACGAACATTTTGACACGAGAGTTTTATAGATTATGGGGTCATGCACCGGTACTCTATAATCCTACCAGCAATTCAATGTTGAAGTTTTTGTATTAGACAATTAAACATTAACATTACTGATCTTGAAAGAACTAGGTCAACATTGAATACAAAAACGGCGGAGTCCCGAAGTACGTGCGCAGGTTATATATTTATTTATTTGATAGAAGGCGAACCTGAAAAGATAGATCAATGACACAGACGTGGAATTGACTCTAGAACAAAAGTTTTACCTATTATGTTGTAAGAGATTTTGGGACTTTATTTATGGTTAGATACTCCCGGAGTTCTCCCGTAAGTACATTTGATAAGCTGATGATAAAACAGAAGTTGTATGCTTACATTTTACATTTCTGGTTCTCATTTCAGTAGAAAACAAATGAAGTCGGGTATAGCAGGAAAATATAATGTAATCCAGTAAGAATATCTTACTGTCTATTTAGCAAAAGCGTGATTTTATGCGTATTCAAAACCGCAGTAAATATTAAAATATCTCATTTCCGTGTTTGTGGATCACGTACGTGTTTTGATCACATCGCAACTATGTAAAAACAAATACATTATAATACATACTACATATAATGACTGCGCACTCAGCTAAGAACTTGGTGATACAACGATAATGAAAAGGTGCGCGGAAATATGTCTGTATAGTACACGTATTAACTATTATTTTAAACATGCAGCAGGTTATATTGTTTAAAGAAAACACTTTTTTACCGGATTGAAGTAATGTATTATTATAAATTTACAATTATTTTACATAATTTTAAACCGTGGTCACGGTGACTGAAGACAAAAGGTGTTGAATGTCAAAAATGTATCACAGCTGTAGAAAAAGTTGTATTATCTGTATTCATTTCCCCGGAGATGGTATCGACAAAAGATGTTAATAAACGACAATACGAGGTTATATTGTTTAAAGAAGAAATATTTCAGCAATAATGTTGAAATTTTTGCTCCTTTTATGATACCCCAGAACTGAGATTTCAACCTTACAATATGATAAATGTTCTAATGTCGATAAAAATAAAATCTAAGGCGTATATTTTATTATAAATATTCTTCAACACTTTTCTGAAATGGCCAGGCTATAAAACGCCGTTATTTTCAAAATTATCAACTCGAAACGCCTTCTGAACTTGTTTACGGACGTTTTGGCGCAGATTTGCTCTTTGAAAATACGAAACACAAAGTACAATAAAGTAAATTACAGCAAGCGATGATATTTCGAGGAAAAAATAAGCCGTCGACACCCTCGGGATTAGTTTCGTCTTACGCAATTGGGATACGGAGGCTGTGAATTTGTCTTGATGTGTTGAAGTGAGAAAACGTTTCTGATTTGAAACTCCTTTCCTTAATAGAAAACCTTGTATTGTAACCGTACTTTTCAACTTCGTTGCATTGACATTTTTTAATGGAATTTTTATATAGCCTTCTGCAGCGTTTATTTGTAATCCGAAGTCCGGTCCTCAGTCATAAAGATCCTCATAGTAGATTGCTATACTATCTATGACTTGAAATGGAATATAGGCAGCTAGAAATTCTGGGTTATACGCAATGGAGCCACAAGAAGCCTCCAATGGAAGAGCTACCTCAGTTGCTCGCCTACATGTACAAGGCGCTAAAGGCAGACCTTAACACTACAAGTATTTGTTTTATAAAAGTTTGTTAACCATTCATCAGGACCATATAAAAACCTTTATATTATACTCTTCGATTTTCTTTTCGCCCTATGATATAATTATACGAACATATGGAACATTTTGCTATGCTTTCCAATAGAGATTGTTCGCTTTTCCCTAATAAAAACCTTCCTTAGAGTTGAGACGACCTTCCTTGACGAATTTTGAGTGTAGTAACATATTTTGCGATTCCTTTTATTTATATAGATTATGAGATATGTATAATGTTATATCTGATATATAACAGTGGCTTCAGTGTGCGACTCTCATCCCTGAGGTCGTAGGTTTGATCCTCGGCTGGGCACCAATGGACTTTCATTCTATGTGCGCATTTAACATTCGCTCGAACGGTCAAGGAAAACATCGCGAGGAAAGCGGCATCGAATGATCATGAAACAGATACAGAAATCTGAGGCCCAGACCTAAAAAGGTTGTAACGCCACTGATTTATTTATTTATTATATAACATATTGGTTTGAAAATAATGTTGCTATATACCAATAGTGATAGTGAAATGCATTTCGATATTTCTTTACAAATGTGTAACATAAAATACAATAATGCAACGTCAACTCGGGTCATTCATACCGTTCACTCGTTAATTGTATTCGAGCAATGGTGAAAGTTGGCCGAGCCCTCGAAATGACTCATATTTCAATAAACAATATTTACATGTAAATTAGGACAAAGTTAATAAGTCAAGTTTCTCTTGGCCCTTAGCTTTCTCATTGGTTTTTGAAGTTATACTTCTTTTGGCGCGTTAGGGAAAAATTATGAGACTAAATTTTTACAAGGCGCGCGCACACCGTCACGAAAAACCGACTCCCTGAAGTTAGCTATAGTCAACATTTTAGTTTTTTCTATTGTTAGTGTCGTTTTTTCTACAAACGTAGAAAACATTTTTTGAAAAGATTTTTATCTTGTTACGCCAAAGAAGAAGTATAACGTAAACGCGTGTACTACATAAGAAGGTACACACACCGTTTTTTTAAACTAGCTGATTGCGGTAAATACCTACCATAATTTGCGGTTTGCGATCATGTGACCAATATATTGTTATTTTTTATATGTGTGTCTTTACATCATGGAACATAATGATCTAGTCTTACTTAAGACTAATTAGTAATTTAAGCCTAGCCTAATTTACTAATAAGGATTTTTAACATAAGAAAGTGTCCAATAACACAACTTACAGTCTCTATTAAAGGGAAGACACTCTGTTCTTATGCTTTATTTTTTCACTTACTGTTTAGGACTTATGACTTACCTGCACTGACACTAATTCTAGTGCAAATGGTTTCGTCCTTTTCAGTCTTCTTACCAGGCCTGTGGTGTCAATGTGGTGAGCCTCGACATTCACGTGATGGTGGAGCCTATGTTAAACAATCGCTTGGCATGTTCATCAATCTTTTTGCCAATAAATATCTACGAAATAGTTTCTCTAGACTGCCTAGAATATTTCAAGGAGATACCTCAATCCTGTAGGAGACTGCATGTTGCACCACTGTGTATTTAGTAAATTATACAATTATTTTATCACCTTCCCAAAAGTTATAGATCACTTCCTGGTGATTAATTTTTTAAAAGCAAGGTGCCTTTATAGCGTGGGAGAGTAGGTATTTAGACCATAAGTTTTGACAACAATTATAAATAACTTATCTGTTCTAATTATTATGACATTATGATAATTAATATGACATTGGCATGTCTATTTTTATATGGCTGATTGTTTTTTGAAGTTATACTTCTTTTGGTGCGTTAAGGAAAAATGATGAGAGTAAATTTTTCGATGCGCGCGCACACAGACATAAAAAACCGACACCCTGAAGTTAGCTATAGTCAATATTTTAATTTTGAAGTGATACTTCTTTAGCTCGTTATATTCAATTGTTAGTGTCGTTTTTTTTGTCTAAAACGTGGAATAAATTTTTTTTAATGATTTTTATCCTAACTTCTAACGCGTTTACATAAGTACACACACGTTTTTTTATAATTTATTAATACGAATGTAGAACTTTCTTCGCAAATAAACGATTTATTATTATTTAATACAACTTAATTTTATACCTATGGACGATAATCTACACACTTGTGTTTAAAATTTATAGCATAAATTTTCTTTAAAAATTTTACTAAACGTTTCGTAATGCTATTTAAAACAGCTGTGAACCCTTGTGAGGCAAATGTCATCGGGTGACCTATTTAGGCCAATTGCAAATGGTAATAATGTGTAACTTTCTTTTAACTACTGAATTAATGAACTCTAACCAAATTTCAACACATTGCGCTAAATAGAATTTTGAAAGTCTGAGTCATTAGTTAACGAAATTGTGTCGATACCCACTACTACGTTTAGTAAATCTAAACGAACATTTTGAAATCCAAAAGGATTATAAAAATTACAGATTGAAAAAATTGTTCTTTAAAAAAAATTAGCTCGTTTACCCTTTGTTCCAAATTCATGTAGATTGCCCGCCCGCTCTAATTAGTTTGAGGAAATATGCAAAACGAATGCGTCTCAAAGTCAGGACTGACAGACGTCTGCGGGCGAGCACGCACCTACGTATACCTGGCGTCGCGATGCGCACCTCCGCTTCACCTCACGGAAATGGCCAAGCAGGTAGCCAGGCTCGCGTATTGTCGGCCCGTCAGTGCGCGCGTTCACTCGCCGCCGGTGGTAGTGTACGAGGTGCGCGCACGCACGCGCTTTAGTGAGCATGGTGTCTACACCGTTGTGAAGTGTCATCGCTGTGTGTGTCTATTCAAAAACAATGTCCTGTGAAAGGAGAATAAAGGCTGCCCGTTTCCTCGCCCTACGGTGAGTCCGAACACTTCCTGTCAAGACGTTCCTTTATAAATGAGATACAGCTGTCTCACTCGCACGCGGGCTACCTGCAATCATATGCTTTGTGTTTGTGTTAATTCTGAAAAGTGCAAACAATAGATATCGTTACAAAATAATACTGATTGTTTCGCTAATCGCGAAGACGTTTGAGGAAGCGTATAATAGTGTTATTAAATCTGCAAGGATTTACTTGAATTAATTTACAAAGAGTTTCCAGTTGGTTTACGTTTTCAAGTACAAAACCATTAGTACGCGACCTTGATGAAGTTATGAAATCGGTATCCAAGTGAGCACATGCTTGATGAAAAGCGTGCTCAAGAATTTGCTTTGGTTGTGTCCTAGTGCAGTCCTTTTGTTGGATATCGTCTGGTATGTAGGAGATTGTAATAAGACAAGTGGTTCTGCTACAGATGTGAGGCGCTCCCCGCCTCGCCTCCCGGCCTTGAAAGGCTCTTGACCAGGCCAGTGCCGCCGATGTCGTATTTATTGCAATCTCCACGATCCGTACCGGCGAGGTTATTGACGCCACGAGACAACTATTCAATCCTCATGGGAACTCGTAACAAATAGATTCGACATCACTTTAATGTCTGTCGCCTTGAGTGCGATCGTTCTCACAAAGATATAACCACAATGCCTATTACGTCACTGCAAAGCTAGTTTCCGCCTTTAAAGTTTTGTTACCGATATGAGTCAGCAATCTATAGAAACAAAGTCTTTTGAATTAACCACGCGGAGTGCAATGTCCTTATTGAAACCACTTATTAATTTTTTGTGTTGTATGAAGTTGATTTTCACATTCTCAGTCAAAGTTATAAATATACTCGTCTGGTGGGAACTGTAGGATCGATGAACAGCCAGCCCTAGGTGAAGGTCGGTAGTTGTTCGCCCTTTGAAGCTCATTGACAAGTATATTTCATCGCTATTTTGCGATGGATATTGCTGAGCGTACGTATCTAAAAGCACCATAAACTTGTGTGCTTAACAGCAGTGGGTATTGATTTTGTGTGACCCAGTGTAGTAACCATATGGCGTCAGATCCACACTTTACAAAATGAGGCCGGCATATGTTGCCGCTTTCACTCCCTGCATCACAATCATTGTTACGTATTCAAAGTTTCAGACTTAATCGCATACAATCAATACTTCCTATCTATCAATATTAACTATTGACATGCTGTGTTCACATTGTAACTTGGAATTTCCTTATACAAGTTTATTTACTATCCATCTTGTTGGGTCTTTAATAGAGATTAATATTTTTGTTAGAATTAAATGTTATTGTTCTTCTTTTAAATAAATCGAAATGGCTTTAGTATGCAAAATATTGATTTGGCTTGGTTATATTTTCTAATGAGATTAGCCGGGCATGCGTGTGTTTATTACAGTCGGGGGTGGGTTTTTTGTTCACAGCAGCTGGTTAACCCCCAGTAGTGACTCACGTCCTGTATATCTAACCCAGGGTGCGTGTCATTGACCCCACTCGCAGCCCTATACGCCACACCATACTTTACCCTTTGTCTATTATGCCATCAGAATCCGTTTAGCCCTTTATCTCAATTCTCTATGGTCCATTGCAAAAATCGATTGAATCTTTTTGATTTGAAATTTTATTTGGCTTTTGTTCTTATAAATAGATATTTCAAAAGGGTATCTTTCTGTTACAATTTACCCGAAATGGATTTTGATGAATTCTAGCATAGATCGTAAGTACCAAATGTAACTGGTATACAATACGCCATACATAATGAAGAATGTAAAGTTTTACGTTCTGCTCGGTTCTCGGCCCATCCGACCACTGCGGTACCGGTTTCCAGCGCAGACTCACAAAGAAAACGAACAAAACAATCACTTTTTTTTACAAACGTGCCACAACATGAAAGGATTCCAAGTTAACTATATTGACTACATCTTCATAAGACTATAGTAAGTTTAACATTATTGTTCTGTTTTGTTTGAAGCATCATAATACTTATTTTCAAAAGGCCAATAGAATTATGTGTTTCAGTTTATTCTAGAGTTTCAAGTATTGCTAAAAGGTCCATTGTTGTGTTTTTGTAGCAAGTATATGTCCGATTTGCTGTAGCTGTCTTAAAAATCTGATGCGCTACCTTTTAGGTCTCCTTAGATTTCTATTGAAAAAATCCAATATAAATAGAAATTAAGAGGTTAGATTTCTATTTATATTGTGATCATTTGTTTTTTCTATTAGACCATTAGGTGAACAGCTGACTTTTTGGATCAAAGACATGCTGGTCTCACGAAGTGAAGAAAAACATTCTTCACTTGTATGTGCAAGTGTTAAATGCCCACATATAAAGTCCTGGTCCCGGTGGTCCTTAGGGATAAGAGTCAGACAATGTAGCTGCTAGGCAAACACTCTTACGGCAGATTCAATATTATACCTCTCTCGTAGCTACAAGAGTTATCTTCGTCTAGAACTGCTTTCAAGATGTGAAGGACAGAAAAACATAATTTTCAATTCTATCAATGGTGAACTTGTTTTAATAGCTTAACTATATGACTATTAATATTGTGGAACATTTTTTTGTTCTATCATCAACAGTTTTCGCAGCGCATGCGATGAACGGCATTTTTTTACACATTGGGTACAATTATTGTAGTTTTAGTAGGGATCCTTATTTTTGTCTTGCAATAAAAATAACCTATATTAATCAGTGATAATGTAGCATTCAAATGGTGAAAGAATTTTTAAAATCGGTCCAGTACCTTTTGAGCCAATTCGTTACAAACATACTTACATACAAATTGTTCCTCTTTAACTATTAACGTTCGTCATATTTCCAACATCATTCCAAAATCAGCTTAAACATATTATTTTTAATCTTCCGTTGAATGTGCCTTAACATTAGGCGAGTGACGAGTAAGGTAAATAGTAGATGAATTATTCATGTCTGTAGAGCGCTTCGTTCCGAAATCAGACACAGGTATTCCAGGACTGCCATTATCATTTACGGTGTGAATACAACGGGAATATAGGATAAGGAATTTAAAAAGTTGAAATATATATATATATATAACCGAGATTAAATTGTCTAACGTGGACGAATAATTTAAGACAGTGCAGTTAAAATATAGACTATAGACTCCCGTATGTCAAAACGTATTTTTACGTACGGGTCACACTTGGCGCTAGGTCTCGTCTCTGAATCTGTGGGTTAGAGTCTGGCTAATGAAAGAAGATAATTGAATTATTTGAAATCTTTCGGATGGCAACACAGAATGTCATTGAATTTCTTAGGTTAGTATGATTTATTGTCTTGATACTTCATGCAATTACTCATTTTTAAATGTATTATATATTTTTTCCGAAAAGTTAACAGGTACAATAGCCTAAACTTTGTTTTATTGATTTTTTGGACTTTTCTTTTGTTTATTCCGAATAAAGTTGTGTTTTATAATAAATCTAGTTTTAGTTTTCCATGCAATGCTAGTCATTTTAAGTATCAATAGTTAAAGACTAAATACGTATAGTATTTAATTTCATAGAAATACAGTTACTATCAATGTAAAAAATAATAAAATAAAATCAAGTAATTTTAATTCACAAAATATTTCAAACTTTTAGGGATACCATACTATTTTTTTTTTAATTTGCCGCGCTTTTTCGTTATCTTCTTTCATTAGCCAGACAGTGTAGGTGAAACTGAATGATGGCAATCTAAAAGAACGTTTTGACTTAATGTTATATAAGCCCGAGATAGGTCAGTCCACAGTGAGTCTCCATCGCGTTCGACAATTAAAAGAACATGCATAAATGAGCATACTTATGTTACTGCTGAAACAATTTTATTTCAGTGTTGACTAGGTAAACTACTATTTTCTCAAAAAAATATGGAAAGTAACACCTAGGAGAATGTAAATGTATTTGACCCGGCTACAACCCGGAGCCATGTCGAGTCCACTGCGCGTGGTGTGAAATCTGATACTGGCCACCTCTTGTCACCGGGCACAGTGGGACAGAATACAACTGGTGACCTAACTGTTCGCCAGTCATTTTGTAAGAAGTTAATTTTAGGTATATAGAATTTTTGGGGCCTGTTAGGATACAAAGTGGAGAGATATCACTAGCTTTCAGCAGACACCTTCACTAATGTAGAATACGACTGAGAAGAGTGTGGTTCAATTGTCAACCTTCATCTAAAACCTAAAATAAAACTTCCGAGAATTATAGAATTATCTTAGACTTAAAGAACTGGTCTAGTTAAATTCTATAGTCGAGCGCTCTCACTCTACGAAGAAGAAGCGGTGCTAATATCTGGGAATAGAAGAGAAGTTATCGTCAAAGAACGTCAATGTGTTGACCTGTAAAGTGATAACTTTATCTCAATATTTATGAACGTGAAATTATATTTTGAAATTCATTTCTTCTTAATACTAAAATAAAATGCTGAAATTAGCTATTAGACTATGTTAACTAAAAGTGTGATTTATATGTATTTAAAAGTGTCAAGTTGCGTTCAAAATTAAAAAAAATACATAGTTGCATACACAAACAAACGGATAATACAGCATTGCGTTAAAGCCTACTCAAACAATAACCAGGCGCGGAGGTCATGTTTAAATTGTTTTTACCTTCGGCTCGTTGTTATAACCTATTGTGCGCCAATGTTCAGTCAAACACTCAATGACCCAGTTTCTCCTTCACACTGTCAAAGTTTTATTTCCTCGTTTGAATTTTTTTCAACAATTTTTGCAACTGAATGCAACTTAAATCAATTTACTTGATCCTTTGTTAACGGTGGGTTTGAATTTGTTTTTGTCTTATGAATGGCGCCGTATTATTTAATGTTATCGCTATGTGATACGTTGTTGGGTAGGTCCTGACTTTGTATACGGAATAGATTAGAAGAAAAGTATAAATACTGTCACGTGCTTAAACAATCATACTTCATTGATTTTCAATGCCCAGTGGACAGTAAAGTAGAGGACGGACCATCAGAAACCTGAGAAAGAAAAGTGCGGGGAAATAGTTGCGAAGATGAGAGACAAGTGTAAGATGTTGGTGGAAGCGAAGGCTTCTTCGGAGGTCGTGTCGTAGTAAATATAATAATAAAAACTTAATATTAAATTTTAGTACCTACTCGAAAAGGCTACTTTTTAACTTTTGATGTTATATTTAGAAGCGATGATAAAGCAATGATTATTTCACCTACATTAAACTCAACGTAATTTAAACGATCATATTGGATAAATTTCAGTTGTGAATAGGGTATAAGGATCCAAACATATGTGTCTGGGCTTGAACATAAAAAGAAAATAGCGTACCAATTCTTAACAGGCCGGCAACGCACTCGCGAGCCCTCTGGCATTGAGAGTGTCCATGGGCGGCGGTATCACTTAACATCAGATGAGCCCATTTGCCCCCTGTTCTATACAAAAAGAAAAAAAAACATTTCAATAACCTTTCTTATTGTATATTGATAATTACCATGAAGGGATTATTACTAGGCGTATTGTGGCAAATTTTGAATCAGTTTTATATTACACGAAAATTTACGATTATCTAAATCGTAAATTTTCGTGACACCTTTTAGGCTCAGGCGTGGCAGCGAAAGCAGCGCTCCCTTGACATGCTACGGCGTTTGCGCATTGCAGTCAAGGCTCGCCACCGGCGCAGGCGCATTACATAAATATTACCTATTACTCATATCATAACATGAGCTATCATCACGCGTACGGTATGTTAGGAATTCATCACAATGATGTTTATACTTTTGTGAATCGTCAGTTGCCTTTTGAGAAGATTGTATTGATTCTTTATTTAATACAATTCCTTTTAAGGAAGTCTTAATACATACATTGGCCGTATTCTGATCTTATTTCGAATACAAAGAGTTTGTAAAACTGTATTTTTGCTACAACAGTCTACGGGCTGGTCTTTGTATGAATTCGAAAATGAAAAAAATTCGAATTCTAACTTGGATTATTCTTAAACTCAATTTAATGCTAACCCTTGACATGAATGAGTTCATTATTAATATTCCTATTTAGATCTTTTAACAATTTTCCATGGAGATGTTCATAATTGCTCAGGCCAAGGTCGAAAATGCAGTTACTGACAAGAGATACGCTCAAAAGACCTCCATTTACTCGCTATACACGTCTTGCATTTATAATTTTAATGCTCAGATTTAACATAATCGTGTCAGGCCTGTGATGCGGGCTTACAGTGGATAATGAAATAGAAATTTAAAAATATATGTTATAATACTTCACTAATACAGGGTAGGTATTGGCATTCAGAGACGAGACTTGGTGCGTACGTCAAAGCATTTTTTATTTCTCTCTCATTTCTGTAGTTATTTCGACTATGTATTTGCGTGTTGTTCCCAGGAGAATGTAAGTGCGTGCTCCTATTTCACCATGCCTCCTGCTGATAGAGGACAAACCTTTGTTTTTAATTTATTTTAGTATTATGTATTTATTAACTATTCATTACTTAAGATGCCATGTGGATTTCATTACACCATGTGTAATGGTTGCAGCTCCTTACAAACATTATATAAAAAAAATAACTTGGCGATTAAAAAGAGTGGCGGAGAGTTTATTGCCAGTTCTTCTCTTCCTTGATTTGAGAACTGGCAGTAAATGTAAAATTAGAAGCATTATATATATATTTCTTTTTTAACGTTCATTAGTGTAGATACATTGTGTTACCTATAAGAATAAATAAATTTGATTTTGAATTCGATTTGGAACTATAACCCTAGTTTTTTCTTTCAGCAAGTCCTAAATGAGAAAGAAAGGAAATATCTATAAGCACGCACGATAGTGTTAAGAATCACACGCTTCATGATAGCCCAATGTTTGTTATAACTTTAAAATTGAAAGTGGTGTACAATTTTTATCGCGTTAAGAGATTAAATAAATTAATAGTTATAGAATTTTTATAGCCATGAATGGCACAGTGCAGACAGGAATGGTGGGATTTGGAGGAGATCTTTCTTGGACAAAAAAGGGCATACAGATACCTAAAAGTAATGCGATAATAGAAATGAAATTGTCTTAATGTGTCAATGTATCTGAAATAAAAAGCTATTATTATACCTTATCCATACATTTTTCTATGGCAGTAATTATTTGTAAATTTATATTATTATTATGTATATAAACACACTAGCAGCTTAATAAGCTGATGCGCGTGTATTCTGAGATTTGGAGAAACTATCCAATCTATTTTTAAAGGAGTTCAGAGATGGTTCACTGATTACACTTTCCTGAAGCCTATTCCAGTATATAGTAGCTAAATAATTTATTTGGAGGTTAACTAATACTAAGCATACAATCATTGAGAAAATAATATACTAGAACACATGTGCATTATTTATTAGTTAGTATTAATAGCACAGTTCGCGAAAATAACTTTGTAGGCCCGTTCAGGGCCAGGGAAACCGCTAAGTAGGTTTTTCCTTGACACAAGGCTCTGTTGTAATGTAGCAACTGATACAAGGTTGCAGCGACACGCCCTAGCGATTATTTAATTGTTATTAAAAAGGGACACTTCAGACAGATAATGACGTCAGAGTTCAAGCGGCTGTCAGATGTCATGTCGCGTAATGACAGCGATCTTTGACAGAAATTAATTTATCTGATTAACTTTCTATTAAGGTAAAATGTGTGTGTTGCGTTAACGAAAGGAAATGCTGTAACCACGGAGACATCCCTCTATTTAAAGTTAAAAAGAAAATCTAAACTTTGTATGTCTAATGTAATTGTCGCACTAACAAATTGCATTTGGTTATTTTTTTTATTGTCTATGCACAAAGACATCATTGAACAATACCTAAGCTCACATATGACTAATAAGTAACCTAATTTACTAAAAAAATATATAACATAAAATAGTGTCTAATAACACTACTTACAGTGTCTATTAAAGGGGAAGACACTCTGTTCTTGTGCACTATTTTTTCCACATTCACTCTTCTCACTAGGGCTGTGATGCTAAGTTGAATAACACAAATTTTTATCAACTCCAAATCAGACTACATGTTGTTATTATTATCCATCATCACATAAAGAGGGATGATGAATCGATTGGGGTCGCAGAGACAGCGATGAGTGAGTGTTGAAGGAATAAAAAGTTTAGATTTTAGCAACTTTATTAAATTTATTCGTTATTATACATATATAATATATGTATAACAACAAATCAATTTAATATAATAATATCGTTAAAACATTCCATCGCCCAAAAGAACGTAATTATTAAAGTATAATAAAATGTATTTATTCATTATAACAATGCATTACAATGTCTAAGATTTGGGAACCCTTTTATGTAAAAAAAATACCTGTGTTAGGTTTTTCCAGCTCTTCCATACCAAACTTATTACAGTCAAAACCATTTACGACGACATTGTTTTTTTTTTATATATTACAATTTATTTATGACTGTTTTGAACAACATACCGGTTATATTAACAAAAATCAAAGGCCCCGGTTGAATTCTATTGAATTACGTACTTAATAACAACGTCATCGGTTTTTACGACCAAATATGAGTAGTCCATTCGATGTCGTTATAACAGATTTTGACTGTATTTAATTCCAGATGAAAGTTAATATTTTTTTTATTCTTTACCAACAAAAAGTATTACGCGATGCGTAACGTGCCTCAGTGCATGAGTGAGAGATGGTGCATGTAAGTGTGTGTGTCCCAAGTAATGTTTTAATTATTATCAAGCTATGTAACAAGGATTAGTAAAGTTCACACGAGTTGGTACACGTCGTTTACGCTCATAGTCATCAATATTAATCGAAACATCGTAAGTAAATCATACCGGGGCTTATCAATGAGATTACAAAGTTTGTTCAACTCGCGAATTAGTTTGAGATAAAGGATTTAGGGCGCCCCTTACATATATTTAACGTTCAATATATCGTTTGGTTATATATGCAATATTACTAGTATGTATTATACTATTCATTCTAAATGTCGTGATGGTGTTGCATGTCTTCTTCGGCAAGTCTTAGCGCCCGGAATAAGGCCTCATGTGCCCTTAAATTAGTCGGTCCAGGGTGTAGTGTGTCGGCCTGGGGATCTCGTGCCTTCCACTCCACCTCTCTATTATTTTCTTATTGATAATATAGGCTCTACTTGCAAAATCTTTGCACTTCACAGGTATAAAGAATGCTTTTGGTATTGGTAATACACTGAAGAGTGTCCCTTGTTGTTTACGAGTAGGTATTTAGCCGGTATATTTTCTCGATAAATTCAAAAGCATACTAAATCGAATCATTATTTTCCTAGATTAGTGCACTTAAATAGTTAAGTCATAACTATTGGTAGGAACATTCTACATTTGTTTCAGGTAAAGTTTTCTGGCAAAACTAGTTGGTTTTCTGAAAACTTAGGTTTTGTATATTTATTAACCCCTTGCTTTCATAGTAATATAGGTTATATTTACGGACCGTAATTTACAACTTTTAAAAATAATCACAATTATTTATTAATTTCTTTAATTCGTTGTGACTTCTTAGGTTTTACTGTATTTGAATTTTTCAAAAATAGTTATTTATTTGAGGAGTGTTGGCCTAGTGGCTTCAGCGTGCGACTCTCATTCCTAAGGTCGTAGGTTCGATCCCCGGCTGTGCACCAATGGACTTTCTTTCTATGTGCGTATTTAATATTTGCTCGAACGGTGAAGGAAAACATCATCAGGAAACCGACATGTCTTAGACCCAAAAAGTCGACGATGTGTGTCAGGCACTAAAGGCTGATCACCTACTTGCCTATTAGATTTAAAAATGATCATGAAACAGATTCAGAAATCTGAGGCCAAGACCTAAAGAGGTTTTAGCGCCACTGATTTATTATTTTTATATAAAGTCGGGAAAAGAGTACAATTGATTATGGAAATATTTTATTTTCTTAAATAACATACAAAAGATATGTTAAAAGTAACTATTAATTAAAATTTACGTTTAAAATTCTTGCACGGAATATATTTATAACTAAAACCGCTTTCATCCGGATTTCACAGAAATTGGTTGATCCGCTTCTAAAGGAAGTAATTCGCACTTATGCTGAATTATAAAAATCTAATACGATATTAAACAAGTTGATACCCTAAATCTTATAGTATTAGTGGACTTTCTGGCTTAGGAAATAGGTTTTCTGTAATGTGCAGCTTTTCATGGGAAAGAGAGACGTAGCGCTAAGCATGACTCCCATGTGTCTAAAACTTATTGAATTTTGACATTCAGGAGTCACAGTTCAGGCTTAGTCTCGACTATGAATCGGGCCGTATGCACAGAACCGCAAAATATAAATATGTCTGAGCAATGGCGCTACTGCCAGCGTGTTTGTCACAGAGCTAATAAATTAGCAACGTAAAAATCAAATTTATTTATTTCATCACACCTTTTTCCCGAATGGGTAGGCAGAGACCACGCATATCCACTCCCTACGGTCTTGACATGCCTCTCTCGCTTTCGTGACAATCACCTTGCATGCTTGTCGGTTATGGGTGCTTTTAACTTGTCCCTTCTCTGGTACACATGGCCATGCATTGCATTCTGCATGGACGGATGGTTTGGCAATCATTGTCATAATTTCCTCTTTTAATCTAACTTATATAATTTTAATTAGCTGTTTTATCCTATACGCAAGTATGAACTAACAATCTTATATTTTGAACCAATTTGCGTTTATAATATGTTCTTAAAATATGAATCTAAATTTTTATTCTCTGATGAGAAGTATATTTCAAGACTCACCTATTAGAGATCGACTATGGGTGACACCCGTTGCACTGTGCCTTCTATGGTAAATGTTTATTGTATTGTTTAATTGCTTAAATCAAGAAGTCAATACAAGAGATCGATCTGAGTATTGAATGAGATTTCGTAATGTAGGGGCCGGCCCAAAGTTGAAATCTTTCGTAAGACGACCCTTGAGCCGGCACTTTCTCCGCGTTTCGAATGTGAAATGCTCTTTTATGTAAGATTTTTAACTGAACTTTAAACCTGCAAAAATTTATCGCTTTCAGTCTGCCATTGCAGTAATCTGACCTACATACATGTTAAAACAAGTGTTAAGCCAATTTAAGTTTATTGGTACTGAATTAATAGGGGAAAATAACGAAATTAATAACTAAAGGGAAGCTGTAAGTGCCTCGTGGGTCATGGTTGAAAATAATATTGTTTACGTTGATTTGGATAATTCCAGTTGTTACGCAGAGGGATATATTTCTATCAAACGTCATTATACAACTTTCCAGTCTGATCAAACTGATCGTGTATTAAATATTATGTATATCTATCAATCTGTTTCGTGTCTTTTCTAAAAGGCAAGTAGGTGATCAGCCTTCTGTGCCACACGCCGTCGACTTTTGGTTCTAAGGCATGCCGGTTAATGCGTGCGAATGTAAAATAGACATAGACAGAAATATGTGCACCGCCAGGATTCAAACGTACGATCTCAGAGTCGCATGCTGATGCCATTAGGCCAACACTGCTTTGTCGTTATCACCAGAGAATTATTTTTCTGATGGTTGTATATGTAAATTTTTACTGCTGAATTTCTTAATTGACATGCATGTAAACTAACCAATTCATTCATAGAAATATATTATTTTTTATTATTATTACTAAGCCTTTCTTTAATTCCTTATAAATAAAATATTTACAGCACAAAAAAAAAATTGAATCTAGAATAAAGTTTAGTGAAGGGTTTGAACACCATCTTGGGTATAGACCTCCTTCAGCTTATCGCATTCATCTTTGATTTTCGATAGTTGCATATACATGTTTAACAGATAGGGGTTGGGTTTTGATCAGAGCCTTTAGTTAAGAGTAATGTGTGTCTAATCGATGTATGCAGCAATTCTCTGATCCAATTATTAATAAATCCGTTCGATTCTCGTTATTCAATCAAGTTGGGACGTTTCAATTTCTGTTGTGTTTTTATTTGAATTCCGAATTAAACGTTGCCATGTTGCCAATCAAAATTTTATTCTGCATTTAACTGCAGTTTCTTGTTAAGGTTGCATATGAATTTAAGATTGTGAAATGAATGAGTCTTTTTTTTGTTTACCTTGGTGTATTTAATAATTGTCGTTTAAATGGTCGGAGCTTTCATAATTTATTGATTTGACACCGTACTAATTTTAATGAAGGTACTGGATATTCCGCTACTTGCTGCTTAGTACATTTAACGATTTGTCTTTTAGTGTCAATTACAACTTGCGCAGTGTTGTCAGCGTGTTACTCTCGTCCCTGAGGTTGTGGATTCGATCCCTGGCTGTGCACCAATCGGCTTTCTGTCTATGTGCGCATTTAACAATGGCAATTTCTGGCAGTGTCTCGGACGCGTACGAATTTACTCACAGAAGCACCATTTGCGCGTGTCTTGCGCACCCTAAACACTATTGCTTGTGAGACGGATAGGTATTTAGTTGCACGCAGGCTGAATTCACAAGAATTGCATTATTTATAATTAGTTAAAAAAAGTTTAGGTTTTTAGTTCAGTTTTCTATTGTATTAGTAAACAATGTGAGGAAACCCGCATGTCTTAGGCACCAAAACTTGACGGCGTGTTTCAGGCAAATAAGGGTACGGAACGAAATAGATACAAACTTTGAGGCCCAAACCAAAAAGGTTCTAAAGCGATTGGTTTATCTACTGATTATTCTTGCTATAGTAATAAATGTCAGAAATAATTTGAGTATTAAATAAATTTTGAATCTGTATTCTAAATGCAAAGTAGGTTTAATGGCCGATGAATATTGGTTTAGTCAATAGTGAGGCTGTAAAGCAGTCAATAAGCTTAAAGTTAACGACGTTTGAGTGCTGGCTCGTTGCCGGCTAACCGCGTTGTTGCCAATGCCAAAGGTGTTTAGTATTTACCACTAATCAGGGCCTAGGTTTCGACAGTCGACTAATAGACAATAAGATGTAGGACAATTAATCACGTATTACACCGATTCTCGGGGAATGTTTCTAGTTGTACAGTACAAAAGGATCACCATGTCTCCTAATATAAATAAATCAATGGCGCTACAACAGTAGGTGATCAGCCGTCTGTTGCCTGACGCACGCCGTTGGCTTTTTGGGTCTAAGGCAAGCCGGTTTCCTCACGATGTTTTACTTCACCGTTCGAGCGAATGTTAAATGCGCACATAGAAAGAATGTCCATTGGTGCACAGCCGGGATCGAACCTACGACCTCAGGGATGAGAGTCGCACGCTGAAGCCACTAGGCCAACACTGCTATATATATATATCCTCCCAATATCTTCCTTATTATTTTTCATTATTGTCCCTTTCACTGTTAAGATATGTTTTAATTGCTTTGCTCTGTTCCATTAGTTTTGTCTGTGTAATTTGATGTCTTGTGCACTTCTTGCGCTCACCTTATCTATTTTTTTCTCAATGCCTGGACATCACTCGGAGCCAGTTGCCCACTTTTTAATTTAATTATTTTAGTTTTTGAGGTTTTGTCGTTTGTCCCTTGGACATCTTATTAACAATTTTAGATGTAAATAGAAACGTTTGAAAATCACCAACTTATGTTGCACAGCGTGGTCGTATGTAAACATATGAATGTTAAATGTGGCTCGATTTCCTCTGGCGTTGCCATCTTAGCAAGTGTAACTAAAATATTTACCCGTGCGGTGTGCAGCGAATGATCGTCATTTGTCTAGTTCATTGTTCGTTGGCAGTTGGCACACGCTAATGTAGTCGGCCTAGCAACGCTCCAATCCATTCACCTCTCACCGAGCGTGAACGGTTATGTTGAATACTGCCGCACCCGGTCCAACATTTACTTTTCATATTCCAATTTTAAACTTATCGATAGCACCTGACAAGACGTTTCCCACGATACAAATCGTGATTATGAGTCATCGACCTTTTTTGTAACAATTCCAATGAACTGAATTACTTCATCGGATTTTTCAATTATTCAAATCATTAGTGACGAATATTGTGTTCAGACATAGAAGCGTTTTCAATTGATCACGTGGTGAACGTCTGTTTATTTTCCTAACGTCACGTGAAGTGATGAGGTGATGTACATTTTATTACTTTGTTTTGTATCATGAGTTGTGGAACAAACGGGTTTCAAAAGAATTGTCGTTTTGGTTGAAGAGGTTTGCTGTCGGAGTTAATGCGACATCAGTACATTCACTACCTTTCACTTCCTGCTTTTATTTACCGCTCTAGTCAAAATGGCCTTGCATACCTTCTCGGCATCCCTTCGTTAAAGCGTATACGTCTAACACCATACAGACAATACGTTAGCAATTTTTGGAAGTGGTTTCCTATTGTAATGATTTGCAATTACCCGATGACATCACGGTGGCAAAAAGTCGAATGTTTTAGATGTGGTTTTCGTAGCGTGTGTTAGAACCCAGGGCCGCAGTAACCTTGGCTTTTGAGCGGCGACTTTCACGGTTAGACCGCTTACATAAGATGGACGCTCGTGTCAAAGACGAGCGCTATCTGCTATGATGACATCGCCATTCACTTAACACTGGAAAACTGGTTTTTTAATGTCACGTAATTGCTAGCATAAGTCAATATGAATATAGATTTACTAGCTGACCCGACAAACGTTGTTTTGTCATTTATATTATTTCTAGGAAACATTTTTTTTAGTTCAATAAAAATAATCTGCTATAATAAAAAATAAGGGTTGATCGTAGGGGGGTGAAAATTAAGGGTTGTACCTATGTATTTTTGTGTTGTGTATAATAAAAAAAAAACATTGTTTTTATCTAAAACATAAAAAGAAGACTCAGGCTTACTGAATATGCCGAATTATATTCATAAGAATCGGTCGAGCCGTTTCGAAGGAGTATGGGAACATTGTGACACGATAATTTTATATATTAGATATTGATACAATAAAGGTACGCCAGTATTCGACTTTTAAACGCCATGTCATTATTTAACCGGTCTGTAAGTGACTTAGCCGAACCGGCAAAGTGCTTAGACGTTTTTAATGTGTAACACGTTAGTAGTTAATCTATTGACGGTTTTTTATAGATTTATGAATATATTATGAAATTGAGTCTGTTTTTTATGATAAGAACGTCTATTTAATATTTTCGAATGAGACATCAAACCAAGTTTGATTGTTTCTTAGTGCATAATGCACACAATATAACATAATTCTCTTACAGACACATTTATCAGCTCCTTTTATTGTCTTCTTGTATTCTTCTTTCTTTTAATAAGCACGGTATTGTTATGTAATATAAATATGTTTTTAGGTTAAATAAAATCAAAGCACTATTCGTTATCTCAAAGCATCGAAAGTTAGTTTTGAAAATGGACAAAAGACTATTATAGTGACAATTGTTTAACGTATGCTTTGTAAAATTCCAGGTACAAGAGCGGGGAGCGCTCAGTGAGGGGCGGGGGCGGTGGCGGGGAGGAAGGGCGGCGCGGCGGCCTCAAGGCGCTGCCGAAGCGCGCCCGAACCCGCTGCAGGGTAATGAACATGGGGCAAAAGCTCTCCGGCGGTGTTAAGTCCGTGCCCCGCGAGTGCACGGCCCCCTTCAAAGCAGTGGTGGCGAGGGAACTAGCCCCGGAGCCGCCGAGACCAGCGAGGCTCGACGCGTTGTTGGATGCGCCGCCCGCCCATCCTGACACGCAAGTCAAGCATGCCTGGAACCCAGATGACAGGTAATTTTTTTTTATAGAACAAAAACGGGCAGGAGGCCCGTCTGATATATATATAAGTGATACCGCCGCCCACGGACACTCTCAATGCCGGAGGGCTCGCGAGTGCGTTGCCGGCCTTTTAAGAATTGCTCTTTTCTTGAAGGGCCCTAAGTCGAATTGGTCATAAAATATCATACATAAGGCCGATAGAGGGGATTTTATTGACACACACGTCTTAAAAATTTAATTTCGGATAAACATTGAAATTTAAACGTATCTTTTGGCATGTACCTATTACTATGGCCAGACAAGTTTTGTTAAATGCTCTTCAGCAAATGTCTCAAAGAGATATCGTGGGAAGGATTGATGTCTCACCTGCCTTACCTGCTAACTATTGTCAAGGATAGTTCCCCTATGAAATTTCTTGCATATCATCCTTTACAATATTCTCTATGAAAACAGGTACCACGTCATTATTAATGGTTTTGACAAATATTGCGCAATCGCATATGAAATTATTATAATACGCAAAGTTTAATATGGATTTCGTTTTTCCACCTCTAACAATTCAGTGAAGTTTCATAAAAGCATAATATTTTTTTTGGGTTTATCGCGTTAATACGTAAGAATCGAGTACAACACTCTCTTCAATGTTTTACATATGATATTTCACGTTTGACATAACACCAAGTTCTCACGAGTGGAATGCGTTAAAACTACTTCTTGGCAGTCACCGGCTATTAAGCGGATATTTATGTTGACTCAAACACTGAACACACTGCGCATCCGAGTCAACTCTAACTTTAAGTTTTTAATTACACAACTCTTATATATATGAAGTTTGTGTCTGCGGTTCAGTTTTCCTTTGTCTTTCCAGCTAGTATGTAATAATTCGCTCTACGAAATGACATACCAAAAACATAACTTTAATTGCGATGCGCACATCTAGTACACTTTTAATAAAATACCTATTGGTAATAGCTACAAGCGAAAAAACAACTGTCAAATTCTCGTTCTATAGAAAAAATTATTTTGTATTAATTATCTCTGGTACTTAAAATATTATAGAGCTCGGATGTTAGTCATCTCCACAGCAATGTTCGATTTTTAAAAAATGACATTCTCCTGGCACTCTCGTTATATTTGAATTGAGAATTTCCGTTAAACCTTGTACAAAGAGAAAAGTCACTCGAATATTTGGCCACTTCCCACTACACAATACCATTGTGTGTTCCCCTTCACTATTGTACCTAAGAAAAAGAATTATTTGTATGCGTTCACAAATGTGTCCTTGCCGCTTGCCATTTAACAGCCAATTCTCCTCATACGTATTTGGCAGCACAAGGTTGTCTTATCGATAAACTCGTAGGTCAATGGGTCTTCATTTCGTAATTAATTCACAATAATTTCATATTGGCGATAAACCAATGGAACATAATTTATATTACACGAATACGATAGTAATTTTAATGACTGCTGTGAAAATTAATTTTAATAAAATAATAAATCGATTGTGATGATTTCCTCTCGTTTAGAAAAACCTTTTTGTGCCGAAATTCATCAAAATATCTAATGTGTATGTAGATTATCTGTCTGTGGTTTTGTCTGATTATTTAAAATACTTGTTTAATTAAGTATATACTGATGAACTTAAAAAAATATGACGTTTTCTTCGTTCGATTTGTTCACTGTTGTTATAATTAAAAATCAAAATATAACAATAATAGTAAATGTAGATTTTTGGGCTAGTCCTTTATATGCCCAATTAAATTAATTTAAATATCTGCTTAAGGGTGGTGGGCTTAAAAATTATTACCACGACATAATCCTTTAAGACACACAACTTTTTATATAATACCTGATTACATCACGATAACAAAATTTTGTTCCATGTCAGGGGAATTTTTATCTGTGCGTATCCATCCTGCGACACAAAGTATACAGAACTAACTCTTTCCAATCAATTTCCAGGTCGCTAAATATATTCGTGAAAGAAGAAGACGCGTTAACCTTCCACCGGCATCCAGTAGCCCAAAGTACGGATTGCATCCGTGGTAGAGTCGGCTATTCACGAGGTCTTCACTGTTGGGAGGTGGTATGGCCCGCGAGGCAGAGAGGCACGCACGCAGTAGTCGGTGTGGCAACATCGCACGCGCCGCTTCACTCTGTCGGCTACCAGAGCCTGGTGGGTGCGACGGATCAGAGCTGGGGATGGGATCTTGGTAGGAATAAGGTAATTCAATTTGTTTTTTTTTACACTTCGTAGCAGAGTAGTACAGAATACTGTACAATTAAAATAAATAAATAAAAAGGAGGACAACTGGCGGACTTATCGCTTTGGAGCGATCTGTTCTAGGTAAGCACTGTGAAAAAAAAAATTAAATTAGGTAAGGTGAGCTCAAGAAGTGCAAAACTACATAAGACATATTATTTATTTTTTTGGAAATAAATACTTTAATATTGTTTTGTATATTTGAAAATGGATCAAGCTTTTTATTCCTGTTAAGGGTGATTTGAATTTCGAATGAGGTTTAATCACCAAAAAGATCGTTTCCTTTCTTATTTTTCTTATAAAGGTGATGAAAAGTAGAGTATACCTCGAATGACACAATTTTAAACTCGAATGACCCTCGCTCCACTTTGGATTCAAAATACAGTCTAATCGTAAAAATATTGGTTTGCTTCTTTGGCAAGCTATTACTATTGTATATGGACTGCAGGGTTACTTATTAATCCGTGATTTTCCGCAATAGAAAAGGAAATATTTTTCGTTAAGATTCGAATTTTGGACAAACTATTAAAACTAAAACATGTGTGTGTCTAAAATATTTAGTAAAACAAGTCCTTTTTAAATTTTTTAGTAAAATAAATTACAGTATAATGGTATATTAAAACGCACGTTCTATTACATAATATTATAAGAAAAGTGATGTTTACTTAGTAGATTATGAACTAACCTTGAGTCAGGCGATAGCATGCACATAATTCAACTATTAAATTGTGTTTAATACTTCAACAACAATCTTGTAACAACAAATTATTTTCTATCATTCAGTTTGCATACACAAAAGTCGACAGATCTGTTACAAAACCCACTATGCTCCATATAACAATCTAAAATAAATAAATAGTGGCGCTACAACCTTTTTTAGGTCTGGGCATCAGATTTCTGTATCCGTTTCATGATCATTTGTCAATTTAATATGCAAGTAGTCGATCAGACTCCTTTGCCTGACACACGTCGTCGACTTTTTGGGTCTAAAGCAAGCCGGTTTCCTCACGATGTTTTCCTGCACCGTTCGAGCGAATTTTAAATGCCCATGCAAGTCCCTGGGTTGTTGTCTGTGTACAGCCGGGGAGCGAACCTACAACCTCAGGGATGAGAGTCGCATGCTAAATACGCAAATTGGAAAAAATTCTAAACAGAGCTAATTGTAGAGACATTTAATATATCAACAGTGACCATACGAATCGTAAAGGGAATGTCAATAGATACAACTTTAGTTGTGATTGTATTTATTTCATATCATCATATGTGCCTTCTAGAAGGTCATGTTGGTGTTGCATATCTGCCTCCATTCCCCCCTGTCTCCCTTGCCTGTAATAAGGCCTGTAAGGATCTGAACTTGGTTGGTCCAGCGAGTAGGGTCCTAGGAGTCTCGTGCTTTGCTTCCCCTTTATTATCTTTCGGACAATGTAAAATCCAAAATAATCTGATATATGCTATATAGTACAGTGAAAGTCTAATTCCAATGGCGCTACAACTCTTTATCATTTAGGGCCACCATCTTGTCAAACTTTTCTTTGCAAGGAGGCGATCAGCCATCGGTGGCACTCCATACTAGTTTATACTAAGAATTTTTCTTGTGTCTTTACTAAGACGTCATGGAACTTTACAATCTAGCCTAACTTAAGATTAATAAGTAGATAATTTAAGTCTAACCTAATTTAATAATAAGTATTTTGACATAAAAAAATTGTGTCCAATAACACTACTTACAGTTAAAGGGAAGACACTCTGTTCTTGAGTTCTATTTTTGAAGTGAAACTTCTTTATCGAGGTTGGAAAAAAATTTAGTGTAACATTTTTTCGTTACGCGTCGCATTTTTCGGTTACGCGCCATGTTGCTTTTTGAAGTCAAACTTCTTTATCGGCGTTGGAATGAAACTTCTTTATCGACGTATGGGAGAAATTTTGTAGCAAATCGTCACGTTTTTCAATGATAGTAATAATTCTATTACAATTAATGAAATTCTATAATAATCTTCGTAGTAATAAGGTAAAATGAAATATTTGTATTTAAAGTGAAAAATAAGATCATAAAGAAGTTTCACTTCTTACGTGTGTACACCTAGTACACGCACAATTTTTTTTTTTAATTCACTGTGTAGCACTTTATACTAACGTGCACTATCACTTAATCACTAGTTCAAATGGTTTTCTGTCTTCTGATTAGGCCCGTAGTGTTAAGGAGTGGAATAGCCTTAAGATAATACTAATAATACTGTACATGGGAAGTATCAGTGCAAAATTTAATTTTTATTTTGTTCTCTTCAGGTGTACCACAATGCGAAAGGCACAGGCAGCAGTGGTACCACGTATCCGGCTCTCCTACGACCGGATGAACAATTCCTAGTACCGGACCGATTACTAGTGGTCCTTGATATGGATGAAGGCACTCTGGCCTTTTGTGCTGATGGTCGTTACTTGGGCGTGGCCGCTAGAGGTCTCCGCGGGAAAACACTGTATCCCATAGTTTCCGCTGTATGGGGACATGCCGAGATCACTATGAAATACATTGGCGGGCTCGATCGTGAGTATATTTCAGTATTACAAATATTTGCGAGATAATTTTGATATTGATTTAACATTTGAGTCTAATTATCAAATGGAATGTCAATATTCAGTCAAATCAAATTATCAAGATGAATGCACCGCCTAATTGGTTTAATAAATTATATATAATACTAGCTTCCACCGTGAACTTCGTCTCTCCTTATTGTATTTTTTATTTAGCCTACCTTTTTAGTACATATCAACATGGAACATTTTGCTATGCTACCCCAGACTGTTTCGGTTTTCTGGAATGAAAACTTTTTAGGTTTTTCTGTGAGTTCAAGTCATAAGATTTTAATTAACACATACAAAAATTGGGGTTGATCGTAAAAGGGTGAAAATTAAGGGTTGTATGTAATTTTGAATGTATGTCTGTAACATAAAAAAAGGGATGGACCACTCATAACATTTAGGGGTTTGAGAGAAAAATAGTAGTCGATTCTCAGACTTACTGAATATGCATAAAAAATTTCATAAGAATCAGTCAAGCCGTTTCGGAGGAGTATGGGAACAAATATTGTGACACGAGAATTTTATATATTAGATATTTTTGATTCGATATATATGTTATAACTTTATTACTAAAGTTTTAGTCTAATCTTGTTAAATCATCGTAATCATCTAATTAGGCTATTGTCCTCATATTTACCCAGAAACTCTCGTTAATTTTTAATATAGTATTTTAAACAGCAAAATCTCTTTTCAGCCGAACCGCTCCCACTAATGGAGCTCTGCAGACGCGTGATAAGACAGCGCGTTGGTCGTAGCCGGCTCAGGGCTGCGGCGTCTCGCCTCGCTCTGCCCCCGGCCCTCACCGCCTACCTCCTGTACCGGGCGCCATAGCACACACCCCCACACACACACGCGCGCGTGCTGACACAAAACGTGACGTCACGTGGCGTGCACGCACACACGCACGCGAGTGACGTACACGTGAACTTACAAGCACGCTCTGACCGCCTCAATCGACTGAGCCCTGTAACACTTGTTCGTGGACGTTGAAGTACCGCCATTACTGCAGAGTTTGTGAAAAAACATTTATTTACCGAAACAGTGGGGTTATGTTTGATTTTGTGTTTCAAAGAAAAAACTTTATGATAAAAAACTCGCAATTTTTTTTATATTTCATGGTGGTACTGGCGGTGAAGCGTGTGACGTCACAATCGATTTGTATTCGTTGCATAGTATAAAGTTCTTAAAATACAGTATATGAGAAACCGGTATTTTGTCAGAAGGAGCGTTCAAGTATTACGTAACGCAATTTTTGGAGATTATTGTCCCCCCCCCCCCATGTTACTCGCCGTAACGTTATTCAGTACCCAAGTACAGTAAAACGTTTCGTGATCTCCTTGTGACTCTTTATTTACTATTATGTGGTGTAAGTCGAAAAAAATATTAACAATAACGCGTAATTTAATCCCCGCCCCGCAGCATAACGTTTTACAAAAGGAAAAAAATACGCTGTACGCTCCCAGATTGAACTTACATTTGGCTTTATATATTTAAGCAGTGTTCATTTCGAACACGTGCAACGGGGTTAAAACGCTATTAAACTAAATAGAAGAAAACATGACAGCAAAGTTGAGTTTTACAATTTAAAAACTACAACAAATGCGTTTTAATCCGGTAGATTTAGTTTCTCACATACGGTATTTTCAAAAAGCGCATAGGCCATACAATGTATAATAGCGATGACATAGAATTACAGGTGTTTAGATGTAAAGCTGTGCCTACAAAATACACGAGCTACCTACAAGCAAGTAACGCTAAAGCCCATTATGAAGTTGTCCTTACATTGCTAATTTATTCATTTATATATTTTCATGCTTTTCAATAGCAGTGTGGAGACAACCAGTCGAACCTTGATAAGACTAAACTGAACGATTTTTTGCCAAAAAAAGGAAGAAAAGCCTGGGTCACGTGACCCGCGAACAATGTATGGAAATAGTCACGTGACTGCAGGCTTTTATTAAATTGAAAACAATAAATAGCGAAAAAAAAATTATGGAAGTTATAACTCCCGGTTTCTATATCGAAGATACAGACAACATACTTAGATTATTCTATAGAACCCTTATTTTGACTTGATAGATATCTATTAACTATTACTACCCGTATCCTCGATATAGAAACTAGTAAAATCATTTTCCATATGTTATTTCTCGAAGGTTTTTCTTTCTTTAGGAAGGTTCGATATTTAAAATCGCTTTCGTTCCAATCCTCATAATTAGTAATATTATAGCATAATTTCGATTCGATTAATTGATACATTGTCTCGATTTTTTATTTTTATATTGTCTGTGATAGTTATACTTTAAATGGATGACAGTTTAAAAATATAAATACACAACCGATTTTTTACAATTTTATATTGCTTTTTGTGGTAGACTTAAGTTAGAAGCGACACTGAAAATTACCAAAACTTATTTAATTTTTCAATTTTCAATACGATCTCAGTATGGGGTCTGCATCTAGTCATGCAGGAATCGTATTTTAACTAGAAGTATCCGCTCGCCTCGGAACGTTCGCGGAGCGATTGACATTTGACTTTGAGTTTGAAAATGGAACGAGCTCGAGTGAAGGTCGCTCCATGAGTTGCCAGCGTTAAAAATAAGAAATGTCATTGTTTATCTTATCGTTAGTACTACAGGCCAGTGTAATCGTTGGCGATAATACTATGTTATATTAAGTGACTGGTTTATTTTAGTTTAGGTGATTAATTCCTATTGTAAAATGGTGTGAGTGTGATGTATATATTATCCGGCTACGCATACTCGAATCATTAATCGCCGATTTTAATATCGTTTAGTAATTTCGAGTTAGACTTCATGACGTCTTCTGTTGTGACATAAGATTAGGTATAAACGCAATAAATTAATGAGAATAGTATTTTTAAAGCACGATACTAATCGAAATGTCAGCCATTTTCGATCCAAATTAGTTATTATGAACGTGTAAATTAAGTACTTCCATTTTAATAGATTTCTTTCGTAGGATATGTCGCATGTGTAGACCCGCGCGGGCCCTCGGCCGGTATTCATTTCGGCTATTCATATTTTATATGCTATGATTTTGTGTGATTTATTTTGAGCGATGTGAATATCGGTTCTGGGGTAATCATGAAACTGCCAAATGCGAATTGTACGTATGGAGTATGATTGTGTGAGTAATGCGGCGTGTGTGTGTTAGAATGATAATTTTCGTTGTGTAAGAGATAATAAACATGGGTAATGTAAAACACCAAACGACGCATTGTTGGAATCCTTTGAGATGCTCTCACGACCAAGACTTTGCATTTTTTTTGCATCTTTATGTCAGCGTTTAGGCGCCCGAAAGGATTGTACACATTAATTCAATATTATTTGAGTTCTATGAACAGCAGTTAGTCCTGTATATAAAATAAACATCGTTTGCGGAGTTCAATGACTTTATTAATAAGTGAAAATGCATTTTAGTTTTATAAGTTGTAGGCAATATTTTTAAAGTCATGTCTAAACAGATTTCAGATTGGTATTCGAATCTCTTAGATACAATGATTGAGAAATAGCAAAACAATTGGATACATAAATATAACTGGTTAAGAAATAAAATGATACGAAATTAGATAATGTTTTTTTATTATTTTTCCAAAAAATTCAAACTCTGCAGTACATATTGAACTAAATTGTATATTTATATATAATTTACTGTATGTTAAGATTAGATGCTAAGCACTTTGTTAAGGCAAGATTTTGTTTTTCTTAAAAACAAACAAAAGCTAAACATCATAGCCTGATGACCACGTAACATTCTTAAAGAAATATCATAGCATGAACAATACGTAAAAAAAACTTACGATAGTATGGAAAACCTGAGTAGTGCTTCGTGGGTCTATCTAAACCAAAGTCCAACGAGCCAATCCAGAACCCATATATTATATTGTAAATTTAGTCTAGATGTGTTCGAACTGTCACTAATTAAGTCAACCTAGAAGTTGGAGCATGCACTGCAAAAATAATATCCATTTTTACAAATCTAGTTATGGATTAGTATATTTCATTACAAGTGCGGAAAGCCTGTCATTGCAAAGAGTTTCGACAAATGTCTACCCGAGCCGAGGCGCAGCCGAAGGTGAGGGTTGACAGTCGGAACAAGTTGCAATGACGGTTCCGCACGTGTACTGACCAACTATTTTTAATACAGTTGCGAAAAAATTATGCAATTTAATAAAATAATAAAAAAACAATAAACTCAACTCACTAATCATTTATTTCTTATACAAATTATTGTTCACATATACATTGGTACAGTTTTTTATACTAACTGGAGAAGTTTTAGGTTGCATATTTATTTACTGTTTGAGATAAACTATTATTTATTTCGTATGATTATTCTTGTATATTTAATATAACAAACAACTAAACGCGCAAAGAACATTTTTGGAAAATGGCGCCCACCGTAAAAGAATATAAGCAGATATTTTTTTTTTCTTCACCCATTCTGGGTAGGCAAAGGGAACTATGCCCATACAGCCAAGTCTTCAGTACAATTTTTATTGATATGAAATTTAATGAGATGAAATGAAATCTAACCTAACTCATTGAATCAAATCATTAAATCTTATATTGAAACAAAGCAGTAGGTAGCTTCTTTTTAGAAATATTTGCATGAATCATAAAAATTTCTATTAATTTTTTTTAGTAAAAACTTCGTGGTTGTTTTTTTCTTTTTAATACACATTATTTTGACAGTTGGGAAAGAAAACGCACTAGTTCGGAAAAGGTAAAAAAAAAGCACGAGTGTGTAATAGCCCACATCCCGAACGCTATACGTCCCTGCAATACGCCACTTTTTGAACAACTGTATTAAAAAATTTATTGCATTAGAAAATGTAAGCGAATCCAAGAAGGCGAATTAATTTTTTTTTTTTTTTGACAATTCACACCAATTGACCTGGTCCCATGCTAAGCTGGTGAAGCTTGTGTTATGGGTACTAGGCAACAGATATACATACATATTATAGATAGATAGACATATATATACATATTTAAACACCCAAGACCTAAGCACAACACCAAATGCTCATCACATTGATTTTTGTCTCAGCCGGGGATCGAACCCGGGACCCATGGATTCGCAGTCAGGGGTACTAACCACTAGACCAATGAGTCGTCTATGTAAAGGTGCGCTTACACGGGCAACTAAAATTGCTCAATTCCAGTCAATACTCGTCAACTATGACGTCACGACTACATCAAGCAATTTACGGCAACGGCAACAAGCAGCAATACTGCGCAATACAATATTGAGCGATATGGCGCAACTTCATCAACTAGGCAATACTGTCCTACACGAGCAATTTAGTATTCGCTCGCTATAGACGACATTGTTCTTGCTGCGGCGGCTTGTAGCGCTTTTTTCATTATTAATCAAAAACAAAAAAGATAGAAAAGGAATAGGCGTATCTGGGTGCGATCGTTTTTGGCCGCAATTTTCATTGTGTAAATAATTAGATGATATATTATTCAAAAACTTTACTAGAATGTCACGAACAGACTTTGAATTACTTTTGAATAAAGTAATTATAAATTATTATTATTTAGACCTCTCGCTCTCCCCGCGGAAGCAAGACGGCAAGCCGCAAAACAAACAAGTGCGAATGAGATATATACAAAAATTGCTAGGAATTTCCAAGTCCATTGGATATTCGTCAATTCGTATCTGCGACATTGAGCGATATGAAATATGTGGAGCAATTAGAAGCAATATCGCCGAAATAATTTATTGAAATATATTGAATTTATTGAAATTGCTCCATTAATTGCTCCAGATCGGTCCATTCGTGTTGCCGAGCAATTATTGCCCTCGTGTAAGCGCACCTTAATATATGCAGCATCTGTGGCATTAATTTTAGTTGACATACCATTATATTTTATGGATACATAATAAAGATCAAAGACAAACCAAAAGCAATATTGGCTTTCAAAATTAGGAATTTGACAGTTATAAGCAAGTGATTGTTTCATGGTCTTTTCACCATAGACAATTCAGCTACAAGACATTCACCCTACCATAAAGTCTTCCAGGTAAGGTGGTGGACGATTTTTGCCTGAATGCCGCAAGGGTTCGTCGCTTAGAGCTAAGTCTTTGGCGGGGTTGATATATCTCTAATCTTGACAATGTTCGTTCATCATAGTCTTACTGTACTGTACTCTCTCTTGATATTTAATATGAACATATTTGTCGGATTACTCTGTATGAGTCCTCCTTCAACTAACGAGTCGAATTTAGAATTTCGAACACGCTTTTTAATGAGGATAGGGTCAGGAGTCATGAGCTAATTACACCTCATAGTAAATGTGGTAGAATATGCAGAGACCTTACATCTCTACGCAATGCCAAGGGATCAAGCCGCTCGGAAAGTGACTGGTCGTCGACGATTCGAATCACTATTCGCCCAATACGGTTACAAGTAGAAGGAGCTGGTACTGGGGTGCCCCCAGAGGTGAGTACTCCATATGTGGCTGAACATGCCCTTGATATAGTTGCAAGCGATGCCCCGAAGTGAAGTCTATCTCGCCTTATTGAGCACACTGCGCTTTTTGGAAACTAATTAGGCCTTTCCCTTCAAAGGACTGCGAAACTGTACATCTTTTGATATGTCAACGCCCAGTATGCTACGAGCGACTTCGCCGCTATTCAGCTGGCAGCCCTTTAGATACCCCAGGAGCTGTCAATTGTAGTTTCTATTATTTTGGAGTACGAGAGGTTATGGCTATTGAACGATAGTTGGAAGGATCAGAACGATCGCCTTTTTTAAAGTATTGAGTGTATTGAAGCGATCTTTCAGCCGTTTGGGACAGTACTGAACGAGTTTAGGTTAAAAGGCGCGTTAGGACCGGAGCCAACCCAAAAACACAAGCCCGCAGCACAATTTTGACATGATGGCACCCGGCTTGCTCAACTTATAGGATACGATTAAGGGGATAAGACTTAACGTACTACTCGTTGCAGGAATATGGCAACGAAGTATAACACGACAAAATTATGAGTAGTGCCCTCCCTTTGTCATCCAAATTCGATTCAATCATTGTCTTTTTCTCCATAGACAGTTCAGCTAAATGACATTCACTCTTGACAATTTGCACTTATCAGTTAATTATTATTGACATTAGACGTAATGGCGCGAAGACCAACATAATTAAACCCAGACTTCTATACTTCTGTATTTTTTATTACAATTGAATGCGTTTCAAAATAATTATAGAAAATGGCTCAGATTTCACTATCAATAAAAGGTAGAATTTTTAATGTAAGTAAAGATATACTCTGTGAATATAGCGATTACTTTCGGGCTATGTTTAGTGGGAACTATGTGGAAACCAAACAACAAGAAATTAAAATAGATGTAAGTACTTATTAAATAATTTAAACAGAAACGTATTAATGTCATGAATAATATGCATATATTATTTCAGACCCTAGAGCCGGACACGATGGAACTAATTTTAAAATATATGCAAATGGGTTTAATTGATCTTTCCGATCACTCTTTAACGACTATAGGCGAGATTGCAATCGCAGCCAGCTTTCTTCAGATTACTGAGCTGATAAAGCAAATTGAATACATATTGGACCTTCAAATTTCAGTATCAAATTGGATACAAATAATGTCAATATCTGAACAATGTTCTTATGCCAAGATAGAAAAGCTAGCAATTGTGCATGGACTTTTATCATTTCAAAATATGAAACCTGAGTATGTTCCCTCTATACATGTACTAGCTTGGTATTTGTCTCATCCATTTTTGGACTCTGAAAGTGAAGGAGCAATTTTTAAATTTGGATATGAATGGTTACTTCATCATGAAACTGGTGCAGATGCTTTGTTAATAATTTTAGGATGTTTGGATATCAAAAGAATTACCCCAACAGAGCTAAAAGAAATCAAGAAACTGGTAAAGGAATATGAGAATAGCTTGGCTGCCAAAGTTGTTGATTGCTTGTATGATTTATTTGACAAAAACTGGGAATTGACATGCAAGAGCTTGCAGGATCATAAGACTATAATTTGTCAGAACTTTACAGAACGTGTCTATAATGAAGTACTGAATAACATAAGAAATAGCTCAGTTCGTAAGCTGTTGTACACTCCCGTAATACCTATTTGGATATTAAAAGACACAAAACCAGAGTTCTTACCACATTATCTGTTCTCTTTCACCCATGAGAATAAATTTCAACAATGGTTGGAGGTGGCTGAGAAGAATCTATGGGGTTGGAGTATTGTGTCTTGGGGTCCAAGTAAAATAGTTCTTGTTTGTGGTGAGCATGGACGAGGCACAGGGATATATATGAGAGATGTAAAAGTGTATGACACTTTGAGAAAGGACTGGATATGGCATGGAGTTCATCTTCCTCATAGAAGACATGCCGGTTGTGCTGTGATAGAGGATTCTTTATATATGATTGGAGGAGTAGGTGCGTTTAGGTCAGTTTTATGAAGAAAAATATTCCTTAACTGTTTAATTTTTAGTATGAAATATTCTTAGAAAATTTATAACAAAGGCACAATTCTTTGTGTAGTGTTTTTTAATTATGACATTCATTATAAATGACCTGTATAGAGAAGCGTTTTTTTCAAAATAATTCTTATACAATTTTTTTATACAGGGTAGTTTTGGACACAGCAGTGATATATGACTTAAAACAGAGATCATTTAGGAAAATAGCTAAATTCCCAGACTCCATACAGAATCCAGCCGTATGCTCACATGACAATAGTATTTATGCAGCTGGACATAAAAATATTTACCAATATGAAGACCAGGGTGATAGAAGGGATCAATGGAAAACTGTAATAAGTACCGAGATAAGAATGAGCTGTATGAGGTCCTATAGAAAATATATATATTGTATACAAAGTTATTTTAGCAATTTATATAGATTCAGGCCAGGCATAGATAAAAAGCTGGAATTAATTACTTGTTTTTCAAGCCCCCCATCTACTATGTGCAATATGCGTAAGTAATTTTTCTCTCAATTTTGGTAATGTAAGTAACTTGATTCTTAAACAAACTGAAGAGCTAATTCATGCTAATCAAGTAAACAGTTTTTTTGTTAAAATTCATATATTTAAACAAATTTATTTAATAGGAATAACATTGATTGTCTTTGCTACCTGATGCTTCAGTTCAGACTAATGAAAGAGGTCTGACGCATAGGGCAGGACTTATTTCAGATTCACTGATAATAGATAATTGACTATTGGCTAAAACGCATTCGACATACGATTGATTGGTGTGAAATTTAGCACTTAATTACCCATTTTTTAGAATTATTATCTAACTAGTAGACTCGGCCAAGCGTTGCTCTGGCTAAGATTTTTGTTATATTACATAGTAGTAAACTATTCAAGGGAAACGGTAGGAGAACTTATGTGAAAGGTAGATGACAGCTTATGTGAAACGTTGATAATTTTAACACAGCGCCATCTGTTAGAATTGTATCAAATAATAAACAAATATTTTGCAATAAATTAAAATTGCGACTTTAATTTGAGATTTAAACTATCCTATCTCTTAAGTTGGATCGAACTGCACATGGTGTGCAAATTTGATTGATATCGGTTCGGTAGTTTAGGAGTCCATTGAGGACAAACATTGTGACACGAGATTTATATATATTAAGATGTATAATCTTTATAGGTGACAATCTAGTCGTTTTTACAAGAACTGTGTCCGATGTAACGTCGGTTGAGGTTTTAAAGGGAGATACTAAAGATGAAAAGCCAAAAGTGATATACACAGAGAGAGATACAACGATAAGAGTGAATGAAGTCGCTGGTTCCTGTGTCGTTGTTCTTGAATCTCCTCCAACGGAATGGGAAGTTTCTCAATACGTCAGGAGTTATTTACAACATTATAATGAATAAATATTATTCTTGAATATTTGTTTTATTTTTTATAAAGTTGAGGCTCTGAATTAGGATTTTTTTAAATAGATATAAAATTGAATGCACCTTTGCGATGAACCCATTTAACAATTGTTTTTATATCTTTTAAAGAAGTTTTGTTTAATTGTACTTACATATACCAAATACAACAGCTGTAGGTATATACTTACCACTTTTCTGATAAAAATTTCGCCGTTACGTTTATTTTTTGACTTTAAAATGTAATCTTACGAAGTAGTATTTTCTGAAGGTACGGATTATTGCTGATTCATTAGTAACTAACAAAAGTAAAATTTAATTAAGTAAAATTCTTATATAATATTCAAAATAAACATCAATTTATCGTTACATATCTAATAAGATCTTCGCACCCATATACCATTTCCATTTATAAAAATTACGACCTAGTCACAGGATTCGTAAAGGAATTATTGTACATTTAGAAGAATTAGAAGGAATATATTTATAATAACCGACTGGCATTATAACTAAAGAGTCGAGCCACAAAGGCTCAAATGCGACTTTGTTGGTATCGTTTGTTTTGTCAACCACTCATTTCGAGATAATACGGATAACGTATTTCGTAATCTACCATTTCTGTATTATAATGCTATTCTTACTAAAATTAATCTTCTACTTGGGTTCAAACAACTCAATCTTTATGGTTAGTTTAAAAAATGAAAAACGAAATAATTTAAATACATTTATTTAAAAATCATACATCAAATCACTTTTGTCATAATTTAGCAACATAAGATAAAAAATCACTTTTTGTCATCTGGATTCTTTTCGAGGGAATGTATGAGTTTAATAATTAAAATAACAGTCTTGTATAGTTAAAGCTTATAATAAGTACATTTAATCTTCAGGGATTCTTTTAAGACATAAATTAAATATTAAAATTAAAGATAAAAAGGACAGGAATACTTCAAAATAAATTTCAATTGACATATGTAGTTATAAAAGGGTAACATATCTTAAGTTTAAAATTTATTACAAACATGTTAAGCCGTAATTGTTTCGCTGGGACTCGAACCCAGATCAGGATTACGTAAGTACGTTAATCTAAACGAACTTAGTGTAAAATAATATCATTAAGCCAATTGCGGTTTAATTATTTGCAAATTATATTCTCTACTACGGCGATATATATTATTCGCAAAGTGTATGATGTTCTAACATCGTGTCATCGCTAATAATAGTTGTGTTGTCATCGACGAAGTCCTGTGGGACGTCAATTTGAGCTGTCAGCTCTTGTAGGCCTTCAATTAGCTCATTCAGAGATGCCTAGAAAATTAAAATTTTGAATGTAAAATATAAATAACAATAATAGCACAACTGGTCTGGACCACGGATTTCTGGTTTGTGATCAACCAGTGCCTGACACATCGACTTTTGGGTCTAAGGCATACCGGTATCCTCATTGTATTTTTATCACCGTATGAATGTTAAATTAAAAGCACAGCGGTGAACCTACGAACCTAGGGATGGCAGTCACAAACTAAAACCTACCTAACTAGGCCAGCAGTGCTAATTTATCTACATATGTATATAGACTACAGAGACCAGCTGCCCTCGCGAATTTCGTTTCTTCTTAATGTGATTTTACTTAGCCTACCTTTAGTACATACTGACAAGGAACTATTGGCTATGCTACCCCCAAAAAACTTTGTCTAAAATAACTAAATGTTAAGGGTGGATGAAAAAAAGATGTTGTCCGATTCGCAGACCTAATCGATATGCACACAAAATTTCACAAAAATCGGTAGAGCCATTTCGGGGGAGTTTACCGTGACACGAGAATTTTATATATATGATTTCTTGTTTTATTTCGTGTAACTTTTGTTTTTATTATTTCTTTTTATGTGTGGCTGTTCAAATATCAAGGGCGAAAAACCCGTTAATGCCTCAAAATTCACCAAAAGTTGAAGCGGAATCAGAGTTGGAAATACACAAAGTTATTATTATCTGTACCCAATTATAACTTCTATGTTGAAGCAATAATGGAATAGTCTTAATTAACGAAATTACAAATTAATAAAAAAAGCCTAATTACCTTTGTCTCGCTGAAGTTTTCCAAATATTTATCCAAAGTCGGATCCTCTCCATCAAAAGGTTCCGCCAAAACCTTCAAATGCTCCGGCAATAACGAAGTATCAAGGTGTCCGTTGTTTTCATCGCGAAGTATTCTGAACATTCAATTGTTACTTAGTTTTTTTTAAGCAATCACATTAGCCTACTGCTAAAGTTATTCTAAATCCTGACTGGTGCGTTTGAACCCCTGGCCTCATCAATAGATCTTTACTTTATTAAACTTATATAGGTATACCATGTAAGAGTAACATTTAGGGGAGATAGGGGAGAGTTGGGCAGACGGGAGACATGTATTGAATTTTTTTTTATGTTGGTAGGATAATTTACTGGCAACACTGTTCATTTATTGATTATCTGTCATTGTAAATATTTGTGTATCAGTGTCAGACTCAGAAGGCTGATCACATGGATGGTTAAGAAATATTATCTAAAAATCAATAAAGAAGCCAGTACAAAGCGAAAATTAGTTCTTGACATATATGAGAATAGAAATGTATTTAAATAAAAATATTCAAACACTGTTTTAAGAAAATTATCCTTATAACAAGTCTGGCAGCATTTACTACACGTGGTCCTTCGGGCCGGATTATTTGACTCTAGCAGCTTACGTTACGTTTATTGTAAGTTCTTAATTAAATTAATCTAACATTAAAAAACCTACTCTTATATATTAAAATTGATAGTGTCTTTGTGTATACAAAGATTGTAGAGGGCATGCGACACATAAAAAAAATACCATATTTAAGAAAAATATACGTTGAATTGTTGTCCCTTTGGATTTTGGAATAAATAAACTATGCCTTACTTAAGTATCCTCCGTCGAGTAAATTCCGGTCCGGTAAGTACAGTGAGTGTAGCCAGGGTTGTGGTTTCGACTGCACGGGCTCGCCGTTCGAGTCTCGGCCAATCCACCCGTAAAATTATTGAATGTTTTCCACGTTTTCCCATTATACGTCTTGCACCTTGCAATTCCGCATTTGATGACAAACATCTGTATTGTACTGGAAATAAGAAAATAATTAATTGAGCTTAAAGAATAGTGTGGATAGACATATTTCTATATCTGTTTTAATTTAAGTTCTTACAATTGGGGTAACAAGGGCCCAGTTAAGCATTTACTTAAAAATATTATGTAATGTAAAGTACGCTTTAAGACTAAGAAATAAATTCGTGATACCAGATTTCAATATTGAGTTTCCGTATGGAACTCTAAATGACATCGAATGTAAATTTCGTCCTCACGTGACGTCATTAAAGTTCTTTGCAGTTCCAATAGCGGCAATAATTATTAAAATATTTGAAATTAGTAATTAGTAGCGGAGCTGTACTAGAATTAAACTTCACTATCACAATGATACTTACAGTTGAAATGCAAAGCAGCAGAAATAAAGGCCGGGACAGATGCGCGATTGTACAGAGTGAGTTCAATAGGCCGACGTAGTACGGCGCGAACTAACGCTGTCTCACCATACGTCACTAGTCCCGACCATCGAATTGGATCACCGCTTACGCATCCATGAAGTTTGATCTACCAAAATAATTCATAAATGTAAGCTGGCAACAAAACTTTGCGACTGGTGCAGCGACAAGGCCTTATTAAGGAAGATGTTGACAATGGTTTTAGTTGGTATGGAGTCAGGAAGTTCCACATAACCTTTCAGCACCAAGAATTCACACGCCCCAAGCGGGGCTATGACCCAGCATTTCCCCAAGAACAAAAGTGTGAAAAATAGCTAATTTCCAAGCATTAGTTGGTATTTGTTTCTTAAACAATGTCATAATATATCTTTAAAACAAGACCAGAACTATCAACAAAGTAATTCATTAACGAGGCGAAGCACATAAAATACATTTTATTTAAATAAAATATTTGCATTTAGTGTAAAGGCCTGTTTTTACTTTGATTAGTGCGAGTGCAAGTGATTAGTAATTGACATTGATTAGTGCAGGTGTGTAGTGCAAGTAGTGTCCAATTATTGTTTAGTCGGTCTGTTAAGTAAATTCAGTTGTCATGTAGTTTGGCAAGCACGCTACGAGTGACGGGGAAGGGACGCACGCGCACGCGACGTCACTACTCGCAGTTCACTCGCAGAAAATAGAACACGCTTCTAATCACTTTACTACGCAGCCAACTAGTCACCTGCACTAATCAAAGTGAGTACAGGCCTTAACACAGTGAAGTCTGTGCGGAAAGAGAACCGTCATGGGATTTCACGTCACGTCATATGACGTCATTATAGTCCAACAGTCATAGATACATAAAATATTTTTTGCGAAATAATCGCGCAAATAAGAATTTTCCATACCTTTGCACATTATTTATTTTTATTACCTTTCTGGAAAGCTGAGTAGTTTTGTCCAAAATTAGATGAAGGGAGGCCACGTGTGGAGTGTTTGAAATGGGCGAGAAAACCACAGACAACGGACGACACTCGCAACTACCCAAAGACATCATGTATGTGCGAGATCCCGATGATTCTGGACATTGATATTTTGTTTAAAAAGTTTACCTTATATTACTATTTCATTCGATTGTTATTATTACAAAACGCGGAGTAAAGAGAAAGTAACGAATCATCTTTAGTCCACGTTTTATATAAAGACCTGTAACTCTCAATAACAAATTTGTATAATTGGAAAGGGACGACGCCTATATGTGTAACGTTAGCTAATTCTATGGCGCATTTTTAAAAGTATTTAATCATTTTACGGCATAAAATAACAAATAATACTAAGAAATTATAAAAATAAAACATTATTAAGAGGTTGAAAACCGTACCTATTGTTTTAAGACAAAATATTTTTTATATAAATTGCGCAATCTATGCTTTGCATTATACAACTTGACACATCTCAGAGCCGTCGATTTCCAATTATTATCCCCAGGTCAGCGGTTTTGAAATTTACTAACTAATTTCATTTTTGGAATCACTATTAAAAATTACAGAGTAAGCGCACTAGGTTTTTTAAATGTGCAATTAAATGTTCGTATGCAAAACGGGTATTTTAATGAAAAATTTAAAAAAAAAAACGTTTGTACGGTCAGATAGAATGGTTAATAGTATAATTTATTAATTTTATTTTATTTAACAAATAATGAAGACGTGTGTATGCATATGGAGACATTTAGTAAGTACTAATAAGCATTCTTCGTATTTATTAAAAAAAATCCTTCCTACAAGGAGCAATATTAAAACCTGTTTTCTAGAAAGCATATCAAATCTAGTTTCAAGAGCTGTCATAAATAGCTATTAAAATATATATAGAAAAATTTAAAGCAATTATAGTATTTACCAATAGAAAATCCTTCTCCGACAATATGACAGCGAATTTGCACTTTTTTATTGGTGGAGTTCTTCAAACTCAGCTCTTTCTTCCCCGCTTTGACCCATGAGATATTGTTTAAATTGGTTTTGATGGGAAATGTTCTAACTTTTTCGGAACCGCCACTTATCAAGATATGAGTTGTCGCGAGAGTTGTAACTTCTTCCAATATGAGGTAACTGAAAAATTATGCAACTTAAACATTATGACACAACTATTTATAGTCAGGCGATTTTCTGCATATTTCTTGGTCGAAGATAACATTAGGTTTTAATATTTTTTTATCGTTACAAGACTAAAGTATTTATTGTTTGTGTATTTTCACTTATAGCATACTACGTATAAGATACACAAGAATACACATTTTATAGAATAACTAGCGACCCGCCCCAGCTTCGCACGGATGCAATGCTGATACTAAATTCAAAGTGATATAGAGTATAGGGAGAACCGCGGCTTCCGACGCGCTGCGTCCCGCAATTTTTTAATTTATAATATCTTCGAAAATATTAATTTAAATCATATGCTGTAAAGGGCCATATAGATCTATATTAAATCAACAATGTATTTAAGGTATTTAATTGGGTAAGGATAATGCTGTATTGGTTAAAATCGCTTCGAAAATTAGCCATTATTTGTCGTAAAAATTATTAAAAATTAAAAATTATTAAAAATTATTTGTCATTTACAAAAAAATGTTATTGTGGGATATCCATGAGAGATAGACATATACCATCGCGGAGTTTTCTGTAGACCTTTTCAATGTGTACAATACTTAGTACATTATTTTGATTTACGACATCACATTAGAAACCTCAAAAATAACAGTATTTCTCCATCCATATTTAATGGATGTTATTATACATGTAAACCTTCCTCTCCAATTACTCTATCTATTAAAAAATCTGCATTAAAATCCGTTGCGTAGTTTGTAAGATTTAAGCATACATAGGGACAGAGAAAGCGACTTTGTTTTATACTATAGAATAATTTAGGGAAAACTATGTCCTCCTACTCTCTAATATCGAAATCCCATAAGTTTTTGATATCGTGCTTAGAGCCTAGTGGTCCCGTAGGAGCTGAGTACAACTAACCATTTCGTTTATAAGACATAAAGAGAAAAATTCAAGAGAAGTGATATCATAAAACATGGACTAAAGATAATCGTGTATGTTACCATGGTAACCATTTATTAAAATTGAAAAACAACGTACTGTCTAATCCTTAACTGTTAACCACATTGATGAATTGAGTTTTATATGTTTAAATGTATTTACACATATAAAAACATGTATTTTTAGATAGCTTTTTATACTATAAGGGGCCGATCAAGTATTATGTAAGATTAATTGCAGTAAATCTGCTTACGTAATACTTAAACGGTGTATAATTTTTGAAGTTATACTTCTTTAGGCGCGTTATGAAAAATTTATGAGAGTGAAATTTTACAATGCGCGCGCACCCGTGACACAAAATTAGGAGTGTGATTATAGCGTGCGCGAGCGAGATAGGAATAAGACAATCTACAAGTAAAAAGAAATAGAATATGCGTGAAGTTCGTATGCCAACAATTTTGAATGACCATAATGACATTTGTCATTTACCTTTTAAACAAATAAAGGAGTTTTAATTATTTTTTCAAAGAAATTTAGCGATGCTTTTTGAATTATAATCAGAAGTGATTTAAATTGAATATTTAAACCAATACTAATTAATATTTGTGAAAAAACTGTGTTCATCAACCTTCCTAAGTGCTTCAATACAATTGAGGTTAACTATTCGTATGTATTATTATTATTATCGAGTAATGTTTTGATTTAAAAATTAACCACATTGTTTAATCAAAACCTGTAATTTTTCTGATTTTATCTAGCAAATATAAGGAAAAGAGACAAAAAACAATTGATGAATCAGTGTAACTGCACTAAATTGAATACAAAAAAAGAGTTTTCATCTTATCGCTGTGAAACATCAAAAACTGGAGGTGGAACAAAGCCAAACTATTTTTAATATTGCCAAAGAAGTATAACTTCTTACGCGCGTACATAAGTACACGGACCCTTTTTTTTAAATTGTTGATATCAAGATTTTTTTGTTACTGACAAATTGCCTTTGAACACATTTTAACAATTCGGACAGTTTATAAATATAATTTATTAGATAATTCGATTAATAAAATGCTTACCCTTCATAAACTACATCGGGTGGTCCTGTATAAACAACTTGTAAGACTCTAGTTGCAGTCGGTCTTAGCTCAAACTTGCCCGGAGACACTTTAAAAGGAATTGTTTCTTCAACAGTTGAAGTCTTGAACTTAACAAGCCATACCCCTGTTAATGACCCTATGTTCGTCACTGTTATAGGGGTCGGTTCTGAAATTGATATTATTTAGATTATAAAACTGTATTACTATTTACTTCCAGTATTAACATACGGCTGCCAAACTTGGGCACTCACTAAAATGCAAACCATGCCACTGAAGACATGCCAGACGGCGATGGAAAGAAGCATGCTAAATATCAGGAAGTCCGATAGTATCAATAATAAAATCATACGAAACCACACGAAGATTGAAGACGTCACAACGAGGATACGAAGATTGAAATGGAAATGGGCTGGTCACGTAATAAGAGGTATAGAAAAGTGGAACAAAAAGATCATATATTGGTACCCAAGAAATAATAAAAGAAAACGAGGTAGACAGTTTCGAAGGTGGGAAAATTTGGACCAGGAAAGCTCAGAACAGAGCAGAGTGGAAAGAAATGGAGGAAGCCTTTGCCAAAGTTGGGCAAACAGATGGGCCATCGGTGTCACCGACTCACTAGTGGTAATAGTTTAAGTTTAAAATTATGTAAAATTTTCTATCTGATTAATGCTTTTATTATTATTACTATTATTTACTTAAAAAACTAATCGTTATCCAAGTCGTTTAATACACATTTTACACTATTTAAAGAGCTATTTAAACACACTACAATTCTCGTGTCACGGGGTTTGTTATTAAACCACTCCGAAATGGATCGACTGATTTTCGTGAAATTTCGTGTGCATATCGGTTAGATCTGCGACAACATTTATTTATCATCCCCCGAAATGTGAAGAGACCACTCTAAATTTCTTTTGCTTTTTTTATGATACAGCATACAAAAATACATACAACCCTTAATTTACACCCCTCTATGATCAACCCCTATTATAGTATGTAGATAGTTATTTTTATTGAACTAAAAAAATGTTTCATCAAAAATGAAACATCGTTAATATCGTTGGCCGGGCCAGCTAGTATCATAAAAATTCGGAAGACGGCCGAAGCTGAAGACATTGAAGCTGGTATACCAGACGCCTATAAAAAGAGAAAATAAGTTTTTAACTTACCAGCAGCAATTTGGACTTTACCAGCTGACTTCACTTCGAGCTGCGCAGTGCCGACAGTTCCAACGAGATCCACTTTATTTAGTACAGTGTTCACACCGGTCAGATTAATATTCAAAATGCCGGTAAACGTTGCCATTTTGCCTTCTGTAAACCAATGTGTAATATAAATATATAACTTAAACACACTTTAAAAAAAAAGGGTGCGTGTACTTATGTAAAAATAGTTTTTGATTGCATGCAAATAATTAATTATAATTAAATAATCAAAGACTGGGAAAAGGAGTCATTATAGTCAATAAAGTTCAGTTTACATTTGAAAAATTAAATAAATAAATATTTATTATTATTCTCTTACATTACGTGTAACATAAATTTTATTATTATTCGAATGTTGTTTTTAAATTATGTCCAATGCCGTAGCATCTTCCGTGGGCAACTTCATTCTGTTAATCTTGGGTCACGGTGCGCGCGCATCGTAAAATTTCACTCTCATCAATTTTTCATAACGCGCCTAAAGAAGTATAACTTCAAAAATCTAATTTTAAATTTAAAACATTCTCTCCACCTGAACACACACATATTTATCGATCCATCCGTTAAGGTGTTTCATTTTATTCAAACACACGCCCAGAAGATTTTTATACATAAAAATGAATCAATTATTTGACAAAGGTTAATAATAAAGGTTTGTAATTATTATATTATTAATTGTGGTGCTGAAACCCTATTTGTTTTGGATGTGCTGATAAACCATCATTACACATTTATATTTAACAGACATTAAAAATACTATCATCAACTTATAAAAAGTACACAAAAAAAATTATAATAAAAAATAAATAAATTGTTTTCTTTTAAAATTATATAAAATTTTGGAATCTGTGTACATTTGTAAGACAAGTTTTCTTTTATTATTAATTGAAGAATTAATTGAATTCATTTTAAATGTTTTTTTTTTTAACTTCAAGAAAGGTCCCCATATAAGGTGTTCCCTAATTTTTTATTTTATAGAAAAAATTTCTGTTATAGAAAATTAAATATTGATGTGGTGAAAATTACCACACAAAAAGGTTTGTGTAGGATAGTCTAACAATCCACCTGGCGTCATTTTTAGCAACCTTTTCATTCTTAATTATTTACTATTTCCTTTGTTCTTTAGCTTTAATATATTTTTGCTTTCTTCTTCGATTTGTGTTACACGATTACGAGGAAGTTTCTTGATGTCATTATCACACGTGTATATCTTATTTTTTAAATATGTGATTTTTGGGAGCATAAATAAAATATAATATAAATTCAAGTTAAGCCGTCTTACAGGTTGCAGAAAATAAATACTTCATTTATGGGCCTAAGTATACGCTGCTATAACATGATTCCTAGTGAAATATTGGAACTGCCTTTAAACAGATTCAAAACACATATCAAAAATACCTTAATGTGTAAAGATTACTACACAGTCAATGACTACCTGGAAGATAAAAACGCTTGGCAATAGTTATAATTATATTCTTATAATTTGATTTGTGTGTAACGGTGAATGTGGTAAATCACAGAACAGATTTTTATGTTTTTTTTACTTATGTAACTATAATGACGTTGTGGTTTATGACATTTTCCTTTGAATAATTGTAGTGTAGAGGGAGGGTAAAACTTGCTGAGTTTCTTGCCCGTTCTTCTCAGAACAAGGCCTCCTGGTAGTTTTGCGAACGGATGGCGTAGTCTTGCTCTTTCGCGAATTTTGTAAACGTTTTTGACATTTATAAGCATGCGCTAAGACGCATCTTAATTGAATAAACGTATTTTGATTTTGAATTTTCAAGGTTATTTCACATATTATAGACTACGTATTGGTTGTTTATTATAAATTTACTCGATGTTTTACATAAATAAACTCACCTATATCCAAATCCGTTAACTGTGGCGCTTTAAACATAACCGTAACTTTAACCGCGTTCCCCCCACTCAGCCTACACAACTTCCTCCCAACCTCCGGTTTACCCTGGACCAAATTAGACTCCATCAACACTTTACTCATTTCGCTCTTCTTAATCTCCTGAACGTTCATTATCACGAACAGATCTGAGGCAACTGTCATTTCCAACTCCAACTCTCCCGGACAATCGCTGACAATGACAAAATACTTCGTTATATGTGATTTCTCTTGTATTATAGGAAATATAACTTTGTTCATTCCATCTCTCGATATTGCCTGTATTGAGGGCAATTTAACATCTATTTCGACCGCATCTTTCTCTTCGCACATCTCATCCTTCGACGTATCCTTCAAGTGTATGGAGAATGGTAATATTTGTTTCGTTTCCTTATTGCATGTGATGTTGAATATGAATTTTTCGTTCTTTCCAGGGGATAGGAGGAACGGCTGTCGCGGTAGTTCAATGGTTATATCTTTGACTGCGTTCGGTTCGAATCTCGCGGTCAGCCAGCTGTCCACGCGAGTCGTTATGTTTATGGTCACAGGTGTACTTATACCTGGAATGAAAATAGGTTTTTACAAAACTGGAATTTTGAAGTGACAGGAGAATCTTTGTTACGTGAAAACTATTTATAATAAAATGTGAAAGTTGGCTTTAGTTATAAGGATTACTTTACTAACAATATATGGATTTTTTAATGGTCTGAATTAAATGATTTTTTTTTTTTAATTTTTTTTTTTAGCGCTCTCTCATCCCTGAGGTCGTAGGTGTGATTGCCGGCTGTTGACCAATGGACATTCTGTCAATGTGAATTTAACACTCGCTCATACGGTGAATGAAACCGAAATGCCTTAGACCCAAAAACTTTGACGGCGTCTGTCAGACACAAGGCTGATCACCAACTTGCCTGTTAGAAAGACAAATGATCGTAAAACAGAAATCGGACTTAAAGGGTTGAAGCGTAAGATTTATGTGATAGTATATATTAATTTTTTTTTTTAATTTCTTTATTTTACAAAACAATATAATATAATCACAATGTTACATTAGAAGGCCGCTGTGGTTTGTATTAATGTAACCATTTCAGTCTTGTTTAGGAGCGCGACAAATGCATATAAAAGTAGTTTTTTAATTTGCTGTTTATGTTGGTTGGCGTTAGGCAATCTAAAATCTGATTGGGTAGACCATTTATTAGCCGCGTTAGCAAATACCTCAACGTTCTCTCGCCGTATACGTTGTTTCCTCTCGATGTACAGAGCCGAACTTGCGTTACCGCTCGGGTCTGTACGTCATGCTCCACTCGTTTTTTTATGTCATCTCGAAAAAAGTGCTCGACTAGAAGACATTTATTTACTTTTTCTGTTATGGGCAGTATTTTGCAATGTTTGAAAATTCCTCTTTCTTATATGAGTCGAGCACATTTCTCGAGACAAAGTGTTATGAAACATTGATTTATAATAAATATATATTTAATAGTATTTTTTGCACTACACATATACTTAAAATAAAGTTGGAAACATACCTACGTATCCTTGAACAGGCATCGCCACAATGTCGATCCATTGAGCTGAAAAATTTTTTTAGTCTTAACAAACTTACTAAATAAATATTTTTATAAAAAAAACCGTCTATGGACTCTAGAGTTGTTACATATATTATTTTGGTGTCAATTACCATTTGTATTATAGAATACCTGTGGACTCTCAGGTCCATAATCAAACTCAAATCTCAAGTCATAATCTCGTCTTGAGCGCCGTCAAATGTCAAACTTCTCATACAGAAAAAAATGATTTGACAGCTCTTAAAACTTGACATTCCACAAGGTCTCAAACTCTGGCACCAATACAACTCACCTTTGCGTATCTTTCTTATCTATTAGTACCTACCTTTTAAAAAAAAACATTATTTTTAATTTTGATAGTCTGTACGTTAATGAAAATTGACCTTTGAAATTCGAATAATACGCTACGAGATTAAATCTTATACCGTTTCCATGTTTATAATCGGTAACAGAAAATTACGATACCCCTTTCTTCACATTCGAGATTTTTGTAATTTCATATTTAAATTATTTATTGTGATTCATGAACGTTAAGTTTTAGTTACGTTTTTTGTTTATTTTAGTAATTGTTACTTGTAATGTTATTTTAGCTAACTAGAAAAAGAAGAGAAGAAACTAAGATTGCCTGACTCGTTTGTTAGCGATAAAAACAACTGTTCCCGCCCTATTTACCTAATTTTATATGTACACAATAAAACTAAGTGAAAAAGTAAAAGCATAAATTGACTTTAAACCAGTGCCTTAAAAACGTGGACTATATATATATGTGTTAATTATACGGATGCTTTAATATTAAGCCGTGTTAGTCCCATGCAGAGCCCACAAACCTTTTGCAAAGCGTTCTTCATTGTAACGTTTCAGTTGTATCACATCTTGCCAATCAACTGACTGTTCTAACTCTTTATAAACGATATTTGGGGAAGGAATGTGAGATGTATTAGCCTCGCCTGAAAATAACTACTTTTACAACGGACGCATATAAAAAAAATAAGTGAAGATTTTCGATTCATGATAATGCTCTTATAAAAAATGATTATATTTGTTTTAAGATGGTTGAACTTCATACTTAACGTGATTTAACTAAAACACTGACTAACAACTGTACAAAATAATATATAATAGATAAAACGAGATATATATGTTCGAGCAATGGCGTTGCTGTCAGCTGCCATTATGTCAGAGATCATCAATAAACGTCAAAGTCAAATCAGTTTAAAATCGTTACTAATAGTTTATTTGATTTTGATATTGCTAGATCTTTAAATTAACATATCCAATAGTCGATAATAATATTTATTTATTTTAATTTTACCTGAACTGAACAGCGAAAAACAAATTTTGTGATAAGCGGCTGCTAGCGCAAGCTCTTAGATACGTATTATACCTACTAAAAGTATACAAATATGAAAAAAAAAACAGTTTTCCCTGTCAATTTCACGTGAAATGCCCCAATAGTGATTCATAGTCATTATTATTAATAAAAGTAATTTATTAGCACTTATTACCTTTGAAATTTAATGACAATCAATATTAAAGTCTCTGTAGTCTGATCGGGTTTGGTCGCGGAATAAGGACAAATGCGAAATGTCACGAAACTTGTTTAACACAAATTCTGGTTGCTATAAATACAGGCACTTCGAAGGCTCAGTATCGCCATTGTTCCGACAATTTTTAAATAATAATAATGACAATGGAATCACTACTATTATCGACCATTGAATAGTCGTTAATTTATAAATCTAGCAATATTGGAAAATCAAATATACTACTAGTAACGGTAATGATTTGACGTTGACGTTATTAATTTATGACAATGGCACCTGACAGATACGCCATTGCTCCGACATATAAATATAATTATAATCCTAGTGTGATAAAAAAAAATTCTGTGCGTGTGAAATCTACATTATTTTATTAGAAATATGTGAAGAGAGAAAGAAAGAAAATTGCAGAAGATAATTCAAAAGCTGAAGAATAAATACAATTGTCGAAACCAAAAATGACAATTAAGAATTGAAAATACTCACTATTACCTTTACTGGAGTGCAGTGGACTGTTCGATTCTTTGAAACTTTTATTCTCCTGTACAGTGGTTCGGGTTGACTGAGTGGAAGGAGATTTCGATTTCACCGATGCCTTACTTCGGTTCTCATTCTCCATAGTCAAGGAATCCTTTGTTACAATCACATCCGGTATTTTTTCAGATATTTTTAAATTATCTAACGAGATCACGGTGCTTCCTGTGCCAGAGGAGCTAGCAGTGTTCATCTTTTTTGTATCTTTCAATTTCGTGACATACATATCTTGATCTATATTCATTTGAAGCTCTGATAAAGGTTTTTTATTTGGTTTCACTTGATTTACTTGAATTATATCTGACACTTTGCATATAGTTGACTGTCGGTCTGAAATCAAATTGATTAAGTTATTCCTCTAAAAAAGGTTTAAAAATGTTGCTTGGCACAGGCAAAATATTTATAGATATAGAGTTAGTAAATTAATAATCTAAGGGGCCGTTCAAGTATTACGTAAACACTATATGGTCTTTGATTTGCTAACTTTTGCTGACAAGAGGAAGGAGGAGGAAGGGATTAATTGCAGCTTACGTGATACTTGAACGCCCCCTAAGGGTAAGATTCAGGGTCGTAACTTAGTGCTAAGTACGACTCCCGTGTGTCGAAAATTTATTGGATTTTGTCATACCTGAGTTTGGATAAAAAAAAAGGTTTACCAACGGGCTCATCTGATGTTAAGTGACACCGCCGCCCATAGACGCTCATTGCCAGGGGGCTTGCCAGTGCGTTGGCGGCAGAATTGGAACCATCTTTTTGTGAAGGATCCTAAGTCGAATTGGTTCGGAAATACATCGATGGGCAGCTGGTTCCACATAGTGGAGGTGCGCGGCAAAAACTGTCTTAAAGCAGTCAGTTTTAGCTCATTCGCACATCTAGGGAATAGGAGGGGGGGTGGAATTTCGTATTCTACCTCGACGTCGGATGATGAAACTTCAGGTATTAATCCGAACAACTCCTCTGAACACTGTTATGGTAAATGCTGTAGGAGATACAGAGAGACCTACATCGTTGCGCATGTTATAAACATATAAATTAACTTACTCAAAAAATCAGCAATCTTGGACACACTAATAGATTCATCCGGCGACATCTCTGTATCCTCGTGCACTAATCGGTATGAGGATTTCAAATTATTTAACATAATATCCGTTGGTGTTATTTTCTTCTGACCCTTAAAAGATGGTGTGACAGAATAATTCGGGCCATGTTGGAAATAATTCCCCATTTCACTCATAACTGATGTTTCTGGCTCAAAGCTGGATAAATCACTTGGCTTTATCAAAGCGGTGGGTTTTGGTTGTCTCACTGGCACTTTGTCTAAAGTTTGATCGACATTGTATGTTTTGTGTTGTCTCTTTGGTGTTTCTATTGGATTGTGAGATGATACTGAAATTGAATATGTTTAGCAAAAATTATAAATATTTATTGTATATTAATAGGCCGGGAGATAGTGACACAAAAGTCACCAGCGGAATGTGATTTGTCAGGGGAATTTGTGATTTTCGTAAATGGCTGCACGACGATGATTAACTGTGCAAAAATTAGGCTGGTACAAATGGTTGAATTTTCTTTTAAATTAACGCATTTGCGTCGGTATGACGGGCTGTAAGTCACACCGGAGAAGTATAGCATGACACAGCCGCCTCTTATTTTTTTATGGACTATCGGAAAATACTAGAATTTTTGTGGAACTAATCGTTTAAAAGTCGTAAATAATCCGACGAGTTCGACTTCGCCCACGCGCTTGGGCCGCCGATACTAGCGCTATGACCATCAAAATTCTTTTTTTAATTTCGTAATAAGACCCCTGTAGACCGCCATACTGGTACAAATGACTAACTATTTTGTGTCACTATCTCCCGGCCTATAATGTAAGGGTAAACAAAAGCAATTTTAGAAAATTAAACCAACTTAAAATACTTAGCAACTGTAAAAAGAAGGATATTTCCCAATAATATAATAGTTTACTTTTACAGTTTTTATAAGACTTGGACTGTTTCTCAAGTTGTGATATGATATGAATTTTATTTCCCGTGAGATTTAAAAAATACGTTTGTAAAAGTACGATTCCACCAGTGTGCTGAACTGTGCGGCACAGTGTTGCACATCGTAAGACACTAATGTTGATTTTGGTCGACTAACTAAAGCGAACAATAACATTGTGCCCGAATATTTCAGGAATGTTTGCGCACAACTGTACACTTGTGTGTGCGCACACGGTACAAGTAGTGGAGTCGTGTCGAAGCGTACACACTCGTTGTTCGCGAACTCAGTCTTGCTTCCGCTACCAAAGCGAAAACATTTAATTGTGAGCGCAAAACATAATAACACCACGTTTTCCTGCCCGTCCATATTAGCAACTACTATTTGTACGACCTCTGTACTTCGACACTTGGCATGGGCTTGTTTGTATCTAACACTCTAAGATTGTAAACCAATTATCATTCCTTGTTTAAATTTTTTATTTTGAAAGAAATTAGTTCAAGTAGTTGATTTTGATTTTAAGTATTACAATATTAGTGTATTTAATGTCAACGCTTCGGTGGATGGAGAAATTGTGACCAATTTGTGTTCACATAAATTTCGGTATTTTTGTTCAAATGAATGAAAAACTTTACTTAATTGTCAACTTCTTAAATTTTAGCCCAGCACCTCATAATGTGCCGTATTGAATTCATAACCTATCTACAATAATAATAGTATACACGGTATTTTATTTTATATAATTTAAAGCCTCATAGTTATTTTTAAGGGGAATTTTTTGCTTGAGTTACAGCTCAAAACCGATCGCGGGAGATCTTTAGCATTGTGTACCCTCTGTCTCTCTATCTCTGCCTCATCCAGGAGACAATCTAGTCTTAAGTCATATTATTGAAAGCAAATATTAAAAAAACGTGTGTGTACTTATGTACGTACACGCATTAGAAGTTATACTTCTTTGGCGTAACAAGATAAAAAACTTTTCAAAAATTTTATTCTACGTTTGTAGAAAAAACGACACTAACAATAGAAAAAACTAAAATGTTGACTATAACTAACTTCAGGGTGACGGTGTGCGCGCGCATCGTAAAAAATATACTCTCATCATTTGTCCCTAACGCGCCTAAGTATAACTTCAAAAATTATAGTTACAAGATTTTATCATGTTTATGTCAAATGAATGCATTAAGAAGAAACAAGGAAAAAACTAAAAATCGCCTTTATTTGAATTAACGTTCACTTTAAATACAAAAAGACATTTGACCAATTTATTTGCCGAAATTGTACCTACATAAACATATTATTTAGTGGAAATAATTTATTGCAATTCTCTGTATTTTTTATAATTAATCTATATTATTTACCTTCAGAAATGCTTGGCCTCATATATCTGTCTGGACTATCTGCGTTTCCAAGGATTTCAGAAAAGTTAGGACACTTCTGTTTGAAATACACTTCTCTCTCGGACATATTGAAATTGCTTACCCTGAAAATATTTTTATTAGCAACATAATTATGTTTTGAATCTTTTTGTTGTTGTAAACTTATTTAGGCAAAACATGATCCGAAAAATTTGGTGGACCAAAAATCCTGGTTTGGTATACTGTTCGCACATAGTTAATAAAAATGTATATAATACTAGCTGACCAAGCAAACGTCGTTTTGCCATGTATATCATTTATAATAAAAAAATAGGGGTTGATCGTAGAGGGGTGAAAGTTAGGGGTTGTATGTATTTTTTAATGCTGTATCATAAAAAAAACAGAAAAAAATATCTAAAACTAAAAAAAAAATATTTAGGGGTGGACTACCCTTAACATTTAGGGGGATGAAAAATAGATGTTGTCCGATTCTCAGACATACACAATATGCACACAAAATTTCATGAGAATCGGTCGAGCCGTTTCGGAGGAGTTTAACCACAAACACCGCGACACGAGAATTTTATATATTAGATGTATATCGAAACTCTAAAAGCTTCTCTTATTATGGAATTGAGAGAAGAAATTAAGTCCTTCATGATTCCATCCGTTGAAGAAACAAAATCTCTAAGGGAGGAATTAAATATACTAAGGAATGATCTCTCGAATAGCAATGCCATTGTAAGTGAACTAAAATCGCTAATTTCTAAGCAGCAGCAGTGGAACCGAATGAATAATATTGAGGTTGTAGGTTTACCTCAAACTAGCAACGAGTCGACACGCTCACTAATACAAAAAATTGCAAAACATGCTGACGTGGAATTGCAACCGGGCGATATTGAATTCGCCAATCGCGTACAGCCAAAGCAATCAACGCCAGGAAAGCCAAAAACAATTGTTGTTCGTCTCAGATCTCGCGACATTAAAGATAAAATTTTGTCCGGTTTACGAAAAAGGCGAGGAATTCAAACGTCTGATATTGGTTTGGCTGGTAATTCTAAGAAATTCTTTGTAAACGAGCACCTGACCCCTGAAAACAAATATCTGCTAAAAGAGGTTAAAACAATGGCTACGAACAAAGGTTACAAATTCGTTTGGGTCAGAAACTGTTGCATTTTTTTACGCAGAAACGACGAGTCCCCAGCCATTACAATAAATTCGGGCGGGATTTATCAAAAATTTCTTAGATTCAACTTTGCATTTGTATTTTTATTATTTAACTAATTATTTTACGGCATCGTTCGTGTATTTTTCAGTGGTTTTAGCAGCGCTTTGTTTCTTGATTTACAATTTCACATTAATAGTAACGCAGAATTCGAGATCTTCCTACCTAAATAAAAATGTTTGCATAAACGTTGGTACGTTTAGATTTCTCTTTAAATGTTGGATAAAACCCTAACCATATTCTATCAAAACGTGCGAGGCTTACGGACGAAAACGACTGAATTTTATCGCAATCTACTCTTATCTACTTTTGATATTGTTTTAATAACTGAATCTTGGTTAAGCGATAAGTTTTACGACAGCGAACTTTGCGGGGGTAATTATACTATGTTTCGGCGTGATAGAACTAAAGAAACATCACATAAAAAATATGGGGGAGGTTTGTTAATTTTTATATCTCCTAAATTGCAGGCTTATGAAAGACCTGAATGGAACTGCACTAACGTCGAAACTTTGTGGCTTACTATACCAGAAAATTCACTTGGAGCTAATGGTCGGCGTAATCTTCATATTGGATTGGTCTATATACCTCCCGATTCTAAGCAGCCGCAACGACTTATGACGTTTATTTCCTCATTCAGTCATATAATTGAATCAAACCCAAATGATTACTTCATAATTGTTGGTGACTTTAATCTTCCTATCATTAACTGGTCTCCCACGGGACCTATTATTTTAAAGCAGGGTACGACCCAGTTACAAGAAATCTCCGAAGATTTCATAAAAAAGTTAAATTCTTCTGGCCTAACACAACATAATTTTATTCCCAATATTTGTAACAATGTGTTGGATTTAATATTAAGTAATGTCTCTCTAGATAATACCAGAGCTGACATAGCATTGGTTAAACCCGATATGCATCACCCCTGTTTAAGTATTGATGCAACTGACTTACTTCTGCGCAAAATGTCTCCAAAAGTTGGTCAAAAGTATAATTTCTATCGCGGTAATTACGAAGCTATTAATCAGGAACTAAGCGAGGTCAACTGGACACAGCATCTTAATGGAGACACTATAGATGAAGTTACAACAAAATTTTATGACATTGTGAATAGAACTATTATAAACAATGTCCCAATAAGCCGTAATAAATGCAATAACAAGTACCCCGTGTGGTACACTAAGTCTCTGATACACGTCATAAAAGAAAAACTAAAAGCTCATAGACGTTGGAAAATGTACAAGAACCCGCGAGACTATGACGAGTTCTCGTTGTTACGTAGTAGGCAAAAGCGTATATCCAAAAAGTGCATGCTATCTTATGAACAGCATGTACAAGATAACATGGCTAAGAATCCTAAGGCGTTGTGGTCATACTTAAGAAACAAGAGGCAATGTAAATCTGGGTACCCTAGTATGCTAGTTCTTGGAGATGAGTCATATAAATCGGAGCCTGAGATTTGTGAGGGTTTTAATAAATTCTTCAACAGCGTCTTCCACTCTCCTGACGATACTTATGACCTACCTGAACTACCTGAGTCAGATATCATATATAATAACATTCACATAACGGAACACGACGTCTTTAAAGCTATAAAAAATTTAAATATAAACAAGGGTCCAGGTAGTGACGGAATACCAGCAGTTTTCCTACAAAGATGTAGTAAGGAACTTGCAGCACCACTATCACATATATATAATCTGTCCCTTAACACATTCTGTGCATTCCCTTTAAAATGGAAAGAAGCACATGTAGTTCCTATTCATAAAAAAGGCTCCAAAAACAGAATTGACCATTATCGACCTATCTCAATCCTTGTTCGAAAAACTAGTACATAATGTTATAAGTCCATTAATCACTAAACAACTACCGGAGCAACAACACGGCTTTACTAAAAATCGCTCAACAGTTTCTAATTTGACTATTTTTACTGACTATATACTGAGAGGTATGGATGAGGGTGACCAAATTGACGCTATCTACACGGATATAGAAAAAGCTTTTGATCGCGTTGATCATATTATCCTGTTACATAAGCTTTTCTCCCTTGGAATACGTGGTGACCTTTACAGATGGATAAAGTCATAGATAACTAACAGACGGCAAGCAACAGTAATATGCGGGTACAAAAGCATGTTCACTAACATTACATCAGGAGTACCCCAAGGTTCAATACTTGGCCCATTATTATTTAATGCTTATTTGTACGATATAAAATATTGTTTTCACTTTTCTAAACATCTTATGTTCGCGGATGACCAAAAAATTTTCTTAAGAATAAAATCAATAGATAACTGTAATCAAATTCAACAAGATCTTAATAGGTTAGAAATATACTACAAACAAAATAAACTTTCAATAAATATAAACAAATGTAATAAGATAATTTTTTCGCGTAAAAACAAAAAAATTCAATACACTTACAAAATCGATAACACCCCAATAAAACAAGTAAAATTAGTAAAAGACCTGGGAATACTATTAGATGAAAAAAATGGGCCTATCACAACATATCGATCACATAACAGGCAAAGCGTATATGCAACTAGGATTTGTCAAGCGGTCATGCAAGACATTTAATAACATACATTGCATTAAAAGCTTATATTTTGCTTATGTTAGAAGCGTGCTGGAGTATGCGAGTGTTATGTGGTCTCCATATTATACAAAATATAAAAAAGCAATAGAAAATATACAAAAAAAGTTTGTAAAATTCCTTAGTTTTAAAAAATACCAATGCTTCGATAGTTATGCTCATTCTTGCACTTATTTTAATTTAGACTCATTAGAAAGTCGGCGAAGTCAGCAAGACCTGCTTTTTTTACATGATATTCTTCATGGGCGGATCGATAGCCCCTATTTGCTGTCGTTAATTTCTTTTAAAATTCCTTCTCAATATGCGACAAGACACTCAAAATTGTTCCATGTGCCTCGTACGAACTCGAATTACCTGCATAATTCACCAATGTTTCGGGTTTTATCTAACTATGACACTAATTATGAGGAATTTGATATTTTCTACCTCACCAAGGAACATGTGAGAAAATATTTGAAGGGGCGTGAAGACTCGAATTTTGTTTAGGTTGTATTTGGTATTATTTTTTGTTTTAAATATTAAATTTAAGTTTTCTGTATATATTTTTTCTATTGATGCGCTTATTTGTTTCATTTTTTTTATATAATATTGTTTATCTATGTAATCTGTTTTGGCTTTTTGTACTGTATAAGTGTTTGTTTTGTAATATTATGTATGTTAGCTGTAAGATTACTTATAATTAAATAAATAAATAAATATATCATTGAAAGTAAATTTTTAATGAAAACAAATTATGGTTTTATTTGCTATAAATATTTTTATTCAATTTCTTATAAGAGGCAAATCAAAAATATAAACCTCAAGCATGACAAAGATTCATACTAATAATAATAATAATAATAGTGAAGTATTAAAAAATTAACACTAAAAATTAAGCAAGCCTGTTGATTCCTGTTATACAGCTTGTCCTTCGACATAGGTCTTCTCCATTTCATAGTCATAGCGAGGAAGCCATTCCGTCACTTTCTTCGAAGAAAGTAATTTATACTAGATTTATTTTAAAAATAAGAGACTTACATGCTTGCATCTTGTAGATTCACCATACTTTGGGGCATATCTTTAATTAACTCAGAAGTTGTTGTTGCATCTAGGGGTGAATTGAATTTTTCCTTGATTAATTGGTTTTCATCTGCACTTAGATCCACCTGCAATATTGATTTTATATATTCTTTCAAGGACATTCACATATAATTAATAGAGAAAGTCTCAGAGGCATAGTAACTGTTTCTATTAAATTGTTAACTATTTTGTGTTGGCTAAGAATACTGATCCCCTTTTAGTAATAGATGCAGAATTGTGTCTGCTTTTCCTTTCTCTCCCAATGCATCGGTTAAGATTAGGTCAACATGTTTTAAAAAATATAACTGGCCATAAATTAGATACCCACATTGTATTTTGATGAAAAGCTTGCAACAGAGTGCCTTATAAGTTTTGAAACCTCCTGGGTCTGTCTTTCCATGTGGCTTGTCAAGCTTTCCAGAGCAACAGAATGGCGACCAGTATTTTCAAATGCTTCATTGTGATCGACTGCTTCCGTGGACCTGCCAGTCATTTCACCTGGATTGAATGCTGTCTGAAATCATAAAAGTTAATCTTAATAAAGTTGACATGATACTTAAATAATTGAATCTAGTTTTGTAACCTGTGTTATTTAAGGTTTATATGCATACATCAATGATGTCTATAGAAATATTTAAGAAATAAGCACCATATCCCTTAACATATTATAAGTAGATAAATACATATAAGACATAATGGGCCTTTATGTACTTAAAGAATTAGAGAATATTTAATCAATTCTGTCTTACTTACAGAAAGTGTGCTTGTTTCACCAAAGCCTGAAAACATAATATATATCTTTAAATTCTTAAAAAACGCAAAACAGTTTGATGTAGTAACTAAGCTATATGCTATTAGCTCAGTTTAAAAAAATACTTGTTATAAAAATATAAGCTTACCTCTTAACCGTTCCAAATCCAAAATACCGGAAGACGACTCTCCAGTGTAAGGAGATGGGTTTTGAAGGTTTCTAAAACCAATACAAACTAAAGTAGATATGTATATGACAATTGTTACGTTATTTTGAGCATTTCATTTAAAGGAGGAGTCACAATACTTCGGAAATAAAGTATATCTTACCTATTAATTGCATCGTCATAGTTTAGAATTGTCCTAGGTGCATTAAATGATCTATCTTCTGCCATATGAAGTAATCTTAGTATTTTACTAGGTGTTAAATAGTTATTTTCGTCCATTTTTCAGGAGAGGCTTAATAATCACATTCACTTGGATGAAAAAGAAATAATATACTTTTAATATGTGTACAAACTACAAAATAAAGAGCAGCTGGGGCAGTTGTTGTACTTGATCGTTAAAATTTAAATTTTTTGAATCCGAGTTGATGGATGCATATTGTCATTCATTTAATAACTGCCAAATATGACAATTGATAATTTGACATACAAACAAACTAATATTACGAGAATAATTATTCCAAATTGCGCTTTTTAATTTTTTTAAATAGTCATGTCGTAATAATAACTTCTACGTCTATACTCTATATCAATAAAAAATTGGAGGTACCATATTAGATAATTAGTTATTAGGCAGTCAAATTTCAAAAAGCGACTGTGCGTTTTCCAATTACAGAGCATAATGCGACTCAGTGCCGCACAATGCCGCATTATGCTGAAGCTTAATTGGAACGTGAATTAGTTTTCAAATGCATCAGCAGAGTGCGCTGTCAGTGTTGAAAAAAAAAATGTTCTGAATAGAGTTAGCAACCTCATTAATGTATAAATAATGTGGTAAACAATATTAATTAGTTGAAAACTATTTACGCTTAATTTAAGTAATTTGGATTTTGATTATTTCATTAACATTTTTTTACTGAAATAAGAGAAAACCTTTAAAGAATATAAGGTTTTAACAAGCTAAATTAACAGTAAAATATTTAGTTTCATGTAAGAAGTTTACATCATTTACGTTTTGAGTAATTTTTTAAAATGATTTCTAAAAAAATTATATACTTTTTCAAAACCATTGCAATGTTTACAAAAGTATAATCCTGTAAAATAAATTTGTTTACAGATCCGAATTTTAAAATGAATTTGTATTCATATTTTAAATGTGGAATATAAAAAAAGTAACTATTTATACCTTCATCCATACTTATATAATTTTTTTTTAGCAGTTTGAAATAACTTTAATTATTTTCAAAATCTACGACGAAACGAAAGCCTTACAAATTTTTCAACAATAAATAATATTTACTAACGAAAATTTCGATCAATGCCAACTTAAAGAAAAACACTGGTCAATTTTCTGTCACTGTGTTGGTATTGATTGCGAGAAGCACGCGAGAGCATTACTTTTGAGAGTGCTCAATTGTGCGAAGCGTTGCTGTAGTTGGAACATTCAACGTTGAGCATTATGCCGCATAATGCGCTCTAGTGCTGTAATTGGAAAACGCACACTAATTAGTCATGTGTTGCCTTTCCCATTAGGGATAAATTATTAATACCACCTAATTAGTCACGTCCTTGTTAGTTGTCAGAGACCGTAAGGGCCGATTTACATTATCTTAGTGTTTAGGAGAGTATTTTAGTACAAGTTGAAAGGCAAGTTCTTTAGTGCTTTAGTGCGTTGCGAGTGAACGTTTACATTTCTTCCAGTAGAGTATCATTACAGCGCCACAATGAACGCGCAACGACGTCGGCAAATACGCTCTGTTCTACGCAAAATACTAACTGTAGTTATGGAACAAATAGAAGACGAGATTTTATTCGAAATAAATAAACTAAATATGAATAATAAATAAAATAGCTTCTTTTAAGGCAGTGTATGCCGAATGCCTAGCCTATTTGTTTTTGTATAAATTGTTTTTGACGTTCCACAAACATTCGTGAACAATATATTCAGACACAAATTTGATAGTTGTATCTTCCGACCATTTAGCCAGCTTTAAAAATCAAAAAACACGCACGCGTTTCACGGCACTTGTCCACTCTCCTAAAGATTGTACTAAATTACGTGTTTACACACAACGAGGGAAAATCTCGGGGGTTGCGCGGGCGCGGGAGGGGTATCACTTGAAACAGAAATAAAAAGCGATTCTATTTTGATTCAACTTGAAAGTCAAGTAGAACCGTACTAAAGCAAGTAGCGTTCACATGTTTCAACTAAAGTACTATCCTAAAGCACTCTCCTAAACACTAAGATAATGTAAATCGGCCTTAAGTAGAACGTCGAGTATGCATCGTGGCGCAACTACCGGGAAAAATCTGAAACCCTGGGAAAGACGAACTGACTGACGAGACGGGGCGCTGGGGATTAAATAAAGTAAAAATTTCATACCCTTGAACTACACCAAAGGCCACAATAATAAAAATTCACTGCTTGGTCGCGGTCCCGTGGCGATCCCCAGGAATCTCGTAAACTAGGATTATTGTGGAAAGAGCGGTGCCCTATGGATCCAGAGAAATCTTTGGTGCAACTATAGAGGTCCCACAGGAATGGAGATGCCTTTGGTGTAGTTCAAGGGTCTTTTCATCATCAGATCGACTTATGATCCCTCGAAAGTGGCGATACTTAGGACAGGAGATATTTTCCGAGATAATTGTCAATATCCATAGGACTATGAGACGTACCATAAATAAATTTATATTACCTACTGTATACTACTGTACGCCGTGTTTATAAAGTTCATAAATCATGGCTTAATATGCTACCTATTTCGAAACTTCTCCGTGTATTTCATAGCCATCGTAAATAAGACGTTAGCGTTCTCCTTTGCTCTCGACTGAGACGTTTTTATCTCGCACATTAAAAGTATAGTTCTGGGTTATAGGTTGTCAATAGGCTCGCAATAAGAGTTCATGGTAGGCCCCCTGATCTGCATGAAACAAAGTCAAAAGTATGTCAATATACAAAGCTATAAATTGAGAGTACTTTGACTTATAGGACTTATGGTAATGGATCATTTAAGGTCGATAAAGATAGACTTTAGAAATTTTTCGTGAGATATTCTCTATATAGCTGAAACTATAAACAGTTTTTGATGATTGTAGATACCACTGTAAGTACGCCTTTGTTTGTCTCTCTTTAATCGAATACAGTTTTAATTATGTATAAAGATTAATAAACTACTGACTTATAAGCAATTAAGCATGACGCGGTTTAAATATTTATTAAGACAGTAGACACATCCGATCTGTAGACCTAAGGGCTAAGACGTACCTAAATTACAAATTCAAACATATATTATAATATCAGAGATCTTCATGTGAGATAATCCTTTATTGTCGCTGGAACTGTAATGTAATTGCATATTAGGTTTATACCAATGCCATGCATCTTGAATTTTAAACCGTTTCAGTTATCGATATAGGTTAATAAACCATCGACTAATAGGCGTCTAATCGCCACGAGTTTTTGATTTTTCGTGAGTTTCCGATTATTTTAAGTCAGTTATAATAATAGGAAACTAATATTTTTTTTAATAAGCATATAATTACATTTTCGCATTTCTTAGTTTGTGTTGTTCAATTGGTTGTAAACAATTAGTAATAGTTTTTTGTTTCATGGTTCTATTTGGTGTCGTAACTCTTAATAAATACTACAATAGAATATAGTTGTGACAATTGATGTATTCTAAGGAGAAGTGGTATTTGAATTCAATATTTTCTAATTTACAGCTACTTATTAAATATATTTTTTGCCGACAATAATACAAATAAAAAGAAGCATGTAGGGAAAAGAACTCTGTGCATCTTGTTTTAACATGCATTTATTTTACTTCAATTTACATGAGACAAGTAGGATGTAAGTGTAAGTCAATAATACACATAAAATTAACTTGAGTTGGGTCCTGTTAATGGCAAAGCATTTATTTCTTTGTTAAGTCTTATCTGCTCATTGATAGCCCTCCAGGCATCTTCTTTTTCTTTTTTTGTGATTGGCCTTTTCTTTTGCTTAGCTGCCACCATTTTCTTATAAATGTCAATACATTCCATATCAACTTGATCTAATTGCTTTTTCAAATTGAGTCTTATCATCTCCTGTTTGCATAAACCAATTAAATTTTTTAAATTTCTGCAATTTTCCTTACGTACAGCTGTTAACTCAGTTTGACACTTCTTTATTTCCGCTAATATTTCATCATCAGCTGGGTTAGTCAATGGAGGAAGATCTTCAGGGTCCAAAATACCTTGTTCTACTAGCTCCTTTCTCAAACATTTTTCTAATGTCAATGAGTTCTTATAACTGTTCTTAGTGGTGGTGGATTGTTTAATTTTCATATCTGGCATATCATATGTCATAACATTTTCTTCCATGAGTGCAGAGACTAACCTCTGTGTTAGAGGGCCTGTGATCATATTTTCTGAAGATTTTTCAAGTTTCTTTCTAATATTAGGTACATCAGGGGATTTCTTATTTGGATTTGAGGCATTTTGGTCTTCTGATATATGTTCATCTGCCCATACTTCAGAGTAGTGTCTCCCAAGAGGTGGTATTGGTGGCAATGTGGTATTACTACTTTGAACGAGAAGTGATTCTAAAAATTTCATATCATCCATCGTTACTGGTGCACAGAATGGATCTACTGAGTTCCAGAATTTGTATGGAATATTGTTCTTTGGTAATGCAAGCTGTGAAATTTCCAATTTAACTGAGTTGTCAGAATTCCCAGCTGGATCATTTGAGTACCCTTGAGAAGCTCCCGATGCATTATAATTTTTGAATTTAGGTATTTTGGGTTGGTTTGACAACTTAGCATAGTCCTTTGTTTTAACAAATTTGTCATCTGGAAATTTTCTTTTACCTGGATATTGTAACTGTTTTCCAGCAGATTTACTCTTTTTCTCTCTCTTTGATTCATTTGTATCAATACTCTCAATCTCACCTTGAAAATATCTAATCCGCAGTGCTGTGTTACAAAGCAGCGACTCTAGCTCTAATTGTAAAGCATCTAATTCATCCATTCCAATGGGCTCATCTGCTGATCTAGCTGCAATTGCTGTTAATCTTGGAAGAACAATAGAGTTATCCTGCTGTCTTATATAAGGTATTGGACATATTTCAGCTCTAGTTTTACCAACAGAAATAGAACCTGGTACTTTAGGAGGTTTACTGTAAGGCGACAACCCGGGACTAGCCGGTTTACCGTTATCATGACTTTTACTTGCTAATCTTCCTTTACTATTATGATGCATTCTTTTACCTAACATTTTGTTAATTATTTACCCGCGTAAATATTTCGATGAAATACCCAAATGTTCAAGCCAATTTGACAAACCAAATAAATAATGCAAACTATGCGATTCTCACAATTTATATCACTCTAGGCACATTCATGAAATAGCGTAAATTAAATATACTAACTACGAAATTAAATTAATTATTTACATAGAATAGACTTCTATAATTAATCACTTAACAAAACGAAATACTTAAAAAAACAAAATGGTGTCACTGCGTTTTTTTTTTATATTTTATGACCAGGTAACATGTGTCACTGCGTCAAGTCCGCAGTCGCACAGATATAGCAAGGGGATGTGAAAAAATAATCAATTATAGAAATAATCTATTAAAATCGATTATTTTAGAAGTGAAAATCGATTTTTGTACACGATTTTAATTTTGAAAATAATCGATTATTTTTATAATTGAAAATCAATCATAGTCGATTTATCATCTGACACCTCCCGACATTATGTCTAGTGTAATATAACCCGGACCTCGAACTATCAGGGATATTCGATATACATCGATGTTTACAATGCGATACATTGAATAGATCCAGTGCTTTGAAGATGTATTGATCTCGATGCATTGATGTTTTTTTTATAAAACATCGGAAGGATGATAAAACCAGTTAATTTCACAAAAACTCCAGTTTGAATTGAACGCTATAAATGAAAAGTAAAATAAATTTATGCAGGAAGACAAGGTTACATACAATAAAAAAGCCAACAAAAATACTGCAATGTGCTACTGAAAAGGCATACACTCAGCATCTATCAAATTTCTCCTAAAATCTATCAAAACGAGATTAGATTAATTTCAATTTTAATTATTCTAACTTTAATTTGTGTTTATAATTTCTATAGTTTATTTTTAATTTATAAAACCATGAGAAAATAAAATATTTAAGGTGTTTTTTTTTAAATAAATTCCAAAATTAGGAAAAAATCTATTAATAAAAAATCTATTTTTTATGCAGAATGTCACATCCCTAAGTCTGTAAGTGAGTCACCCAGTCAGTACTCAGTAGTCTCTCACTACTCAGTTCTCATTCGACACTCGATATTGGATAATCGGATCACTTTCATCTATGAACCACAGCCTTCGGATAATTACAGACAATACCCCCTACATATTCATCCCGTGATTTGTCTTTGGTTTTTTGGATGCTTGATGGACTTTGCTAGCAGCAAACAAAAATTGAAATCGAAAATTTACTTTTCCATCTTTGTTACAACTTACATCACTAAAATTCCGAAAATAATGCGGTTTTAGTGTTATCTGTGGAGTACTTTTAACTCTAGTTGATCTGTGATCATACTTTCAAACATCATCTGAAAATTATTTCAATGGCGTGAAGTAAACTCCGAAGTCCGATTGTTGTGATTTGTGTGCAATATTTTGAGTTAGTAAATTAGTCTGAAGTATTTCAAAACAGTTTTATCGGAATTTTATTATGAAAAATGACATAAAAATCATAGCAATGTTTTAAATTATTATTGAAAAAGAAAATTGTAAATTATTTGTAGGCTGTAGCGTTTTTATGTAAAATAGGCTAGGCAAAATGATCTCCTGTCCACTCTGTTGCAGTAATGCATTCAATACCAAGGCATTGCTCATTGATCATCTAACTCAAATTACCAATAATATACTTTGTCCGATATGCTCAGTCAGTATAACATCAATTGATTGTCTTATTGACCATCTCAAAAGCAACAATTGTGTAGACACAATAGTTTATAACCTCCATCAGAACCAGCTTGAACAACAATCAGACTATAACTCGGAGTCAATAAGCAATGGTAAGACCAAAATTGTAGTAAAATTACTGACCAACTCATGAATAAAATAATATTTTGAAATATGTATAGCTGACTCATACCAAAGCTTAGTAACTATTGCTTATGAGAAACACAAATAGAAATCTAGGCATATCTCTTTCAGGCATAATGTGCCTGAAAGATTAACATTACCTTAGTTTTTTCTGGTGATGTCCATGACAGCTCAGTGCTTTAGGCAATGGCTTATAACTTATGTTATGTTGAATATGTAGGCTCTAGGTTTAATTAAAATTACATAGAAATACAAACCTAAGTATATATTTGTTTTGATATTTTGTCATCACTATAAAATTTAAAACAAAACAATAATAAAATATTTAAAATGCTAATGCTCATGAAGCTATAATATCTAATTATTAAATTTGCTTTGAAAATGTATTTATTTATTACAGAAACTCAAGATTCTCATAATACTGAAGTAATAGAAACTAACATTGAAGATATTTCTGAAGTGAGCTCATTGTATACAGAAACGTTAAATGAACAAGATACACAGGAATTGAGGAATGTAAACGAGTATGAAGATAAATATGTAATAATAGATGATAAAGGTTCAGTAATTAATGCTGGTCATTTTGTGTCCACACAAAATGAGGATGGTACTATAACATACAAAATTGAAGGTATGTGGTTGTTATGTTGTATATAATTTTAAATAATACTTAAATGTGACCTCCATTGTAGAGAATTTATTTGTACAGAATCACAATGTATGGTAGAAAAATATTCTTCTGTGACGAAAGATCTTCAAATTTCTAATTACACCGCAGAATGTTATGAGCAGTTGCAGAATAAAACTAGTAGTTGCAATTATAAAAGGAAACCCAGTCTTCAATTACTATAGACATCACAACATACTCACAGCTTCACATACACCACAACATACACTCAGTTTAAGGAAAAAATTATAGAAAGTAATATAATGTATTCTGATGAAATGGGTCAGGACAAGGGAAATATTTTACAATTAAATAATGGACAACATTTATAAGCAGCTGTTATCCCAATGCCACTTTCAAAAACATTGTGAAAAACAATAATAATTGTAATATTTTGAAGTTATACTTCTTTAGGCGCGTTATGAAAAATTTATGAGAGAAATTTTACGATGCGCGCGCACCGTGACACAAAATTAACAGAATGAGGTTAGTGGCGCATGTTGGCACGCACGCCGCCTCTGTTCACTTTGTATTTATACATATTTATAATATTTATCCACATGCTTTGAGTTTCTACATTTCAAACACGTGTTTTCATTATACAAGTGCGAATTTTATATATGTGCGTCTGAATTATAATCAGAAGTGATTTATATTGAATATTTAAATCAATACTAATTAATATTAGAAAATAATAATAAATATAATATTAATAAATATTTATTTAATTTTTCAAATGTAAACTGAACTTTATTGACTATAATGACTCCTTTTCCAGTCTTTGATTATTTAATTGTAATTAATTATTTGCATGCAAAACTTTGCAACAAACTATTTTTAATAATACTAAAGAAGTATAACTTCTTACGCGCGTACATAAGAACACGTACCCTTTTTTATTGAAGAATGAAGTTATACTTCTTTAGGTGCGTTATGAAAAATTGATGAGAGTGAAATTTTACGATGCGCGCGCACCGTGACACAAAATTAACAGAATGAAGTTGCCCACGGAAGATGCTACGGCTTTGGACATAATTTAAAAACAACATTCGAATAAAAATAGAATTTATGTTACACTTAATGTAAGAGAATAATAATAAATATTTATTTATTTAATTTTTCAAATGTAAACTGAACTTTATTGACTATAATGACTCCTTTTGATTATTTAATTGTAATTTATTATTTGCTTGCAATCAAAAACTATTTTTAATAATGCAATGTACAATGATAAATTTTGTGTCATAGATACCAATAGGTAAAGTTTTTTATTACAAAGGGTAGATATTATTACATACCTGCTTAAAAAGACAGGTAGCTGTTTCGCTATCATATTTTATAGAGATGACAGCCAAGAATTTGGCTAGACCGCTTGCTTCTATTGAGCAAGCATTAAATATAAGATGTTGGGAGAAATTCTGCATAATATTTTTTTAAATTAGATCATAATAAGACAACAGAGCAATGCTCTTGCAATAATAAATTTAGTATATGTGATAAAAGTCATTCCCAAATAATTATTGTACCAAATTCATCAAAATACAGGGGATGAAATCGAACTATTCTTGAATAGTCAAAATATAGGCTTTCTGTGCATAACAGAACACTGGCTAAAAAAAAGTGAAATTTTGTTTAATTTTTGTAACCACAGGGTTGGTAGGGTGCTTTGCAGAGAAAATGCAATTCCTGGTGGCTCATTAATCTTAATTAATAAAAAAATGTAATGCAAAGAAAGAAAGGATATTATCAGCCGCTGTAGAACTAACTATTGAAATTTCCTGTGTGAAACTGGAGCAATTCATTGCTGTCTGTCTATATTGTCAGCTGTCAATAATAATGTTGAAGAAGTAATAGAGGAGATATTGTGTAAATTAGTGAAGATCTTCAATACACTCAATAAACAACAATAAATAGTATGTCTAACGCAAGGACTCATCAATACCAATCTAGTGGATATTATGAAAAAGATACAGGATGTTAATTTTTTCGAATTTTAATAAGAATTAGTAAAAAAAGTCAATTTTCTTAAAAAACGCAAAATAAATTATAACTCTGCAGGGGTTGAACTTAGAGACCTCCCGTAGAACAATTTTTGGCAGCTGATGACCTCAGCTATCCCCTATTTGCGTTTGATCCACGACTTTTTGGCCACCCTTTATAGTGACAACGCATCCCCTAATTATTTATACAGTACTTTTTTTGAATCATTTATATATCAGATAAATTGTATTTACTCAAAAGACTTTATTAGTCTCTGAGAAAACAAGTTTCTGTGACTGGGAAAATGAGGAGTTACACAAAAAGGTTAAAATAATTATATGAAAATGTATGATGAAAAGCAATATAACACTAGTGTGGAATTTAGGGAATATGTTAGGTTGTATTCAAATAATTAAAAAAAGGGTGCGTGTACTTATGTACGCGCGTAAGAAGTTATACTTCTTTGGCATTATTAAAAATAGTTTTTGATTGCATGCAAATAATTAATTACAATTAAATAATCAAAGACTGGAAAAGGAGTCATTAAAGTCAATAAAGTTCAGTTTACATTTGAAAAATTAATTAAATAAATATTTATTATTATTCTCTTACATTAAACAAATAAAACACTATTTATCTTTAAAACATTTTTATTTCATTATACTATTTATTTTTAAGTGACTCTAATGTCTTCATCAGAATTTCGGTTTGTAATTTTAAATTAATCATTACTTGGTTGTGCATCTACGAGGCTTCTCCAAAACTACTTGCTTTCTGCAACAAATAAGAGAATATTAATTTAAGCTCTGTCCATGCAAAAATTAAAATTTTTTATAATTCATATTATAAATTTTTTAACACATTTATATTAATATAATTATATAAATGTGTTAATAATATAATTTGTAGCACATGCTACAGACCTGGATAGCAACTTTCTTTTATTCTATTTAGAGATAGAGATAATTTAAATATAATACCGGTGTCTTCCTTGTAGGTTTCATTGGATTTGTTTGGGGATTCTTGTTGTTCAGTTCGACATGATTTTCTTTAACCTTTCTTTAATCCTACAAAATAATGAAATTGTTAAGTTATGTTGTCACTGTTGTGCACACCTTTGTTTGGCTTTTTTAGTATTCAAGTTATGTCAAAACTGATTTATTACCTTGTCATTGTTGGCTTTATTTGCTTTTGGGATATCAATTGTTTCCAAAATGATTTTATTTGCAATAACCTGAAATATATAAATAACATCTATTAATTTAAGTATCATGGTGAGTGGTTCGCACTCCGGTATTAAGGTGTATTATACCCACTGTCCATTATAAGTGGGAATGGGCTCACTTCTGGCAGGACAGAGTTTCGGTACTACAAGTGCAACATGGATGTTTTGAGGTATTACAATATCTCTAACTACCCTGTAGGGGAATAAAGTAATGTTGTAAGCACATGCCTATGCTTGAAAGGTTGAACCTTGAACATCACCATACATCATATTTATAATTAACATTCCTACCTCGACACCATCACAATCACATTCATTGAAATCTACTTCAAACCATTGTGTCTCGAGAAGGTGATGGTGGCTTTGTTCCACCTCCAGTTTTTGATGTTTCACGGCGATAAGATGACAACTCTTTTTTTGTATTCAATTTAGTGCACTTCCACTGATTCATCAATTGTTTTTTGTCTCTTGTCCTTATATTTGCTAGATTAAATCTGATGTTTTGATTAAATAATGTGGTCATTTTTTTGAGATGCAGGTACTTATTAAAATGTTTACTTCTCTGTTATATCGCTCCAAGCCTTCATTTTCTCCTTATTAGTATTCGTGCTTAAATCTTTGTTTTCAATTATTGATATATAGGGTCGTAGAATATTTCTAAAAAGTTGCTGTAACAAACGCAATAAACAAAAGCAATGAATAATGGTTCATGTTTCAGTTTTAATCAACAATAATACTCGATAATACATACGGATAGTTAACCTAAATTGTATTGAAGCACTCAGGAAGGTTAGCACAGTTTTTTCACAAATATTTTATATTATTTCACAAATATTTTGTATAATGAAAATAACTAGGTATATAATTATTAATTTTAAACAATAATTAAAACTCCTATATTTGTTTAAAAGGTAAATGTCATTGTCAGATGTCAATTGTCATGGTCATTCAAAATTCTTGTTAAGCTGCTAAGCTAGAATATGCGTGAAGTAAGCTTCACGCATATTCTATTTCTTTTTACTTGTAGTTTGTCTTATTCCCATCTCGCTCGCGCACGCTATATCACACTGCCAATTTTGTGTCATAGGTGCGCGCGCAATCGTAAAATTTCACTCTCATCAATTTTTCATAACGCGCCTAAAGAAGTACAACTTCAAAAAAATATAGCAAAATTGCAAAGTCACAATATTTAAGTTGTAAAATAAAAATGAAATGGAATAAGTAAAAGCTACTTGGAAAATAATAAATGAAGAATCAGGTAAAACGTCTGACAAACGAACCGATTATATGTTAAAAGTTAAAGTGAAATTAATAAAATCGGACCCAGAGGTATCTTCTACTTTTGAAGAGTTTTTTTACAAATGTACCACTAAATAAAAAGTAAAAAAAAATCATCTAATCATATAGCTAACATAATTTACACTTGACTCGTCAGTAAAGAAATACGACCAAGTACCTGGATTTTTCACCTGCTGCTGCAATTCCATTACTAGAAAAATGTGTATCTAAATGTAATGATATCGTTAAAACTTTTAAGCTTATTAATTTTTAAACAGTAATTTCAAATTCCGTTATTGATGTAATAGGCTCTGAATTGTCTGTAATTTTTAACAGGTGTATCGATTGTGGAGCAGTGTTGGCATAGTGGCTTCAGCGTGCGACTCTCATATCTGAGGTCGTAGGTTCGATCCCCGGCTGTGCACCAATGGAATTTCTTGCTATGTGCGCATTTAACATTTGCTCGAACGGTGAAGGAAAACATCGTGAAGAAACCGACATGTCTTAGACCCAAAAAGTCGACGGCGTGTGACAGGCACTGGAGGCTGATCACCTTCTTGCCTATTAGATTTAGAAGTGATCATGAAACAGATTCAGAAATCTGAGGCCAAGACCTAAAGCGGTTGTAGCGCCACTGATTTATTTTTTTATCGATTGTGGAGTCTTTCCGGACCAAATGAAATTAAGTAAGAATACACCATAAACCATTGTTCAATGCAGGTAGTGAGTCTGATCCGTCAAACTTCAGACCTGTTTCAGTGCGTTGAGCAAAGTTTTTGAAAAGTTAATGCTAGACCAACTTTCTTTACATTTTAATAAAAATAAACTCTTGCATAATAAACAGTATGGTTTTACTAAGGATCGCTCCACAATCGACGCCGGTGTGAAGTTGATTTCGGACATACCAGGCTCCAGAAGTTAAACCACTCCTTATATGGAAATTGCATTCGTTTTTACAACAAACTCCCAAGCGAAATTAGTAAATTATCACTAATAATTAATACATTCAAAGCTCTCGTTAGACGTAAATTAATCAATAAAGCTTTTTATAAATTTGACGAATACTTAAATTATCATCATCCTTGGGATTGATTTGCTCCAGTTTGTTTTGAAACAATTTGTATGACTCAAAGCTTTGCGATTAAATAGTGGCGGAAAGTTTCTTGCCAGTTCTTGCCCGCTCTACGCCCTTGACTTGCGAACTGGTAGTAAATGTAAATTGAGAATTAATTTAACTTTTTTTCTGACGTTCATAAATGTCCTTGTTTACCTATATCAATAAAGTTATTTTGAGTTTGAACCATTGTGAGTATTTTATCTGGCTCAATATCAAAATGTAAGACTAGGCAGCATAAAACATAAACTTAAAGTTTATGTTATATTAAAGATAATATTATGTAATCCTAACGTGAGATAAAGTTGTTGTGGAATTAATGTTAATATATCATATTGCTTCATATCTAATTTCAGAAAAGGAACAACCTTCAGATCTAGATGTTGAGCCTATACCAAAAGAAGAAGGTAGAGACAGTGGTGAAGAGATATACAGTTGTAACACTTGTGCAATGACATTTCCTTCTGTTCTTGCTCATATAAAGCAGTATCATACAAACCAAAATGTAGTTGTTGAGGTAATACCCTTTTATATGATTGTTTTTGATGTTTATATATGATGGTTTGAGGTTCTGAACAAATCCAGCTGGGTAGAGTTTAAATTCTTTTCATGTACCAAATCTTTGCAACAATACTTATACTTTATTAACATAGATTTATTTATATATGAATGTGATATCATTTAATACTATTATGATCATTTAATAGTATTTTATGCAGCTGTCATATAATAGAGGGTATTAAAACATGAGTGTAGTTTTTTGAAACTTGATTACACAAGTGTTTTAATACCTAATTATATGCAGTTGCATACACTACTTTATTAATCTCATGGCTATAGGTAGCTACATTAAATAAAATGCAATATAAAAGAAACAAAAGTCTGTTATTGGTCTATGGGCTCGGAACCAGCGCTCACCACAGATAATGTGTACTTAAATTGAATTGAAACCTCCTTGGTCGGGACACATTGTACTTTAATAATTAAAAAATTGTTTTAAGCTATTGTTTTGTTAGGAGAATAATGCTTTAATTTAATTTTTTAATATTCTTAAAGAAGTATGTAAATAAAATATGCCAATAAAAGTCTGTATTTCATTTTATAATTAGAATATTACCGAATGAGATTATATAATATAATAATAATTTTATATAAATATAATAATAATTTTATACAGGAGCCAATTGACTCTAATCTAGAGGAATATGAAGATTACAATGAAGAATCAGAAGACATTCAGGATAGCACGGAAGAGAATTGTAAGCCTTAAAACTTGTCTACACTTTTCCATCAGCCGTCCCAATTTTAGTCTACTAGGTTCATTCTGATATGTGTGTGCTATAAACGTAGTTTAATCAAATGTTTAATAGTGCTTTTATTAATTTATTTAAGTAGTGTTTGTATGTTAGAAATTTTGTTTTGCATGCTGTACCCCATATTTCAATATATGGACTTGACTAAATAATTATAAATTAAATGACGTACAGATTGCGGAATGCATTTTCATATTGACCAAAATCTGCCTAAAAGTGATTTTAGTTTAGTAATTATGTGTCTTGTGAGTTTTATCTCTTTTATTAACAATTTCTTTTGGTAGTTGATACTAAGGGAAATAAAATACGCCACGACTCTAAGATTATGTAATAAATTATAAAAAATGGGATATTTTTAATTAGTCAAGTAGGTGTACTTTCTCTTCCCAATTCTAGTTAATTTTACTATCTATTTTGGTTTCATTATGATTACCTTACCTTCATTCCTTTTATTTAACTTTCAGTACCAGTAAATCAGAAAGCGGCAAAGCAAGTAGAACCCAAACAATTAATACACAAAAAATACTTTGCCCATTTAGAAATGATTGAAAAATTCAAAACAAATGAAAATGATGAATTAAGAGGACAATTGATTGGTAAGTTTTTTATTTTAAGTGGTGGAGTTTCATGCAAATTGATTCAGTCTGTCAAAAAAAAAAAAAAACTATCAGCTACAACCTTACTATGTGATTTGTATTGGCTTCGGATCTTTTTAAGTGGATCAGTCACAGGAGTTCAAGTAGAATGCTTAATAATTTCATTCTCATTTTTAAGGAAAAATATTAAATTTAATAGTCTTTATTTCAACTAATACAAGAGAAAGTTAACAAAAATATATATGTACAGTGTAAACTCTATATAACGACACTGAAGGGACTGTGCATTTTCTGGCGTTATAGAGAGGTGTCGTTAAATGATGCGAAGAAAAACCAGAATTAGAAAAAGAAAAAGTTTATTTCAGACTAGTGTTAGTTATGTACATAAAAATAATCTAATATGAATGCTATTGCGTATAGTCTTAATTTAATGTAGGTGAGCAACTAAGTATATGATAACGTATAGATAACCTAATCTAATAACTAAAATCAATCGCGCTACAACCTTTTTTAGGTCTGGGTCTCAGATTTTTGTATCTGTTTCATGATCATTTGTTAATATAAAAGGCAAGCAGGTGATCAGCTTCCTGTGCCTGACGCACGCCGCCTACTTATTATAATAAAGCGACAAAAGAACGTACAGAGCTTCGCAGTTTTTAGTAATTTTAGCAACTTAAAAAGTACTTTATTATCAATTATTGTCGTTATTAAGAGTGGTTGTCATGTTATGTAGAGTGTATCATTGTATGGAAGACATGCTAAACTAACCAACGCTATTGATATCGACGCCTTAGGGAGTTCGTCGTTAAATCGACAGACGTTATATGGAGTTTACACTGCATATAAAAAAGTTCTTTAAGAAGGTTTTGTTGCACAGCTGTCCTCTTGTACAGCTTGCCTTTGTGGCACAAAGCCATCCTCCAGCTGTTTCCAGTGCTACCTATCCCAGGAAAATCTTTGCCACAGAGGACCAGTGGCTTTTTTAAAGTCATCAACCCAACGCGCACATGGTCTTCCTCTCCTTCGCTTGGTGTTATAGCGAGGTGTCCATTGAGTAACTTTTTTCGACCATTTTGCTTTCTGGCCTCACAGCAGGTGTCCTGTCCATCTCCATTTAAGCCTTTTGGCTCTGGTCATTGCGTCTTCCCAGTTGGTGATCCTTCGGAGATCCACAGCGCTTTTCCTATCATTCCGTGTGTAACCCAGTTTGCTCCTTTCCATACTTCTCTGGCAAGTCACAAGCTTTTGACTTGTGAGGAAAAATATAATAAATTAAAAACAATGTTTATTGGTTCAAACAAAGAACTAATTTAGAAAAACAAAGAACTATACTTTTTATCTATTTTATATAAAATCAACTATATTCATAAAAGTATCAAGCATTGAATTTAATAGGAATAAATATTCTCACTTTCTAGAATATAATAGTGATCCCACCTCCCACAAAGTTGTTGTAAAAACCCTTCATACGGATGACAAGGAAAGTACCGTTTATAGTTGTATTTACTGCAATCATGTTGTTTCATCGCTGGCTGAATTCAAAAAAGTACCTTGTACGCTCAGGACAAATGGACCTCGTAAGTTTTAAAAATTTATTGGTTACAAAATATAAAATTCTGTGATTAGGATTTTTAATATTGTGTTTGTAACATTAATTTTTTTTTTTTTCACCTAATTTGTTTTTAATACATATATAAAAAAGTTCTTTAAGAAGGTTCTGTTGCACAGCTCTTGCAATGCCTCTTGTACAGCTTGCCTTCGTGGCACAAAGCCGTCCTCCAGCTGTTTCCAGTGCTTCCTATCCATGGCAAGTCTTTGCCACAGAGGACAGAATGAGTGAGAATACTAAGACACCATTAGGTGTCTTAGTATTCTCACATGGGCAACCTCTCTACCTTCGTGTCTTGTACAATGTTTGCAATCCTCCTCACACATGGACTTCGAGACATTGCATCTACGTTCCCGTGGGCTCTGCCCTTGCGATGTTCAGTAGCAAAGTCATACTCTTGCAGTTGTTCGATCCATCGAGCCACTTGTCCTTCCGGATTCTTGAACTGAAGTAGCCATTTTAATGCAGCATTTATTGATCTGTTCTAAGACGGAACTTGCGACCTAGCAAGTATTTACTGAAGTACTGCAAAGTCTTCACTTCAGCCAGTAGTTCCCTCCGAGTGACACAGTAGTTCCGCTCTGGTTTCGACAACGACTTGCTGAAGTAGGCTATTACTTGCTCGTGCTCACCTTTTACTTGAAATATATATATATATATATATATATCATCATATATAGTCAGTGAAGTGGTTTTGCAATATCCGCGAAATTTTTCACGAATCTTCGGTAGTAAGAACATAAGCCTAAGAAAGCGTGGACTTCAGTTTTATCTTTAGGTAGTGGCCAATCCTTCACTGCAACTATCTTCTCAGGGTCTGTCCGAACTCCGTCCTCCGATATAACGTGACCCAAGTAGCTCACTTCTCTTTTGCACTTAGTTTCAGGTTGGCTTCATGCAGTCTGGTGAGCACCCGTATCAGATTCCGTATATGATCATCGAAATCTCTCCCAATGATGACTACATCATCCAAGTACACCAAGCAGGCTTCCCCTATCAGTCCTGACAGTACTTTCTCCATTACTTTTTCAAAGGTGGCATGTGCATTGCGAAGCCCAAACTATAAACTGCCATAGCCCTTTTCTAGTTGAGAACGCTGTCTTCTCTTTATGACTTGGGTCTATCTCCACTTGCCAGTACCCACTTTTCAAGTCCAAAGTTGTAAACCATTTTGCCCCAGGTTTTCTTGAAGGTAGCGATACCTTCTCCTCGAACGGTTATTTGCTGACCAGTAGCTGTAAGGAGCTGTACATTTCCTCCAGAAAGGCTTTTGTAAAGTGACTTCAGAAGTTGGTATCTAATTACTGTCCGGGAAGCTCCACTATCAAGGGTTAACTCACACCTAGTTCCGTTAACTTCTCTGTCAATGACAATGGTATTCCCATCCTGAGTTTGGGAGATCATAACTTTTGGGGCCTTCCTTACAGAACTGGCCAGCACCCGCCCCGTGGTCCTGGCTTCTATTCGTTTACCTGCCGCTGTTCAGCGGCAGTCACATCCACGTCTTCGGGCTCCCCACGACTTGTCTTCATTTCGCCTGGGAGATCTCTCTTAGGGCATGAAAACCTCATATGCCCTACTTCCCCGCAGAGGTAACAGGTGGGTCCACGTTGGGAACTACGTTTTTCCGTGACAGCCCTAATGCGGTTAGGTCGAGAATCCTTGCAAAATGCTTCCACTTCTAACGCATGGGCAAGAGTATTCTTGAGGTCCTTATGGTGACCTAGTTTCACAGCCATTCGAATTTCACGGTCTCGAATACCGTCAACGAAGGCTTGAACCAACATCTTGTCTGCAACGTCTGGTGAGGATGCGTAGGCTTTCCTAACCAGCTTCTCTATTTCAATTCTTCATTTTTGCAAACTTTCATGTGTCTGCTGTATTCTATCCTTTAATTGAGCCCTATAGACGTGGTCTAAATGTGCGCCTCCGTACCGTTATTCCAGGACATCCAGCAGTTGCTTCAACGTCACTTTACCTGTCTATGGTATCTGGTATCTAATATGGTAAGGGCTTCATCTCGCAGTTCCATAATAAGCGCGGTGACAGCTTGATCGTCATTCCACCCGTTTCACTGTGTTACAGTTTCAAACTGTATTTTTTACGCCCCCCAGGAAGATGTATCATCAAAGGGAGGTACTTTCAGATTTCCAGATGGTGCTACAGTCGTTACGACACCCGTGGTCTTCAGGCACTGCATATCTTGTTCTAATCCGAGAATACGTTTGTCCTTTTTCGATAGTTTGCAATCCACGTCAGATTCCAAATTTTCGAAAAAAAATTCTACTTGTTTCAGATCTCCTAATCTTTCTCCTATACGGCAAGCCTGTTCCTCCATCATACGACGTGTCTGAGCCTATTCTTCCATCATTTGGCATGCCTGTTCCTCTTGACGGCGAGCTTGTTCCTCTTGACGGCGAGCTTGTTCTTCTTGACGGCGAGCCTGTTCCTTCTGACGGCGAGCCTGTTCCTCCGTCAATCGCCGAAACTGTTCCTCCTGATGACGTACATGTTCCTTTTGACGGTGTGCCTGATCCTCTTGACGGCGTGCCTGTTCCTCTTGGCGGCGTGCCTGTTCCTCCATCATTTCATCAAGGAAGATGTTGGCATCGTTGCTTTCGCCCATCCCGCGGTTGGCATCAAAACTTTGTCGTCGGGCGGCGTCGCGTGCTAATTGCGCCCTTGTCTGCACTCCCTCCGCAGCTGGAGAATCTAATTGGCATTTTTCTATCCCCAATTCTTACACCGAAATGTTACGAGGATCGGATAGAAATCGCAGTAGATCTCTTCAAGGGTTTATTCTCAACTAAATCTACGAGGAATTTGTTAACACTAAAAAGTCGGAAATTACGCACAGAAATTCACTAATTACACATACACAAAACACTGTCACTAATTACTTTAGTTACACGCACTTCACACAGTACTTTATCACTTGTCTTCACTATATTCGCACTTTATCTCATCGGTGTTTATCTCTTGAAATCGCATCGAAACTGAACTAATTGGTCGCGCTTTGGCTCGCTTATATATCCCTGGGAATAGTCTTGAACGTTATTCGAGAACTCTCTAGGCGGGAGCGCTACTGAGTAGCGATCGCAGAATTCTAGAACGTCCGTACTCTTTGTCTCTTTCGCACATTGCTCCGTCCTTATCGTACGGCCTTCTAGAGTGCTCGGTCTAGCTTCGAGAAGGTTCCGATCTTCCCTCTCTCTCGCGTATCATACCTTCCTTGTCCCACACCTAGAAAATTCGGTCTAGAATATTCCTTCATCAAAGGGGTATAACCAGGCCTGAAAACGCCTGTACACTTGTTCTGAAACTGACTCAATCACATTTCAGCCTGCTGAAAAGTTTTCTAAGTAGTGGAAAAATCGAGAAACATTGCAGTCGACCCGTCTTCGTAACACTATGTGTATTGGTTCAAACAAAGAATTAATTTAGAAAAACAAAGAACTATACCTTTTGTCTATTTTATAGAAAATCAACTATCTTAATATATATAAATTACGTGTCACGTTGTTTGTCCGCTATGGACTCCTAAACTACCGAACCGATATCAATCAAATTTGCGCACCGTGTGCAGTTTGATCTAACTTAAAAGATAGGATAGCTTACATCTCAATTTATACCCGCAATATCTATACATATTACACTTACATTAGATACAATTCTAACAGATGGCGCTGTGTTAAAAGTACCAACGTTTCACATAAGCTATCTACCTTTCACATAAGTTCTCCTACTGTTTCCCTTGAATAGTTTACTACTATGTAATATTAGGTCCTTACATATCAAATTGGCGTTTTGTATGGGAGGAACAAATAGTCGAATATTTTAAAATATTATATATTTAATTAATTAAAGTTTGAACCATTGTTTTCTATGCACTTTTGCCATCTCATAGGTAGTTCATTGATCCCTTTACTAAAAAAAACAGTCGGACGGGAATCAATAAAATCTGTGAAGGCGATTTGGACTGCCCCATCAGAGTTAAATTTTTTTCCTTGCAAGAAGTTGTCCAAATTTCGAAAAAATTGGTAATCTGTTGGAGCAAGGTCCGGGGAGTACGGAGGATGTCTTAGACATTCCAATTAAAGCTCTTCTAATTTGGTAGCCGTCTGTTGTGCAGTGTGTAGTCTAGCGTTGTCGTGAAGTAGCAGTGGCGTGGAGCGATTGACCAGCCTAGGTTGTTTAGCCGCTAGCTTTTCCATCATGGTTTGCAATTGCTGACAATAGACATCAGCCGTAATAGTCTGGCCAGATTTGAGAAAACTGCAATGAACAATACCGGCACTAGTCCACCAAACGCTTACAAGTAACTTTTTGGGGTTAATTTTCGCTTGGGGCAGGATTTGGCTGGCTGCAGCCAGGATCCAACCATTGCGCTGAGCGCTTCCGATTATCGTAAAGAATCCATTTTTCATCACAGGTAATGATTCGGTTTAAAATACCTTCATTATTGTGCCGGTTCAGTAATATAACGCAGCAGTCGACGCGCGTTTGCCGGTTTGCTTCAGTCAATTCGTGAGGTACCTATCTTTCAAGCTTATTAATCTTCCCAATTTGCTTCAAGTGAATTAAAACAGTTTTATCACTAACACCGCAGCCTGCAGCTAACTCGGACGTGGTTTGCGATGGATCAGCTTCCACAATAGCCTTCAATACTTCATTATCAACTTGGGTCTCAGGCCGTCCACGGGGCTTGTTCTGCAGGTCGAAATTTCCAGAACGAAAACGTTGGAACCAAAAACGAACTGTGTTTTCTTTTGCAACATGACCGCCATACACATCATTCACCCTTTGAGTCGTTTCCGCAGCACGTTTCCACGGCGGAACTCGTACTCGTAAATAATGCGATACTTTAAGTTTTCCATTTTGTAAAATGAGTGACGCAAACAGAAAAAAACAAATGAATGACGGTCATCGAAGCACAAATACATGAGTAAATAGCTGTACAAATTTTAATTTGGAATTCCTTACCAAAGAGGAGAACATCGTGATTAATGTGGCCAGTACGAAATACGCCAATTTCATATGTAAGGACCTAATATAACAAAAACCTTAGCCACAGCAACGCTTGGCCGGTCTGCTAGTATTATTATAGTTATCAATAAAAGTATCAAACATTGAATTTAACAGGAATAAATATTCTCACTTTCTAGAAGAAGATAGTGATCCCACCTTCCACAAAGTTGTTGTAAAAACCCTTCATACGGATGACAAGGAAAGTACCGTTTATAGTTGTATTTACTGCAATCATGTTGTTTCATCGCTGGCTGAGTTTAAGCAATTACCTTGTTCGCCCAGGAAAGTCATAAAGGAACCTCGTAAGTTTAAAAAAAATATTGGTTACATAATATAAAATTCTGTGATTAGCATTTTTAATTTTGTGTTTGTAACATGCAATTTTTTATTTTTTTCACCTAAATCGTTTTTAATACGAAAATGTGTCTCAAACTATTTTAATTAAGTGTATCTGTGTTACCATTTTTTATTGTTCAGTTAATTACGTTATCTATTAAAAATCTAATAAATAAATACAGTGTAAACTCTTTAAACTTGATTAGCTTGACTTTAATTTGATTGGTTATAGAGCGGTGTCGTTATGGGGGAGGGAGGGGGAGGGAATTAATGTATGGGTATTGGGTTAAACCAAATAAATTTTACTAATTTTTACGTTATAGAGAGTTTTTCGTTATAAACGTTATAATTAGTTAACACTATAATTATCTTCTATATATTAGTTTCGTGGCCTTCTATGATGTTAAAAAATCTATGTAAAAGTTTTTACATAATCACTCATTCATTATGATTCATTTAATTATAAAATTAAATTAAATTAATTTAATTAGCTTTTCTAATCCTTTTTATGTAATAGTTAAGCTAAAGCTTATAACGTAAATAAATAATTAAAAAATCTTTGAAAATAGTTTTCACCTTCAAATAAGTATTGACTAACCAATTTTTCTAGTAGACACATACATATTATACAGAGAAGAATTATACTTGACGTATCTAATATATAAAATTCTCGTGTCGCGGTGTTTGTAGATAAACTCCTCCGAAACTGCTTGACCGATTCTCATGAAATTTTGTGTGCATATTGGTTATGTCTGAGAATCGGACAGCATCTATTTTTCATCCCCCTAAATGTTAAGGGTAGTCCACCCCTAAATTTTTATTGTTATTTTTTAGACAAAAATTTTTGTTTTTATTTTTTTATGATACAGCATACAAAAATACATGCAACCCTTAATTGTCACCCCTCTACCATCAACCTCTATTTTTTATTATGGTAGATAGTTATTTTTATTAAACAAAAAAAAAATCCTAGAAATAATACACATGGCAAAACGACGTTTGCCGGGTCAGCTAGTATATGTATATGTATGTATAAATAAAAATAAAAAATAGTGTATACATTGATAAATAATAATACTCATCATTATATATTATGTCATTATCAATGTTATTTATTAATTTATACATATATTTCTTTCCACCAGTACTTCGAACATATTAACAAATTATTTATTACATCAATCATGTTATAAAACAACACTTAATTGTGTGTACATATAAGGTTGTATTGACGTTTTGGTTACTTTTAAATTACAATTGTAATAGTATTAAAACCATTCTGAAGTCTGGACCTTAATGGATAAAATATAATAATTTATTTTTCAGCGAAATATACCTGTACCGTCTGCTCAATGGTCTTTGATAATCCCAAATCTTTGTGTGCGCATATGAAAGCTCATAAGGAGAAACCAAGTAAGTTTAACATATTCAAACAAGTAACACGAATACAGAAAAATAAACTTGTATTTTTTTTTAAATTTTAGGGAAACTTACAGCTAAAAAAGGTTCTATATTATATAATTAATATGATGAAGGCCAATTATCAGTTTCCACATTAGGTATTATTTAGACTTGCAGCGAATAGTATATTCGGCAGTATACCGAATATTCGGCGAGGCCCCTGACCGAATAGCCGAATATTAGGCAAAAGTATTCGGCTGGATTTTAGCGCCAAAAACTGGTACTTGTAAAAATGCAGAAAAGTTAGTCTTTCTGCACCATAACCTTCCCCTTCTAAATTTTGATTATGAAAATAATTAAAATGCATAGAAAAATTCTTAACTTGTTTAATACAGAAAATGATTTAATTATGTACCTGTTTTATATACCAATGACTAATAAATGATTATAAAAAAAATGAGAACCTTACCCTTCTAAATTTTGATTACCACAATAATTCAAATACATAGAATCCTCCATTTTTCCAATTCAGAAGATGATTATCTACCTGTGTTATGTACCAATGACTGCTTAAATGATTATAACAGAAATGAAAGTATGAATATATACGTAATCAATCAATTTTAATTTTAAATTTTTCCTATGACAAAATATACTATTTAAGTATTCGGTATTCGGCCGAATAATATGTAGATATTCGGTATTCGGCCGAATATAAAGGTGCGTACAGACTATATAACATAACATGTTATACAACATTGCTATACAACATGTTTCAGATAATGTGGACACTGAATGTTATAAAACATGTTATAATAACATGTTATTGATATGTATGCTAGGACGAACCCAGCATCTACGTTTTTTTGTTTTTCTTTTGTTATTTAAAATGGTTATATAACATTGTTATATTGCATTGTTATTCTAATGTGTACAGTATTGTTTTATGTTATAATGTTGAATAACAAGCTTACATAATGTGGACGTGTTATAAAACACAAGTTATATAATATGTTACATAGTCTGTACGCACCCTAATAAAAGCAGCCGAAAACGCCGAATACTCGTTGCAAGTCTAGTATTATTACATCTTTACATACTAATGCTCAAAAAACTCTATTAAAATCTAAATCATTCAAAGTATTGATCACATAGGGCTTTCTTCATTGTAGTAACACTAGTGCAGAACAAATCCAAATCGACCTCCCGACATGCCACTTAAAAGAACGACATGCTCGCAATAGGTATGAATTTTGTCTATATATAGACATAATTCGCCAATGTTTCGGGTTTTATGTAACTATGACACTAATTATAAGGATATTGATATATTCCACCTCACCAAAGAATGAGAAAGTATTTGAAGAGGCGGGAAGACTTATTTTGTTCAAGCAGTAACTAGTTTTTTTCTTTGAATCGTATATCGTTTTTTAATGTTAAATTTCAGTCTTTAAAAAAAATTATATATAGTACTTACTTATGTTTTCTGTTTCATATATATATTGTTTATCTATGTAATCTGTTTTGGCTTTTTATATTGTCTAAGTGTTTTGTTTTATAATATGTATGTTAGCTGTAAGATTACTAATAAATAAATAATATTTAGAATAATAAAAACTACCACAATAATAAGCATATGGACTTATGATTGTCTGAATAAATAAATTATTATTATTAAAGCTAAACATATACTATAGTTTTCGAAACCCTAAGGCGTATCTACGAATGTTAAAAGCGCACATAGGCCGTTACCGCAGCCGCGATACGAATACACGACGAAGGATCGCCTACGCCATCACATACGTAACACATATGTTGAACTTTTACAGCCGTTGACAGTGTGTCAAAAGCGCGGAGTACTAAATGCCACTGTGAGGTCTGCAATACCTGGTTTCCGACGACCAAAGCCCTCAAGCTGCACAGGCGAATGCATTATCCCATTAAGTAAGTCTCTTCACCTTCAGAAATTGTTCTTTGGTTATTTCGTCCGTTAATTATATCAACAGATTGACCATCCAAATACAGTGTATAGTTTATATTAATTTATTATTGAAAACATTTGCACACATAGTTATTCACTGGTACATTAAAAAAAAATGTCAGCCGTCACGGGACGCCTGGCAGATGTGAAACATCGACATTGTTGTGTAAAAGTAATATGCAGAAAAGAACAGATTGTGATAGGAACTAAATATGTCATAATGATAAAATAAAATATTACGATTTTTTTCCAGATAACGATGACTATTTATTGAATAAACATTTATTTTCATTAAATACAACAATTTACGAATTTATTTCAAATCGTGACTACTTAATTCGTTTAATCTGCATATAGACTATATATATATACCATCATATAGCGTGGCGACGCGTCGCCACGGCATGCGTCGCCACGGCAGAAATCGGTTTTACGTGCGGCTATAGATGTTTCACATCAAAAATTACTCAGAAAGTCACTTTGAAAATTGAAACTGACCTTTATAGGTCAGGTTAGGTTTAAATTTATATTTAATTCCGAAACGTAAACACTTACCTACCTACTTAGCTGATATCTATAAATAAAAGGTAAAGATCTCCACAGTTGATGACCATCTGTGTGAATGTAAACAACAGATAAGAAGTTTGTGAAAGAAATAATTCTTTTTGTCTTCTGCGGCTGACTCCGGTCGCAATATCTGTATGGGATTTCCAGGAATTTGTTACAAATGATTCATTAAAAACAGTTATTACCAATACGATTTTGTATGTTAATAATTATTTTTAAAAAAACATTGGAACAGTGATATTTATATTACAATTTTTATAGCCTAACAGAATGTTGATATATGTATAAAAATCTTGGTAGTTTCGGAGGCAGTATTGACTTACAGTTCGTTGCTGTCGTCTTAAGCATTTGGTAAATAATCTGAGTTCTTACAGAATACCTTACTAATAATAACCCGAAAAACTTTCAAAGTCTAGCTATAAAATGATCGATAAAAATAATCTCCAAAAATTGCGTGATGCTCCCTATACCACTTAACATCAGGTGTGCTGTTAGCACCCTGTGATATTAACAATGCACTACCGTATTTATTCCCGACGCTAAAAATATATGTAACTGGTCGATTAGCGCGGTGTCTTTGGGTCAGTCGGTTGGAAGTCCACATCATTGAATGTGCATATTGTAAAATTTTCTTTATTAATTCCAGGCCTCGTCCAATTGAGTTACCGGTAGGATCAACAGACACCAATACTGAGATTTATGTGTGCCCCATTTGCAAGAAGGGGATACCTGTTGAATATCGATTAATTCATCAAAACTCGCATAAATTGCCTGATGATTTGACCTGTGATATTTGTAATAAGGTATTTGCAACGCGGGAGCTACTTGAGATGCACACGAATGTACATAATATGTATAAGGTTAGTTTAAAAAAAGTTTTTCCAATCTCAATAGAAATGCAGGGGGGTCTTAAACGGGTGGTGGAATCTTCACCCTAATGGCTCGCTCTATCACAACTTCTTCTTCTCAGGTCATGTCTAACAACCGAGTATCGTGATCGTTGACAGTTCTGTAGGGTATTCCATTACCAATTTCTTAAATTGAACCCGGATTTTTCGTCCCGCATAGAGAAATTTTTGATGGAAAATCAACATCAAGAAGGCTATTTTATAGGTTCTTGTGAGTAATTTGTAAAATCTGTTTAAAAAGTGTTATGTAAAAAAAAAATTATTTAAGAAAAATATAAATAAATAAAATTTTTACTCTAAAATGCGGTCCCGGAAGAAGGCCTCCTCCAACTGTTTTCACGCTATTTTATTTTGTGCCATCGTCATCCAATTTTTTCCAGCTGCCCTTTCGACCCCATCGGCCCATCGCTCTATTGGTCTGCCCTTGTTCCTTTTACGTTTTATTTTGTGCCATCGTCATTAATTTTTTCCAGCTGCCCTTTCGACCCCATCGGCCCATCGTTCTATTGGTCTGCCCTTGTTCCTTTTACGTTTTATTTTGTGCCATCGTCATTAATTTTTTTCCAGCTGCCCTTTCGACCCCATCGGCCCATCGCTTTAGTGGTCTGCCCTTGTTCCTTTTTAGTTTTGGACCAACCATTTGGTTACTGTTTTAGACCATTGAAAATCCAAGTTTGTGCTCCATATGAAAGGCAAAGCAGCGAGCACGAATCCACCACCTTTTTCATTAGTTTAAGTGGGAGCTTACGTATCAAAAATAAATAATTAAAATGTTCTTGTGACAGGTCACAGATTAATCGAATCAAGAGCTACGTAGCATGTTTGTGAATAATGTCTACGACTTCTAATGTAATCCTGTTGTGACTTAAGTGTTTTTGATTGAAATGCGATATGCGTGTTTGGGTAATTTAAGATTGGTTATAATATGTCAAAAACTTGACGTCTGTTTACGTGTTTACAAGCTTTATACGTCACAGGGACTGGTCACGCCATCTTGCCCAGGAAAACGTTTTGGTCTAGAAATTTCTAATTGGATTTTTAAAGCGAATACCTAATGGAATTAAAACTAATATATAATAAAAAATAGCCCATTGTAGGGCCTGTCGTACATTCTAATCACTAGATTAAACAGGCAGATAATTTTTTGCTTATTCCAGTTGAAATTTGCTATCAGAGACGTTTAAGACATTATCCTTGATTTTTTAATAAAACGGGCAAAAGGGGTTCATGTTAAGCGATACCTGCCCATGGACACTCACATTGCCAGAAGGCTCACAGGTGCGTTGCCAAAATGTTAGAAAGAACTTAAGTCGAACTGGTTCTGAAATACTTCAGTGGGCAGCTGGTTCCAAATGCTCTCTATATTCTGCCTCGACTTCCGAAGAAATTCAGCTGCAGCTAGTATTCCGATCAACTCTTCTGAATGCTCTCCATGGTAAACATGTACTCCATGTACACCAAGAGCGATTTAAAAAAAAATGTGGAGTGTTGTAAATTCTTGCCCGCTGCTTCGGGAGCTGGTAGTAAAAATAGATTTTCCTTTTTTAATAATTGTACACTGTAGTTGGAAATTGAAGTAATGTAATTATTTCAGAAAAACCCAAAAAAGCAAGAGAACGACGAACTTCGATACCAGTGCTTTTATTGTGTGAGGAAATTTGCGAAACCGCATGAGAAGGTGAAACATGAGAGGATCCATACTGGTTCGTATACGACATCTTCTCTTCTCTCGTCTTTGGTGATTTGGCTAAAATTTTCATGTTTTCCTGGCCTTGGCCTAGTGGCTTAGAGTTCGACCCGGCTGTGCAATAATGAACTTTCTCTCTATGTGACTTAAGGCCGATTTACATTATCTTAGTGTTTAGGAGAGTATTTTAGTACAAGTTGAAAGGCAAGTTCTTTAGTGCTTTAGTGCGTTGCGAGTGAACGTTTACATTTCTTCCAGTAGAGTATCATTATTCATTACAGCGCCACAATGAACGCGCAACGACGTCGGCAAAACGCTCTATTCTACGCAAAATACTAATTGGAGTTATGTAACAAATAGAAGACGAGATTTTATTCGAAATAAATAAACTAAATATGAATAATAAATAAAATAGCTTCTTTTAAGGCAGTGTATGCCGAATGCCTAGCCTGTTTGTTTTTGTATAAATTGTTTTTAACGTTCCACAAACATTCGTGAACAATATATTCAGACACACATTTGATAGTTGTATCTTCCGACCATTTAGCCATCTTTAAAAATAAAAAAACACGCACGCGTTTCACGCACACGTTTGCACTTGTGCACTCTCCTAAAGATTGTACTAAATTACGTGTTTACACACAACGAGGGAAGATCTCGGGGGGTTGCGCGGGCGCGGGAGGGGTATCACTTGAAACAAAAATAAAAAGCAATTCTATTTTGATTCAACGTGAAAGTCAAGTAGAACCGTACTAAAGCAAGAAGCGTTTACATTTCGCTAAAGTTTCAACTAAAGTACTATCCTAAAGCACTCTCCTAAACACTAAGATAATGTAAATCGGCCTTTAGACCCAAACGGTCGACGGTGTGTTAGGCACAAAAGGCTGATCAAAATCGAATGATTTGTAGGATTTTATTTAAATAATTATTACATAACACAAAAAAAATTGTAAACCAAAATTTAACTTAAATTGTTTTGTTTTTTTTTTGTAATGTTTGTTTTGTTTAATAATAGGTTATGATCTCTATATGTATGTATGTCATGTTTGCCTATAAGTGCTTGTCACATTAAAAATTGTATTTTGTGTTTGTTTTTACCAATGTCTCAGTGTGCCAAGCGTTGGCAAGCTTTTTATCAATAAAAAAAAAATATTTAAATCAAATTTATATTCAGTTTTTATGGCAATTTCACGATATTTTCTTGAACGCGCCGAAAGAAACACATCTAATTACGTTTTTGATAAAAATTTCGTGAAATCCATCAATTTAAAGGATAATTCAATCTTAGAAATTACTGGATCCAATTAAATGAAATGAGTAATGCAGAAAACGCTTAAAATATGTCTATCGATATATTTACGCCTTTTTCCGGAAGGGGTAGACTGATCACGACAGATCTCCATTACTCCGGTTCAAGACTTCAAGACATTCACCATGCATACTCGTCGGTTTTGGGTACTTTAACTCTCTAGTACGTACAATATACGTTCTATAAATTAATTAAATTTACAGGTGAAAAACCCCACGTTTGTGAAATTTGTGGAAAATCGTTTCGTGTTTCGTATTGTCTTACGTTGCATATGCGAACGCACACGGGCGCACGCCCGTACGAATGTCCGCACTGTCCTAAAAGGTATGCTTTTATCTTAATATATATTAAATTACGCGCCACGTTGTTTGTCCACTATGGACTCCTAAACTTTCAATCAAATTTGCACACCGTGTGCAGTTTGATCTAACTTAAAAGATGGGATAGCTTACATCTTAATTTATACCCTCAATATTATTTTATTGCAAAATATTTGTTTATTATTTGATAGTCACAATTCTAGCAGATGGCGCTGTGTTGAAAGTACCAACGTTTCACATAAGCTACAATTGAATGGCATAACCACCAAAAAAGCATGGTGGTCCCCATGACTGGTGTTCTCCTACCCTGGTGGTCACCCTTGAATAGTTTACTACTATGTAATATAACAAAAACCTTAGCCACAGCAACGCTTGGCCGAGTCTGCTAGTTGTATAATAAAATCAAGTTTGGAATAGTTTAACATTGTTTACTCTTTGACTGAACAGATTTTTCATTCAAATATTTTAGATTAGCGTTTAATACTTTTTTTTAAATATTAGTTCTTCCCTAACACGAAAGAGACTTACTGAGAGTACTGGTTTACACTTAGCGTAAAGGAATGTATTGTCAGAGGTCGCATTTTTATCTAAAATACACGGAATCCAAGCGTTTAAACATAACTAAGAAGCAATTTAAAAGTTTTTGTAAAAATTACTAGGCTTATTAATGTTCGGTCTTGTATATTATTCATTAAAAATGTTCTTTTCACACAAAGTCACAAACAATAGAATAAATAGTTGTCTGTTTTTTTATTAAGTTATAAATAAAGTCACTGAGTGTGTTTAAGATGTGTATTAAACTTAAATTAATATTTTTGAAAGATTAAAATTAATTTACTGAATCAAAAACTATATAGTATAAGTTGTATATTTTTTACAGATTTAAAGCGCATAGCGTATACCACCATCACATATTATCACATTCGGACGTACGGGCTTATAAATGTCCGTTCTGTCCGAAATCGTTCAAGACGTCAGTACAACTTGCCGGACACAAAAATTCTCACACAAAACCTTTTCAGTGCCAAATTTGTAATAGGTATGTATTTAGCTATTTTTTTTAAATTAATAAATAGACTCTTAAATCCGTTATTTATATAAACTAAATATTTCGAGATCCCTCTGCTCGATTGTGAAGCTGTTTTTTTAGTGAATTATTTATTTTATTTTAAACTAATGCAATTTACTATTTACATTTTTTTAATGACAACCATGGATTATCGTAAACAGTAAATATAAAACTTAAAGAAAAACCGACAGCTGTATGTAATTCACAATAATATACCTGGCAACCTTAACGTTGCTGCTGACTGAGAGCTGGCAACCATTTTTGCAATTGTTGCCATTATTTTATATAAAGTAATATTTTTAATAATGTAATAAATTCAGGATTATTTCCGTTGAGTTTTATTTACCCGAATAAACCAGATTTGTGCTTTTCTGGATATAACAATATGTTGATTTTAGGCCATTCGCGTCCTTATACGCGGTACGCTTACACATGGAAGTACACTCGCGTCTAAACAGCCTAAAGTTCAAATGTACGGAGTGTGGTGCTAGTTACGCGCGGCCCTTCGCCCTCAAAGACCATGTAAAGCAGGCACATTCCCACATAGAAGCCAGTGTTGATAATATTGTGAGTATTTTATTCCGCTTATAATTTCCGGCCAACAATGAAATGGAAAAAAAACGGAATATTGAGAAATTCAAAAAGCTTAAAGTAAATAACTTGAACATTCAAAATAAAAAAATGTACTCGGATATTTATATTATATACTTTAATGTCACAGATGAGGTAAAATTCTAATCTGCTTTTTGATGAAAATTGCAATTAATTCGCACATTACGTGATAATTTATTATTTTATCAATGGGTTTTCGTAAGATTCCACCAAGAAGTATTATTACAAAAACTTATGTGAACCAAAAAAGACATCAGAACAAACAATCAATCAAAATGTAAACTGTTATCACCTGTCAAATGTCAATTGTCAGCTGTCAAGTTTTTTGAGTAATGCATGGAAAGTGACAGTCACATTTGCAATGGAATAGTCTGTGCTGACACTTAAAAAGCATATTTTGGTCAAATTTGTATGTTTTTTACACATTTAGGTTCATATCTGGTAAGTAGTGTTAGACCATTGACTCTAATTCATATAAGTTTGGCCGGCCGTGCGCATTCACACTCGCTTGAGCAGAATGCCTTATGCCGACAAAGTCGTGTGTAAGGCACAAAGGGCTGATAATTTGAACACTTGACAATTAAAAATAACAGATCTATTATTTCAATTATTATTTTTTCCTTTATGGCTCTGGCACGGTTTGTGCATTAGCCAGCGTCAAGTATAAGATTTTTATAATTCGCACTTGTAATTGCCATCCTCGGCCTAGAATGTATTGCTACGTTATAAACCTTCACAGTCTCCTTTCTTAGGTAGCATACTCACTGCTTGCCTTAGAAATTTAAGCATTCGCCCGGTACCGCACAACCCTCCCAAAGGCCGAGAACAAATTTATATTAAATTACCCCTCACCTAGCTGCCACTCAATAAGACCGCTATCCCTGAAAATCAGAAATCTCTGACACTACACATTTAATATATGATTTCAGGTCGAACAGAATGAGACTAAACTGCTTTGGGATGAAAATATAGACGAAACGGAAGGAGTTGAATCACAAGACACTGAAGTTAGTATATCTTGACTAACTTTTACTTAAATTATTCGTTTATAGAAGAAATATATAAACCTTTTCATTAATATTTGTTTCTGTTTCAGGTAAACGAATTAAATTCGACTGAACTTGCTATAAGTTAAATATGTTGTATAGTGAATATCTATAATGTAAATAAAATAATCAAATCAAAATCATTTATTCATTTAGGTAACAAAATGTACACTTATGAACATTCATAATATCTTTTTATTTAATTTTTTCTCTTTGATTATTGTTATTTTGTGTGTTTATGTGTGTGTTTTTGTTTGTACACTTACTGCCAGTTCCCAAATCAAGGGTGTAGAACGGATGAGAAGAACTGGCAATAAACTCTCCGCCACTCTTTTTAATCGCAAAGTTTTTTTGTTTTACACAATGTTTGTAAGGAGTGCAACCATTACACCATGTCCCACATGACATCTTAAGTAACTTAAATAAAAACTCCAATTAAAAAAAAAAAAAAAGGGGGGGGGGGGGGGGGGGGGGAGGAGAAAAGGGGGGGGGAAAAGGGGGGGGGGGGGGGGAAAAGGGGGGGGGGGGGGGGGGGGGGGGGGGGGGGGGGGGGGGGGGGGGGGGGGGGGGGGGGGGGGGGGGGGGGGGGGGGGGGGGGGGGGGGGGCGTTCCCTCTGAAAAAAAAAAAAAAAATTAAGACACAATTTTTTTTTATTGATTTCGGATTAACCCACGGAATTCACAGCGAAACCATTCATTAGGTTTGTCTTGTTATCTTGGAAATACAAATTGTAATTTTGGAATATTTTTTTTATCGAATATAACTTGCGAATTCTGATTGCATTACTAAAATATCCCAAATATAAGTTAAATGGTGTGTTACAATAATAAATTCTCTATTCATAAAACCAAAATCAATATAAACTCTTTTAACGAAAGTCTTACATCTCTTTCTGTCAAATGTGTTTATGCTGCGATGAAATGAGACAGGTTTTTAAAGAGACTCTTCAAGCAAGAACAATTAATTAAGAACGGGTTGGTTTTGATATGACAGATAAATCGATTTTTCGATTGATCGTAGGTACGAAACATTAGAACTAAAAGTACACACAGATTCTCAAGTAAGTAGTTATTCTAATTGGTAGATGCAAATTATTATTAGCAAATGATAATTTCTGCAAAACATATTATTATTAGTACTTGGCTTAGTTAAAAAAGTTCCCTTGTATAATCTAAGGACTCAGAGTCGTGACTTAGGGCTGTTTCACACGTACCACAACCACACCACGTCGCAACGACAAAATGCTTTGAAGCAGTGGATACGTGTAAATAGTGTCGCTGCAGCTTTTTGTAGTTGCGTTGTGGTACCGACAAAATTTCGATGTGGTTTCATTGTCGCCAGTAGTTGCGATGCGGTTACGTCGTGTGCAAACACAGTTGCGGAACGTGTTTCCACTATGAAAGCCGGAGTTGACTGACCAAACTCATGGAATTCGAAGAGGATACTTTGTCACCTTAGTCGAACGCAGAATGAATGAACCGGGGGAGGGCAAAAAGCGGCGGGCGCGCACTGTCGTTGCGTCTACGCAAGGTTTTGTTTGCGATGTGGTCGGCCACTAGTTCGCCGCTGGTGGTCGCGTTGTGGTTGCGATGTGGTCGGTATCACACACGGTCGATAACGACTGCAAAATGTGGTACGTGTGAATAGTCCTATTCATTCTCAATACAAAATATACGCCCGGCCACGTGGTGTGGTTGAGGTGTGGTTGTGGTACGTGTGAAAAGGCCCTTAGAGCTACGACTTTTGTATGTGTACAATAAATTTAACATACCGGAGTAACATTGATTGGTCTCTGTTTCTATGACCACTATTAAAGGCGGAAACATACTACTAAAACGCGACGCGACGTGTCGTGTCGACAGCCGATGTCCATCGTGCACATTACCAACACGCGACACCACGACACGCTTGCAAATTCAGAAGTTATTTAGCTGACAATAGTGAAGGTCAAATTAGCTTACTGTCCTATGGATTTTATGAATAACGAGTCAGATGAATATTATGAGTATTATTAATATTAGAGTATGGTCCTTGTATTAAGGTAATCTCATGTCATATAAAACAGAATATTGTTTCACCAACTCAAATTATTATTTGTCGTTCATTTCGCCAAATAAATCCAAAAATATCTAAGTATATAAATTGACATTCGTGTCAAAAACTCGAAAGACTGACGCATGGCGTCATCATCACAACATCCACAACACGCCGATCCAAATCGATTGGATGTTACCGCGTGTGATCACATGGCGTGTTGTCTATGTGCATCTGACCATATTAAATATATGGGATTGATAAGTACTGACATGCGTCGGATGGCGTGGTGTAGCGTCGCGTTTTGGTAGTATGTTTCCGCCTTAACATGTGTTACCCTAGGCGTATTTTTGTGTAATTTTTGACAGTTATGAAATCTGTAAACGAGTGATTTCTAATAAATTCTGCGCATGTAGTCTATATTTTCCAATAGCGATTTCAATGCTGTTACCAGGAGATTCTAAATTACTACACATGCGTTGTATTCAAAGAACTACATCGAATTTTAATTACTCTAAAAAAAATATCTATTGGAAGTTACTGTTACTGTGGCTAGATCATAGATTAAAAAGTTCAGGATTTTTATTAATTTTACGCTATTGCAAACTTCTATTGTTGGACAACAGCTCATATGTTTGACTGTATTGAGCGACTGACTCAAAGTTACTTCTATTTTATAATAGTACTAGTAGACTCGGCCAAGCGTTGCTGTGGCTAAGGTTTTTGTTATATTACATATTAGTAAACTTCAGCATGCTTTTTTGGTGGCTATGCCATTAAATTGTAGCTTATGTGAAACGTTGGTACTTTCAACACAGCGCCATCTGTTAGAATTGGGTCAAATAATAAACAAATAATTTGCAATATAATTACATTGCGGGTATAAATTGAGATGTAAGCTATCCAACCTTTTAAGTTGAATCAAACTACACACGGTGTGTAAATTTGATTGATATCGGTTCAGTAGTTTAGGAGTCCATAGCGGACAAACAACGTGACACGTAATTTATATAGGTATATTAAGTTATTTTGTTTGAATATTTTTTAATTGTATAAAAAATCTATTGTTTGAAATATTGTGTTGAAATCTGAACATTGGGAGGATTTTGATTGTTACTACAATCAACCTGTCTTAGCGCATTTTTTTTAAATAAGAGTAATAAATTTAAAAAGTATTTTCAGTGTTCAACACTTCATTTCGAAGGTTCTAAAAATGTATCTTTAAACACCTACAGATTTTCATTAGACAATATTTTATGCACAATTCTACATTTTTCTGATTTCATGAGGATTATTTTTATATAATATGTTTGTAATATATAATTATAATTACAACAATAATAATAATTATGAAGGTAATGTTATGTTATCTATGTGCCCAAATATTAAATAGGTATAATGTTGTATGTATTTAGGTATCTAAACAGTTTGAATTCTGTATAGAATAAAATTTGTAAAAAGATATACGCAACAAATGGATTTTACGTATTAAATGTTTATATAAACTTTTTTTGTAAATAAATTATCAAATATAAATAAAAGATAAAAATTATGAAAGTATTATTTATTACTTAAGATAAAATGTACAAAACTGGAATATTACATTTTTGGTATGCAGGTAAAGCTTAATATTTATCCCTATATTTGGTTCGTGACTATCACAATTTGTCTTACAAACTATTTACCGTATAACGTCTTTTTACACAAAGTATAATTCACTATCACGTTTGACCATTGGTCCACTCGCCTTCCATTCTCCATACAGAAAAGGCGTAGCTTAGTTTATCTTGTGCTAAGTATTTCCCGTGTTCGCTCCCGGCATCACTGCTATCGCTACTCGCCGTAGATTCACTGTTAGACAGGATTTGGTACAAAAATTCTATATATTGGGTAGCCAATTGCAAGGTCTGTATTTTGGATAGTTTATCGCTGGGCAGAGATGGAATGATTTGTCGTAAACTCGCGAACGCCTCGTTCAAGCTCTGGGTTCTTTGCCGCTCTCTCACATTCGCCATCACTCGTTGTATCTGCATCTCTTCGAAGGATTGAGTTTTCTTGCGAGACGATTTTGATGACCTTTTCTTTGTTCGTCTATGCTCGTCGCTCTCCTCACTGTGTTCTTCAGTTGAAGCGCGGTACGTTGACTCCACGGAGGGCGCCTCGGCTTCGTAGTAAGGGCCCAGTCTGTCTTGGGAATTTGAGTCTTCAAAATAAAAGTTTCGGTACTGCCGCTGCCGTTGGTCGTACATGGGATCGTATGCGAACTGTTGCTGGTAATCCCTTTCTTCGTTATCGAATATAACATTTGCAGGCCAAGGTTGTTGAAGCGGCCGTTCTGACCCGTTGCTGAGGTCCATGAGGTGTGTTGGTGAAGACGACACGAAACCCTGCATTTCCGTATCACGTTTGACTTGGATCGGCGCGTAACCGTAGTATTCGTCCTCTTCAGGACATTCGTTTTCGCGTTTGATGGGCACTCTTTCACAGTCGTAACTCATAGTTTGAAACGCGGGCGCGAGGTGGGTAGCGTCGTGCAACATGTGCGGTTAATGCGCGTCTAGAAACTGACTGAATGTCTTGAGACGCCCTGCCCCTGCCCGTCCTTTCATTGACAAGACAAAAAAACGGACCGGTTTCGGTGCAAGCGCCTCCCGCTCGGCGCACCTCCCACTCTTGCAGGGTTGTATGCGTTAGAGTGAGATGGCGCTACGGTCTATCAATGCTTATCTTGTCCTGTCCGTCTTTAGGGTCGCATTTACCTATATTATGTACTTCGTATATTTGCTCGGACGCCATATTGATTTCATCAATAAAGCATCCCGTCTTTGATTTACAGTCCGGCATTATATTTCAGTTTTTAACTTGCATAAGACATTGCGAAATTCGTTGTCTGATTAACGGCTAGGTCTTAAAGTTAATAGGGCTTTAAAATAACACTTAAATATTATTTTCTACGTTTTAGCCTAGGTGACAGAGTTTCGGCGCCACCCTTGCTTCTAACTTTTTATGTGTCTCGTCGGGCGGTCGCCGATTAGACTAAAAATAATCCTGACGTAATCAGGGATCCCACGGACCCAAGCTTTACAATAATATAAATATTTAATATGTTTATCGTCTTAACTCTGAACAGATCGCCTTGACGTGATCTGGATAGTGTTATTACATGACAGACATTTTATAATGGCCATGCGAGGATAATTACTACGAGTCTGGGTTGTAATAATTATATAGAACACCAAGTTATAGGTAAAGCCTAGTGGGTGAAACAGATTTCAGCAATTGATTACAATAAAGAAAATGCAATATACCTACCACCTTACATCCTTTAATCTTTGCTATTATAGGTGGAGTATGGGTATATTACAAAGGTAAGTTAATAAGTAAAGGCAAGTTAGATGTTTTTAAAGCTATATTTAGGTTACACATGTGACATACGTTAAACATAATTTTCTTCTTGCGTAGATTTTGAAAAATGACGTTTTTAATTTCAACAAAAAATTATGTGTCAAATTTAAGAGTCCGATCATAAAAATTTAATATATTCTAGATCTGTATTATAAATCGAAGTACTAAATATATGTTTAAACTGTAAATCATTCGAAATTATTAAGTAAGATTTGATTAATCTAACTTGATAATTTCGAATGATTTACAGTAGGTATATATATATATAAATATAAATCGCAAATTATGTTGCTAAGCGCTAAACTCGAAGACGGCTGGACCAATGCGAGTAATTTTTATTTTATTTATTCCTTGAACTCTGAGGAAATGTTTTTATGGAGACAAATTAGAAAAACCATGAAAATGTTTGTTATTTCGTTCTCAGGTTTTTATTTCGGAAAAGCGAACAGTTTCTATTGAATTCCATAGCAAAATGTTAGCCAAAATAAATTGGCTAAGTCAAATTAAGGCGAAACGAAGTTCGCGGGGACAGCTAATAAATGCACTAAAGAAGATTTAATTAAATGTAGTACTCAATTAAAAGATAAACTGTTATCTATTAAAAAATAATCCCAAGAATATTTTCATCACATCACCCACCTTGAACTTCGGTTGATGATTTATCAAACTTTCAAACATGAAATATAAACATCCAAATATAAAACACCCAAAAGGGGTTTGGTATATTTCGGGAATAATTACCAACCGCAGGAACGACGAGTGACGATATGTTAATAGCATCATTATTCAATACTGTATTTTTAAAATTACAATGCCGTATTTCTCGATAAACTATAAAATTCTGTATAAGCAAAGATTTTAATCTTGTAACACAAGTATATTTTGTAGATGTTTGAAAGCAGGTGATTTATACAGGAAATAAAATGAGATGTGTGCTAAAGTAGGGTCCGGTCTTGGCCCATTTAAGTAGACTTCGATGGATATTTTGGTATATTATTCAATAACGAGCGTTAGGTACGCTTGATGTATAAAAATGGTAATATATGCCTATGTGTTCCTTTAGAATCTGCTACGTAATAATACAGTTTTAGGTAGGTACACTATATAATTTTATAGACAATAGTCAAATCATTTATTCCAATTAGACCACCTAAAATGGCACTTTTGAACGTTAAATAAAATATAAAGATGATTCTAGTTGCCCCTTCCAAAAGGTAGTTTCGTGTGGAGAAGAATGGGCAAGAAACTCCACACTTATTCTTTTAAAATAGGTTTTACAATATTTTATATATACTCTTAGAATAAAATTACTATACTAAAATAGGCTTAAAGTATTTCTTACAAATTAAGCAATGCAATGGATAGGTCAATTATTGTTTTATTAGTATATGTACATATTCCTCACATATATTTTTGATTCTGATTTTAAATATTCTCTCGTCTTTAAGTTTCTGTATCAGCGAATAACAGAGCAGTGTTGGCCTAGTGGCTTCAGTGTGCGACTCTCATCATTGAGATGGTAGGTCAATCCACGGCTGTGCACCAATGGACTTTAAGTCTATGTGCCTAAGTATTTAACATTCGATCGAACAGTGAAGGAAAATATCGTGAGGCAACCGGCTTGCCTTAGACCCAAACAGCCGACGGCATGTGTCAAGCACACACTGATCACCTATTTGCCTATTAGATTGTCAAATGATCATGAAACATACTGAAATCTGAGGCCCGGACCTAAAAAGGATGTAGCACCACTGGTTTGTTTGTTTTTTTTATCAGCGAATATTTCCGATAAGATCGCAATACTTAGTTACAATTACGTGGTCTGTGCTGGGAACATAATATTCTTTAAATATTGCATAATATCGCGTATCTAATACTGCGATTTTCAGACCAGGTGTGTGTTTACTTGCCTAAAGCAAAATTATCAATGATACAACAATAACCTAATCTATCTCATGCCTCATTTGTCCAAATAACTCATTTATTTAGAAGTGATTTTAGTTCCAAAAAGTTAATACAAAGTCCGTTCAAAATTATTTAAATTTTTTAAGCGCATTTTCTCGGAGATTTGCATTGACTCATTGCAACATCTGTTGAACACTTGCCTATAACTTCCATTCATAATACTTATACCGTTATCTTTAACTTAAACACCCCGATAAACTTTTGTCAATGAAGTTGTAATTGGGGCTTGAAAAATGTCAAAATTGTAAATTTAGAATATTGTGCTATATATGTAGGTATATAATATATGAGCAATTGACATATTATTTATCACGAAAAAACCGCAGAATTTGACTTTGGTTTATACATATTATATAGAAAATAGAGCCACACGTCCAATCTAAGTTTTAGAACATCTCCGTGGTGGTCTCAGCTACGTCATAATCTTTGTTCTGTAATGGGTTGCTCTGCCTTGCGTTGTCCAAAAAATGGTTGGCTGTGACGAGGTATGGAATGCAGTGGTATCCTTCTGTGAGAAAGTAATGCTACAGAAGGAGAAAGCAGAACGAGAGAGGGAGCGCTTAAGGATGAATCTTAGGGTTAGAAGACGCGGAGTAAATAGGAGAAGATATGCCCATCTCCTACCTCCACCAGTGTGTTCTACACTGTTTTTTGAGCGTAACATCCCATTGAGTTCCCGGTAGAATGCGAGAGCGACCCCGGAACCTCTGGTTTTGTAGAAACTACTCGAGGTGGTTTTAGTGGATATTGCTCACCAAGTCTCTGAATAGCAGAGATTCTGATGTAGGCCGAATCCCACATACCCCTGCAACGTTTGGTGGCAGTGGATGCGCAAATGCATTTCTACATTACATTAATGTATCCATATAAAATACAAACAACTGAGTCCATATCGATCACGCAGCCATTTTATCACACAACAACCCAAAGCCATACCACATACAACAAGAAACATCATATATTACATGTCTCAAAATTCATCGCTAATTAGAAACAGTACCTACAGAAAAGTACGATAATTAAAATATATGAAGAATATGTTCCCAAGAAAGAAGTCAGATTCATTTACTTTTAATAGCTTATTTCCTACAACTTCCGTAAGTTCATACAACATACATAGTTGTTAAAAATACTCGAAATAATAAGTCAATAAATCTTGTGGATGTCATTTGAAATTGCACTTTTTAATCTTAGATAAGAATTTAATGGTTTTATTGCTGAAGTCCTAGATTTCCTGTTATCCGATTGTACCGAAAGCCGCGTTTATTATTAAAATTATGATCAATTGCTACCTGCTTCTAGCATTTCTCGTAGAAAAAATTAACTTTGCATATGTTATTATGTAAGTTATGCTGGCTCTGATCAAAATAACAACCTAGTATCATAATATAATATTCACCTATCTGTGGTAAAATTAAACTCCCCCTCGCTTATCAAATCGGTGATATAAGTGGTGATTAAACAAGCATATTTCATAGATTTTGCGTGTGTATGAGATGTAGTGACGAGTTGAACCATTGGTTCTAGAATAGATATTGGCCAAATGCTTGCCGTATTTATTGTACTTGTTATGCTTTTAGGTATGTTTATAAAACCGAAAACTGCACTTTTAACCGACTTCCCGAAGAATGAGGTTCACATTGATCTGGATGATCAAGAATTCGGATTTTATGCGAAACGGTCCCATAAAAGGTTTTGTAATCTGATATATATAGTATAGTTTGTTACTGTATTCTATAGTTTCCAAGATCTGCCAGCATTAAAGGTACACTGCCACAGGGACCAAACTCCCAAAAATTTAGGTTAAGAATCAGTAATATATATATGGAAATAAATACTTTCAAGTTATAAATGCCTCCTGAAAATTTAACCTTATTAATTGCGATTAAAAGTCTATGGTTTATATCGATAAATCAAACGGTAGATTCATGATTAAGTTATTATCATTTTTAGAGAAATTTATATTACCTAGGTACTTATCGATTACGATAATCCCTTCTAAAGTAGGGTAAAGATACCCTGTCATCCCCCTGTTTTAAGAACACAGATGTTTTAGCTGTGAGATTAACGCGTTCGTTTATTTTGTTAAGAGTTTTACGGCTTAGTTTATTTTCTATTTGTTCGGGTTTGCGGTTGAAAGTGACACCTGATTTAGATAACAAGATTATTC